CGTGGCCACAAACCCAATATCGTAAGGCGGAGAACTCGCGGGAATCATCTGGTTCGTCAACTCCACCCACGCTGCGACCAGAAATCCGACCGCAAACAAACACGGTATCCAATGGTGTCTCGCCACGTAAACGATGTCGCTCGCTGTCCCCGTCATAAACGACGGGTTGCTTCAAAAAGTATTCAAATATTTTATACAAATATATGTAAATTAACCTATGCAATTTTCACAAGAAAAATTGTAATATGTTTAACAAGTTAAGCAGAAGTTGTATTTTTGCAAGAAAAAGTAAATAAAATAGATGGGTTGTTTGTCAAAGTGTGAAGAGAATGTTGTATCCTTCCATTCATCGCTCAAACGTTAACGTATATATACAAGAGAATGTTGTATCCTTTCACTCATCTCTCAAAACGTTAACGTATATATACAAGAAAATGTTGTATCCTTTCACTCATCTCTCAAAACGTTAACGTATGTATCCTTTCATTCATCTCTAAAAGACTCAAACGTATATACACAAGAGGTGTACAACCCTAGATACATCATAGCTACGATAAAGGAAGTTTAAGATATATAAATAAGGTTGCTTTGACTTGTGGCACAAGCAAACGCCTTCACGTTGTTGACGCTGGCGGGACCCGTAAACGCAAACAACGTTTCGTTAAAGCTTTAACTTTTCACTCCTTTCTCACGTTTAGTTTCATTTTGACCCCTTTACAATGTATTTCCTTTTTATGTCATCTTCCTTCGTCGTCCGTTTTCGGAGAAATGATATCCATTTGAGTATATCTGACTGATGTGGCGAACTGGCGATATGTGGTCTTCGAGAATTCCGTCTATGGAGATGCATGCCGTTACTGTGATTTCTGCTAAATCTGCGAGGAAGAGCTTGTTAAGGAAATTATTACTCTCTCGTACCAATATATACCTTTATCAATACACTTGCGTCTCAAGAAACCACTGAGCAACAAGGTTCATTGACGCCTCTAAAAAATATATCAGAAAATATATGAATAAATTTAATTAGTACTTTTTACTTAATATTCACTTACTACATATTACAAAATATATATACAACAATTAAAGATATATTTATTTTTTTCTGCGTCACTAATATCACATATAATAATTGAACAAACTAAAAAGTTTTAAAATTAACATTAATCTTCACAAAGAAATACCTTTTCCAGTGAAATTATAAATATATCCAAATTAAAAAAAAAGAAAAATAAATATTAGTGATTTTTTGAATTAGTGATTTTTATTAATGATTAAAATTATACTATAGATGTTTTTATAATCATAAAATATATTATTATTATTAATTTATTGTTTAGCTCATATTGCACTCGCATGTTAAGCAGTCATAAGTATTTCATAGCCGGAAAATCCTAAATCATAAATTTTAAACCCATCAGTTTTCAACCGCTTTTCAAGTTGTACAAACCATCTAATAACGCTACAAACCATAACCTTCCACATCCGCAACCGCAACAGTTAAACCAGTAAGATCTAACGAAGTCTGCAAAATGCAAATGCATATTTTTGTGTGTAAAATTGTAAATTAAAATATATTTTAAACAGATAAGCATGATTTTCATATGTGGCTATTTTACATGATATCACGTACGCGTAAAATCAACCAAGATATATTTTAAATAAAGAAATCTAGTGAGTAGTACTCTTAATTCAAAAACAACTAAACATTTTAAAACAGAGCAAAATTTACTTAACTAGATTCTTTGGAAAACAAGCTCAAAACCAGACTAAAATTGTCTCTTTCTCATCATCACTTCGTACTTGCCGGCCAATGAGTAAAAGAAAATAGCAGCAACAAGTCCAACCGCAAGATCGATCGTGTAGTGTCCTCTCGTCCCAAGCAGCCTGATCATCTGTAGTACATTGAGGATGTCAAAAACCATCGCAAGTCTAAACCTCTGCATTCTCCTCATGTCCAAAGATGCGATGGTCGTGCCGCCTACGTGACCCGAGAAGAAGAAGAAGAAAGTGGCGTTTCCTAGCGGGAAATCGGTTGCTGATCCTAGATACTCCTGTCGAAAAGAGTCCATATATAATATATAATTAATCTAAACCCTGCAAGTTTAAGCAGTAACTAAATGCTCACTTCGTTTCAAATTAGCTGTCGTTTGGCAAAATGTATCTGTAAATATTTGAATGTATCTGCAATGCAAAACACGTCCAGATACGTCCAAATATTTACAGATACATTTTGCCAAAACGACAACTAATTTAAAACGGAGGGTGTACAATCAAATACGACTTGAACCTCCCTATGATAATACTAATAGTATTTAAATATTTGGGGATTATAAACTGCTCTTTTAAAAACGGCAGTTGCCTACGGAATCACATGTCTAACAACATTCCAATTTCTTATATCACTTGATCAGTAAATTCGACTTTTACATCTAGTTTGATATAACATCTCTAAATTATTAAAAAATAATAATTATCATGCAATAGATATACGGATGGTACCTGTGAAAGAGGGAGTTGAGTAGAGTAACCGAGAACTGCCCGACAAGTGAAGAGGAATAACACCGTGATGGTGGCTCGTGGTCTTCCTTCCATTAACCATGCTCCTATTATGTACGTCATCTGCATCACTCCTAACACCTGTCCCAACAATTATCAATCAGAAACACAAAATGTCGAATTTAACAAATCACCTTTGTTCTCTAACTCATCACCATGTGTCCTTTTTTTTATCATTATTATTTTGTTTATAGTTAAAGGCCATCTACTATATATATTGTATGCTACTTTATAAAGAGACAGAGAAGTACATTACATTACATTGTTTTATACACTAGTTATTTTACTAAAACACTACTATCAAACGAAATTCCACCTGGAATAAAAAAACACATATACAGAAGAAAAAATATTTTTTTTTTTATTCAATCACAATTTATGTTTAAAAAAAAATTGTCCTGAATAGTTTTTGACTTTTTGTGATTGAATGATACAAAATAACATGTTTAGATGAAAAACACGTTTTTATTAAATTTAAATGAAAGAGTAAAATCCGGAGTAAAATCCATTAATGGCAATAAATCCCACCATTGTAATTTTCTTAATTGCACATCCAAATATTACATCAAATTCACTCAAATAATTCGTACGACATACCGAGTTTAGAGCGGCCAAAGCGGTGTTAAGATTCGGCGAAGAAGCCAAGACGCGATACAAAGAGCGCGTGGCCACAAAACCAATATCGTACGGCGGAGAACCCGCGGGAATCATCTTGTTCGTGGACTCCACCCACATTGCGGCTAAAAATCCGGCCGCGAACAAACACGGTATCCAATGGTGTCTCGCCACGTAGACGACGTCATACGCTGTCCACGTCATAAACGACGGTTTGTTTCCCCATCTTCCTTCGTCCGTTTTCGTAGCAGTGATATCCATTTGAGTATATGTCTCTTTCTGATGTGGCGATTGTGGTCTTCGAGGGTTACTGTGTTTTCTGCTAAATCTGCGAGGAAGAAATTATTACTCTCTCGAATCAATTTACACCTTTATGACGTAAATTACTTATCTATCTTTAACGTCAATATCTCTTTGTAATATATTTACTTAAGGAAACTAAGTTGCCTCACTTGGGTATATAATCGATATAATTAATCTCTTCTTCTTCTTTTTTTTTTTTTTTTTTTGTTGATACGAGGCAGAGTTTTCCAAGGAAATGTGTTTTAAGTTATAAAATTTATATGAAAGCGGTGGAAGAGAAAATCGAAAAGGAGAAGAAGAGAGAAAGAACAAGAAGCAAAGCACAAACAGGAAGAACAGAGAATAATCGGAAAACACCAGCTTTGATTTTTGGTGGTAATTAAGTAGTAACAGTAAGAATAAGATATATAAATGATTACATACCCCACTTCAACCAAGCTCTTGAGTTCTCTCTCCATATCTTACAGATTTGTGTGTTTGTGTGTTGTGTTTTGCTAAGCACAGTTTTTTGCAATCTACAAGGTTTTAACTTGGTTATTTGTATTGATTAATTAGGAAACCCTAAATAGAAAGTTCGGGCATGTGTTACTACAACGATCCAAAGACTCCAATTTAACTTCTACGCTGTGTCCTTTGAGCCTCTTGATTACGTAGTTTCAGTGGGATCTACGATATAACAGAACACGATTATTTCATTCTTAGTTTCTAAGTCAAAAGACTTAAAACATCGGGAAGAACAGATAGACATCGAAGAACAACAGGTTATGTTCTAGGTGATAATAAGTAGTATACAGTAAGATACTGAGATTATTGTTGAAAATAGGGAATCTGGTTTTTGAGTCTTTTACTCAATTTTCAAAGAAAAACCAAAATCCACATTTTTGGGGTTTCTCATAAAAACCATCCATTTTCTTTTTTACATAAAAAATCTAAATCAAAAACCAAAATCTAAAACTAAAAACTTGTTAAACATTCATGGCCTAAACTACATTATTTACAGTAAAATAGAAATTAAAAGAAAGAAAAAACTAATACATGAGACAGACCGGGTTATACCTATAACGTGCTGGAATCTCCAATGATATTACATCTATAATCTCAGAGAAATGTCATTCTACGGGAATCAAATCTCAAACTTGTTGTAAGATCATTAAATCCCTGATGAAAATATGGACCAATGGAATTCCACATGTTTCACTTTTCTATTATATTGTTGTGCTCCATAACGAACCGATATCTGGATTGAACACCTCTACCAATTTCTACTGCTTATGTGCAAAACTATCGGATAGTAAAATTGTAAATCAAAATATATTTTAAACAGATAAACATGATTTTCACACGTGATTTTAAACTATTTTATATGAGGGCACACGTGCGAAATCAACGAACATATATTTCAAATTAATTTTTGAATAATGAAATCTAGTCAGTAGACTCAGTACACTTAATCCAAGAGCAACTAAACATTATAACAGAAAGCAAAATTTACTTTAACTAGAACCTTTGGAGCTCAAAACCACTGCCTAAAATTGTCTCTTTCTCATCATCGCTTCGTACTTGCCGGCCAATGAGTAAAAGAAAATAGCAGCGCCAACTCCAACCGCGAGATCGATCGTGTAGTGTCCTCTCGTCCCGAGCAGCCTGATCATTTGTAGTACATTGAGGATGTCAAAAACCATCGCAAGTCTAAACCTCTGCATTCTCCTCATGTCCAAAGATGCTATTGTCGTACCGCCTACGTGACCCGAGAAGAAGAAGAAGAAAGTGGCGTTCCCTAGCGGGAAATCGGTTGCTGATCCTAGATACTCCTGTGAAAAAAAGAGTCAATAATATATGATTAATCTACACCCTGCAAGTTTAAGCAGTAACTAAATACAATCAACTACAACTTGAACCTCCCTATGATAATACTAATATGTAAATATATGGGGATTATACACTGACTTTTTTAAACGGTATGGCTAAGGGAAATCACATGTCCAACAAACGCTCGATTTTTCTTATATCAATTGATCAATAAATTGGACTTTTACATATAATTTGATATAACATCACTACACTATCAAAAGAATAATTATATGCAACAAATATATGGATGTAGACCTGTGAAAGAGGGAGTTGAGTAGAGTAACCGAGAACTGCCCGACAAGTGAAGAGGAATAACACTGTGATGGTGGCCCTTGGCCTTCCTTCCATTAACCATGCTCCTATTATATACGTCGTCTGCATCACTCCCAACACCTATGCCAACAATTCAAAAAAGAAAAAAAATCAATAAAAAAAATAATGTCGAATTTAACAAATCACCTTTGTTCTCTAACTCATCAACATGTGTTTTCTTCATCATTATTACTGTATTTATAGTTAAAAGCCATCTACTATATTGTATACTACTTTATGAAGAGACAAAGAGAAGTACATTACGTTACCAAAAAAAGGTATATTACGTTTTTCATACACTAATTATTTTACTAAAACACTAGTATATCATATAAAGCTCCACCTAGGCCTTGATTGGCAAAACAGTTAGAAGAGCATTAGGCTTAAGAGCATAAGCAGGGTAAGTATTTAGAAGAGCACTAAGCTTTTTAAGTTGTATGTTCAAAAAAAATATGATTGGTATTTGGTAAAGTTGGGAGTCTTTTTATTATAATTTGTTTGTGAAAATATTTAATATATATATTGATATTTATTTTAATGCATCATATATATATATATATTAATTAATAATAAGATTTTTTTTTAAAATTATTTAGTAATTATTTCATATTTATTAAAATTTTTATGACATTAAATATTTATTTTATGAATAATACATTAATGATACATCAATTACGAAATTATAAAATTGTAAATTTAATATAAATATAGTTTTCATTTTTTTACCAAAATAAATAATTTATTTAAGTTTTTTTAAATATTATTGAGCTCAATGCTTTGGAAATGCTCCATTTCATAGTAGGGAGAGAAGGAGCAGGAGCAGTTTCTAAATTCTCTACTAAATGCTCTTTTAAAAAAACTTGATTGGATTAGAAAGAGCTTAATGCTCTTCTAAATGCTCTACCAATCAAGGCCCTAGAATACAAACACGTTAATAGAAGAAAATATATAAAATTTGTTATTCAATCACAATTTTTTTACTACAAATGTTCTAAATTAGTTATGTTTTAAGAAGATCTTTCTGAATGGTTTTTATCTTTTTGTGATTGAATGATACAAAATAACATGTTTTAGATGAAAAACACGTTTTTTATTCAATTTAAATGAAAGAGTAAAATTCGGAGTTGATAAGAAAACAAATGGTAATAAGTCCCCACCAGTGTAATTTTCTTAACTGCACATCCAAAATATTCCATCAAATTCACTCAAATAATTCGTACGACATACCGAGTTTAGAGCGGCCAAAGCGGTGTTAAGATCTGGTGAAGAAGCCAAAACGCGATACAAAGAGCGCGTGGCCACAAAACCAACATCGTACGGCGGAGAACCCGCGGGGATCATCTTGTTCGTGGACTCCACCCACATTGAGGCTAAAAATCCGGCCGCGAACAAACATGGTATCCAATGGTGTCTCGCCACGTAGACGATGTCGGACGGTCTCCACGTCATAAACGACGGTTTGCTTCCCCATCCTCCTTCGTCCGTTTTCGTAGCAGTGATATCCATATTTGAGTATATGTATCTTTCTGATGTGGCGGTTGTGGTCTTCGAGGGTTATTTTGATATCTGCTAAATCTGCGAGGAACAAGTAGTTAAAGGAAATGACTCTCTCGTATCAATTTACACCTTTATGACGTATCAATCTATCTTTAACGTCAATATCTCTTGGTAATATCTTTACTTTAGGAAACTAAAAGTTGCCTCACTTTGGTATATAATCTCTTCTTAAATATACAGAAAATCATTTTCAATTAAGCCTTCTCTTCTTCTTCTTCTTGGTATGTCAAGAGGGAAGATGATGTTGTTGTTGCGGGAACTGACACGTCCGTTAAGATTTAACAGAGCGGGACATTTCGAAGATGGCTTAATTTAAAGAGATAAATGTGTTTGGGTTATAAAATGCATAGAAAGCGATGAAATGAGATATTTCAATTATAAACTCTTGTTGTTTTACTTTTCTGTTTCTGTTGTTTCTTGTACCGACAATAATGACTGGAATGAAATAAACCATATAGCCAAAACAAAAAAATTAGGGCATATGCGTACGTACCAGGTTTTCTTCTACGTTCTGTTTGCTGAGGCTGGTTCCGATGTCTCTCTTTCGTATGCAATATCAATGGAGTCAATGGGATCTACTTTATAACATAACGACATTAGGAGAAATAGCCCAAAAGCACTTGAGCAAGTAACTGTCCGTAACCAAAATGAAATTGGCTAAGAGTATGCTGTATATTTTCTATATTAATTGCATTTTTTTTTTTGCATTTGGCGTCACCCACATAAGACATCTGGATTTGTTTCCTTCTTTTTTTTTCTTTTCCATGTCTAAATATATTCTCTCCTTCTCATTTTAATTATTCTCAATTTCTAAAAAAAATAGTGATTCCAATTTAGTTTTACTAAAAACATAGATATTTTTCTAGAAATGAAATGTTTTGGAATTTTTAAAATGGACATATATATCAAAGATAATGTACGTGACGATAAAATAATAGACACTAGCTGTATTTCATAGTGTTTGAGTTACTTTTATGTAGACATTCCATGTGTGTGCAATTTCAAGATAGATACAATCACCTTTAGACTAGTTTCAAAGTAATTTTGTATATACTATATCTGGAAATTTGAAAAAGAAAAAAAATAAAGAATCTCTGTTTCACCAAAAAACATAGGATCTACACCGAATGAGTGATCGACTTACTCAATAAATAGACAAATGCATAGAAGAGCTGGGTTTTCCTTTTACTCTATCACACATATCTTTATGAGCAGCAACACGAGGTCGGATAAGCTACCACAGAATGTTCGGTATCTCCCCTATAATGTGTATTTTGTAATATTTATTCTCCCAAACCGATTTAGAAATATATGTTGTTGACAAAAAAACAACACATGAAATCTTTTTGTGTAAACTATTAAAACCCAATTTTTTATTTAATGAATATACATATGTTATTTCTGTTGAGTTACTAACAAGTAATAAATCACAAATTTATAGTACATTAGAAACTTTATAAATTAATAATAATAATAATGTTGAGACCATCATATTTTATTAGTTTAACGAAATATTAATTTATCAAGAGATTATTAGATCAAAAACTTAGTTTATGACCGGAAAATTCTAATAATTTATCGAGTATTAATTAATAGATTTTCAACTGTTAATTAGCAAATAGCGACATTTTGAGTGTTAGATACAAACACGTATAACCAAACTCAAGAATAAATAAAGCTTACCGTGGGAGAAAATATATCTCTATGGAAAAACATTGCAGATGGTTTTTTGTCGTTATTTGGGAAGATGGCAAACAGTGAGAACGAGGATTTGTGGGCGAATTATAAAATGTCTCCATATACAAGACACAAGTTTTATGGTAGATATGACTTGGAGTTCGTTTTCCGTTTATATGTTTTTCATCTCAAAGTGTGGGTTTTGCTTCATATTTCAGCTATGAATAGATTTGTTGATATGAAGTGCTTTGATGATTCAACTAATTTCGAGTTTAAATTTGGCTTGTAATCAATCAGACATATAGGATTCAACGTGAATAGCGTCCACAATTTAAAATGCACTAAATCAAAACCATATGGTTAAACTAACTGCTATTTTTAATACTCCTTCCTCATGAATATATAAATAACTTCTGCTTAACGTAGTCGACGAACAACAAAGCTTCATACGTGTATCTCTCCATCACGCCGCTCCTTTGAAGCTGAGGTGTAAACAACCAAACACCGGTAACAAACACAAACCCCACCGTGAGCAGCCGCGACACCGCCGGACTAAACTGCCACCGCTGCATCACCGTCGTCCTCTTCTTCACCGCCAATTCCGCAGCAGTGCAGACGCCTTGTAACGCGAAGAACAGAGTAACTTCCCCTGTGGGCATCTCACGAGTTAAATAGAAGAAGAGCAACTCGTGAACCAAACCGGAGACGACAAACGCCGCCAAAATCCCTGGAAACAGAGCCCAGCTGGAACTCATTCTGCGTTCAGAGACTCGCCGCATCGGGGCGTAAACGGCTGGCCGGAGAATAGCCGGAACCATGAGATTCCACCGACGACCCCAGAAGTCTTGTAGAGATGTGGCCAAGTAGGGTTTATTGGACTGTGGCTCGAGGTCGCACCCAAGAGAGATAAAAACCAGAACTTTGACGAACGTTAAAATAATCTCAATCTCTAAGTAAAGGTGCACAAAATAGAGACCCAATAGCAGAACCGGAGACAAGTTTTGTCTGTAGCCGTACAAATGTAATAGCACACCAAAGATGGCAACTTTAATGGCGAAAACCAACTTGGGCAAATGGTTTTGAGATTTAGGGTTTTGTTGGGCTTTGATTGGGAAGCAAGTAAAGCAGAGGAATCGGGAAAGTGTTGCGGGAATTGGGATTAGAGGACCTTTGTCGAAGGAGAAGAGGATGAGTTTGAAATTAGCGAGCCATGTGAGGAAAAACGCTGTGATTAAAGATAAATGCACAGATGAGAAAAACAGAGGAAGAACAAGAAACAGAGCAAGGACAGGGCATAGGGAGAGTAATCGAGGAACACCAGATTTGATTTTAGGTGGTATGTAGTAACAGTAAGTTATGGAGATTGTTGCAAAAATCCATACTTTGATGAAGCTCTTGACTTCTTCCTCCATTTCTCAGATCTTTGTTGGTAGGTTTTAACTTGGACTGTTTCTTTCTTTTGGTCGTTTGAAGGCAAAGTATCGTTAACTGTTTATGGAGGCAGCATCGAGTAGATAAAGTAGGTGAGATGTAAATTAAATATAGAGAAGAGCATCAATATCGAGGACTTGTGTAGTTATTATGCTATCCAGTGTTAGAGTTTAATGGTTGCACCAACATATAGTGATAAATGTTTCCTTGGTGAATAATTTTGGACCACTTTACCAAAATGTGTCCAATGGAAACGTTGAAAACATTTTGACGTGATGTCAAGTTTGTGTACTTTCGCAACCAAGAGTGATACTAACCACAACTTTGATAAGCCAAAAGGAAAATCTCAAGTGCTAAATATAGATGCAGATGATACAGTACCAATAGCAGAATCTGAGGGATGTTTTGTCTGTAATCATACAGATGTAACACCATGGCAAATATCACAACTTTAACGGCGAAAAGCAACTTGGGAAAAAGGTGTTGAGATTTAGGGTTTCCTTGAGGCTTGATGGGGAAGCAAGTGAAGCAAATGACTTGGGAGATATTAGGTGGAACTTGGGAAAGAGGACCTCGATCAAAGGCAAAGAGGATGAGCTTAGCAAACCATGCAAGGAAAGTCGTTGTGTAGAAACATAAATGGGCAGAGGATAAGAAGTAGGAAGAACAAGGAACATTGCACAAACAGGAAGAAAAGAGAGTAATCTAAAAACTCCAGCTTTGATTCTGGTTGATATGTAGTCACAGTAAGAAACAGAGAATATTGCAAAAACACATACTTTTTAATGAAGGTCTTGAGTTCTTCATCCATCTCACAGAGTCTCAGATGTCTTTTGTAATGTTTGTTTCTTGCAACCAGAGAGGTTTGTACATATAGTTAGTGGTTGCGTGGGTGGGAAGTAATCAGCATGAATTAGACAAATATAAAATTAGGGCATGTGGTTTTACATGTAGACAATTGAAAAAAAACAGGTAGATGTTGTGACTGAAATTAGCAATATAAAAACAAAATTTCCATGGATTTTAGTGATTACTTAATCACCCAAAAGTAAGAAAAAAAGTTGTGCTTGACAAAATCAATGGATAAAAGGGCTTCGTTAAAGAGTCTTTCAATCATGCCACTCCTTATAAGCTGAGGGAAAAACAGCCAACCACTGGTCACAACCATAAACCCCACTGTGAGCAGTCGTGAGACCATCAGACTCATCCTCCACCGCCGCGCTAACCTCGTCCTCTTCGCAGCTACTTCTGCGGCGGTGCAAACTCCATGTAACACAAAGAACAAAGTGACTTCTCCTGTAGGTGACTCACGGGTGTAATAGAAGAAGATCAGCTCGTGAACTGCACCGGAGACTATGAATGTTGTTAAAACTCCCAAGAACCGAGCCTGATCCGAGTTCATTTTCCGTTCTGTAATTCGTCGCACCGGGAGGTACACAGCCGGCCGGAGGATTGCGGAGACCATGATGTTCCACCGGCGACCCCAGAAGTCTTGAAGAGAGGTGGCTAAGTATGGTTGGTTGAATTGCGGCTCGAGATCGCAACCAAGAGTGACAGTTAGCAGAAATTTCAGAGGAGCTAAGAGAATCTCAAACTCCAAGTATATATGCAGAGAATAGAGAACTAACAGCACATTTGGAGAAAGATACTGTTTGTAATCATACAGATATAACAACAAACCAAAGATTGCAACTTTAATGGCGAGAAGCCATATGGGTAACTGATTTTGAGATTTAGGGTTTTGTTGAAGCTTGATGGGGAAGCAAGTGAAGCAGATGAAGTGAGAGATACTAGTGGGAATTGGAAAAAGAGGACCTTTCTCGAATGAGAAGAGTATGAGCTTGAAATTGGCGAGCCATGTGAGGGAAAAAGCAGTGGAACCAGTGAAGTGAACAGAGGAGAAAAAGAGAAAAGAAACAGAGCACAAACAGGAAGAACAGAGAGTAATCGGAAAACACCAGCTTTGATTCTGGTTGATGTGTAGTAACAGTAAGATACTGAGAGAATTGCAGAAACCCATACTTTAACAAAGGTCTTGAGCTCTTCCTCCATAGCTCTAGATCTTCTTTTTTCTTCTCCAATCACCGATTTTTTTTTCTAAATTTATTGACATAAAATAATTGGATGAGTCAAATAGAAAATTGGGTAATTTTGTTTTGTGACACATCGTTAAAAGAACAGCTAATAAAATACTAAGAAACTTGCAAAATATAAATATTTTTTGGATTTTAGTGTGTAGAGAAAAAAAAAATATACATTTTGTCAAACCTAGAACAGAGAGAGAGAGAGTTCTCAAAAAACACATTTTTTCTTCAATATTTTAGTCTTGGTGCTAAGTAATAATAGCAAGTTATGTAGTAATCATATTTGACATCTACCAACTCCATTACTGACTAATCACAGAACCTCTCTTTTGCTTTGTTAGGAAATTTCGGAAAAAGTAATAGACTAATCAAATCAATAATTTGATAACAAAACAAAACACACAAATCCATGAATCAAGATTCAGCTAATAATCACACAAAAGCAAAAAACATACGCTTGAAAAAGTCAACAGAGAACAAGGCTTCGTTAGCGAGTCTCTCGATCATGCCACTCCTTATAAGAGGAGGGAGAAACAACCAACCACCCGTCACAACTACAAACCCTACCGTGAGCAGCCGTGAAACCATCGGACTCATCCTCCACCGGCCCACAAACGTCCTCTTCTTCACCGCAACTTCCACCGCCGTGCAGACTCCATGTAACACAAAGAACCAAGTGACCTCTCCAGTAGGAACCTCAAGTGTTACGTAGTAGAAGAGAAGCTCGTGAACTGCACCGGAGACGAGGAAAGTCGCGAACATCCCACAGAACAAAGACAGATCGGAGCTCATTTTCCGTTCGGTGATTCGCCGCACCGGGACGAAAACTGCCGGCCGGAGGATCGCCGGGACCATGAGGTTCCATCGGCGACCCCAGAAGTCTTGAAGAGATGTGGATAAGTATGGTTCATTGGACTGTGGCTCTAGATCACACCCAAGAGTGATAAAGACCAAAACTTTGACGAGCATAAAGAGAACCTCAAGCTCCAAGTATATGTGCAGAGAATAGACAACCAATAACACCATCGGAGATAGATGCTGTTTGTAATCATACACATGTAACAACATAGCGAAGATTGCAAGTTTTATAGCAAAAACCCATTTGGGCAACTGATTTTGAGATTTAGGGTTTTGTTGAGACTTGATGGGGAAGCAAGTGAAGCATATGAATCTGGAGATATTTGTGGGGAGTGGGAAAAGAGGACCTTGATCGAAGGCAAAGAGAATGAGTTTGAAATTGGCGAGCCATGTGAGGAAAAACGCAATGGAACCACAGAAATGAATAGTGGAGAAAAACAGAGGAGCAACAAGAAACAGAACACAAACGGGAAGAAGAGAGAGTAATCGCAAGACTCCGGGTTTGATTCTGGTTGATAAGTAGTAGCAGTAAGATATTGAGATGATTGCAGAAACCCAAACCTTGATGAAGTTCTTGAGTTCTTGTTCCATGTCTCTAGATCTTCTTTTCTTTCTTGTTTTTCCAATCACCAAGGTTTGACTTTATTTTTGTTAACATAACCATATTTAAAAACAATCGGATGAATCATACATGTTCTGAATAGATAATTGGGGAAATTTGATTTGACAGCTACACACATCTTAGCACTTAGCAGATTCGGATATAATTATGAACCTTGTTTTTGTCTCTACCTTTCTTTATTAAAAGCCATCTCATCTATATTCTCTATTATCCAGAGACGAGGAAAAGAAGGATTTGGTTTATGAAAAGGTGAAAACGGCTCTGATGTGGTGGCGGTGCATCAAACTTTATATACCAAAAAATCTTAGATTTTAGACTTTATATAATAAGATTTTTGGACTAGAGTTTGAGTTTAGAATTTTGAGTTTAGGATTTAGTTTTAAAGACTTTGACGTTTAAAGAAAAAAAAAAGAAAGAAAAACATAAAATTTTGCTTACGCATCTTCACTGGAACAGAAAATTAAAACACAGTATATTTGATTCTTGGTGCTAAAGCAAGTAGTCAATTAAGATTTTTGGACTAGAGTTTAGAATTTTGAGTTTAGTATTTAGTTTTAATTTTGAGTCAATTAAATCTTATTATATAAACTCAAAATTCTAAATTCTAGTCCAAAAATCTTATTATATATATAAACTAAATCCAAAACTCAAAAGTCAAAATTCTAAACTCTAGTCCTTAACAGTCAATTAAGGAGAGTAGTAGTGTAGAGAGTTACACAACATCCAAACCTTGATTAAGGTCTTGAGTTTTTCATCTTCTCTCATTTCGCTTTTTGCATTGGTGAGTTCTTGCAAACGCTGTGGCTGTAAACTTGCTGCTGGTTGATTGTGTTAGAAGAATCAGAAGATCTGGAAAACGAACATACTTTCTAACTCATCCTGACGTCCTGAGAATGCTCCCTACGCTACGTGTATTTTATTTGCTCAATTTTCAATACATTAATTGTGGTGATATTCTCTTCATACTTGGAGAATCTTCATTCGAATATTTTGATTCTGGGCTAGTGATGATAATTAATTAATTACTACTATCGAGGTTTTCCTTACATTAACTTTTATCAACGACACGATACAGTAGATATACATCAAAATAATCACACAGCCTCTCTTTATTATTTTATGCTGAAATCCACAAAGTAATCTGATTTGATCATCCATAATAATCTCTGAATAAAAAAGCTAGGGCTTCACGAGATCAATGGACAATAAGATTTCGTTAACGAGCCTCTCGATCATGCCACTCCTTATAAGAGGAGGGAAAAACAACCAACCACTCGTCACAACTACAAACCCCACCGTGAGCACTCGTGAAACTATCGGACTCATCCTCCACCGCCGCGCAAACGCAGTCCTCTTCACCACAACTTCCACCGCCGTGCAAACTCCATGTAACACAAAGAACCAAGTGACCTCTCCAGTAGGCATCTCACGGGTAAAACAGAAGAAGATCAGCTCGTGAACTACACCAGAGACTATGAATGTTGCTAAAACTCCCAAGAACAATGACTGATCGGAGCTCATTTTCTGTTCTGTGATTCGCCGAGCCGGGACGTAAACTGCCGGCCGGAGAATCGCCGGGACAATGAGGTTCCATCGGCGACCCCAGAAGTCTTGAAGAGAAGTGGCCAAGTATGGCTCATTGGACTGTGGCTCTAGGTCGCATCCAAGAGTGATAGAGACCAATACTTTGACGACCATAAAGAAAATCTCAAGCTCCAAGTATATGTACAGAGAATAGAGAACCAATAACACCATCGGAGATAGATGCTGTTTGTAATCATACACATGTAACAAGATACCGAAGATTGCAACTTTTAAAGCAAAAACCCATTTGGGCAGTTGATCATTTTGAGAATTAGGGTTTTGTTGTTGCTTGATGGCGAAGCAAGTGAAGCAGACGAATCGGGAGAGACTTGGGGGATACGGAAATAGTGGACCTTGATCGAACGCAAAGAGGATGAGTTTGAAATTGGCAAGCCATGAGAGGAAAAACGCAATGGATCCAGAGAAATGAACAGAGGAGAAAAACAGAGGAGCAACAAGAAACAGAACACAAACAGGAAGAACAAAGAGTAATCTAAAAACTCCAGCTTTGATTCTGGTTGATATGTGGTAACAGTAAGATATTGAGATGATTGCAGAAACCCAAACCTTGATGAAGTTCTTGAGTTCTTCTTCCATGTCTGTAGTTCTTCTTTTCTTTTTCCAATGACCAAGAGGTTTTGACTTTATTTTGGTTATCATATATATTTTAAAACAATCGGATGAATCATCCCACGTTCTCAATAGTAAATTAGGGAAGTTTGTTTTGACAGCTACACACATTGTTAGCGAGATTCGGACATATGAACCTGTTTTTGGTCCTCTCCTCTTTTTAAGCAACTTTAATGGAAAGCCATATCTACTATCCAGGAGTTGAGGAAAGAAGAATTTGGTTTCATTAAAAGGGCTTCTCTAGTGCGCGTATGATATGATATTCATTAAGCAACAAACAAAAAAAGCAAAGAAAAATGAATTGAGAAACAAGATAAAAAACATTTCTTTCATTTTTCTTTAAAATATTTATTGAAATCTGTTATAATAAAAGTTTCTATTTGGGGCTCCTCAGGGCTCACAGGCTACCCAAATAGGATCTCACAACTAAATTTCCATGAATCATTGAGAGATGATCGGTTTTGCTTACATAGTCAACTTTTTGTAAAGGTATAGCAAGAACATTTTATAATGTTTCCAAATTAGCGCGAAAATATTAGAAATCTATCATATTTTTTATATTCAAAATTAAGAAGAAAATAGAAAAATCATATATATGAATTGAGGCCTTTCCATATAATTGACACATCATCAGAGGAAAAGATGATAAGTGTATATTTGAAAAATTAATAAATTTCATAAATTAAAACATTACTTTCATTAAATTTGCATTCTGTTCAATGTATCAGTGGCATAAAATACAAATTCAGACATGTAGGTAACTGAAATCGAAGAAGAGTAACCAACTTGTAGGTAACTGAAATCAAAGAAGAGTTATAGGTTCTCAATCATATTTTTATCAGTTTTAGAGAGAGTGAACTAAGCATATATATCTAAGTGTTTTATTTTTGTTGATCAAGCAGATTGAAAATGAGTCTTTGCATTGCTAAAGCTCAAGAGTATGATGAAAATTTGTGTTAAAATTATGTCGGGACTCAATTAAAATAATATACAAATCAAAAACTCGCGCGCGCATAAATTTGAAGTCTAACTTTTTGTAAAGGTATAGCAACAACATTTTAATATGTTTCCAAATTAGCGCAAAAATATTAAACTAATTTTTATATCCAAATAGTCAACGTTTATATTCATAATAGTCTACGATATAATTGTTTATAACATAATCTTGAAATGTACACTCAACGTTTAGTTTCCAAAGCGAGCTGTCAAACTTGTTATTTTGTACAATGCACAATAATGAAAATGATATGGTCAATCAAATTATAAGCATTAAGTATTAACTAATTAAAAACTATTGAGTTATATAATAAATTCAATGTATTGACTATGACCACAAAGTCATATTATTCACCAACATTTTTGGAAATAAATTCATTTTACATAATTCCATGGAACAACATAGCCAAATAAATATTTCAAACATGGTTCAATCCGGGTTTTGGATTTGGTTTGGTTTCGAACAAATAATTAAAGTATAAACCAAATCTAATATATACAGTTTGGTACTGTTTTGGTTTAATTTGGTATTCAACTTTGAACCAAATTGTTTTATAAATATTATAGAAATGTTTTTCTTTTTTTAAGAAATCTAATTTCAATTTTTTCTCCACTATGGTTTGAAATCAATTAAGGTCTTTTTGATATCTGAAAAATATCTATTTTAAACAAAATACGGTATATTTTTCAGTTTCAAGAAAAATAGTTTTGATCAGTTTAAATAGAACCGGTTTAGTTTTATCTTAAACATGTCAACAAAAAACTAATACTGTTCAAACACAATTCTTTAGTTAATTTCTTTACAAAACATTCACCCTTTTTTTTTGTCAACAATATCAAAATACCAAGAAAAGTTCAGAAATTCAAACTGGAGATATAGAGTTTACATATAAAAAAATCAGAATGATATATGCGAGCAAGATCATCCACCTTATCTCTTTATATGAATTCTACTTATATAAGCCACTAGTGCAATATTCTTTCATCGACACCAATTAAAACAGAAGCAAAAAAAACTCAAAAAAAGAGACATCAAAAACAAAGAGTGATGTAAAGGGTTGTATGATAATATTCAGCCCCAGCGAGATTGAGGCGATAGTGAAGCTTCTTCGCTTATAGACATGAATCATGAGCACCTCCCTGATCATGTTGTATAGTACATAACAGCAATAAGATAAATTATGTCCATTCCTTGTTGCGTGGTCAAGGAGAGCAAATATTAACGCATAGAGATTAAAAACATGACTACCTTGGTGAGAAATGGATCTACTGTTGTTGTCCCCTGGGATTAGTTAAACAAACAGTTGATCCATTTCCATTCGTGGTAATATGGTTTCGAATCTCTCTCTGTTATTTTTTGCTATGACCCACACAACAAAAGATGGACATACTTTATCTTAATTTTGTTGTGTATCTATATAACATGATCACGGAGGGGTTCATGATTAATGTCTAGAAGAGAAGAAGAAGCTTTATTGTTGGCTCAACGGTTCAACCTCGTTGGGCTGATTATTATCGTACAACCCTTTACATCACACAATATCAATTGGATTACGTGTAAATATTTTAACTTATTATAACAGTTAGGGATTAGTCCACGCCATGCCTGAATTCTTTTTATATGTTAGTTATAATGTAAGAATAATTCTTTTTGAGCAGTTAATCAAAAATATTAGTGGAAATTTAAAAATACACCTTTTGGTGTTTTTATTTTCAAAACAACATCTCAAAGGTGTATATTTTTAAAAATACATTTTTATTGAATAAGATATTTCTAACTCTAAAACTTAAAATCTAAACTGTAATCATTAGTTAGTGAACTCAAACTTACATGTTGACATTAAAAGAGGTATAATTTTTGAAAAATAAAATAAAAAGTAGTATAGTTTTGAAAATAGACATGTTAAAATGTATAGTTTTTAAAAAATTGAAAAATATTATTATTTGATCATATATAATTTTAACATCATATTTTTTACATGTCTATGCATTCAGATGAATATATGGAAACAGTTGGTTTAAGGAAATTAAGATTGTTGATTCAAAGCTTAGAGGCTCTCGGCTAGTAAGTATCCCGACGCCCGAGTATGAAATCGAAAATCAATTATATGTTACTCAAATAATTTTTTTTTTGATAAATCATAATTTGATCCTTTAATTCATGAGTGACTTGTTTAAAGTTTATGGTTTAAAAGTTATCATTATATGAAATATTGTGACTACATATATAAACTATAAAGGTATCCCCTAGTACGTTGACACCAATAATTTGTTTTTTATTCGTAAAGTTGCTTACCTTATTGAATATGTTTTTGCACATTCTTATTCCCCCAGAAACTCTTTGATTCATTGCTATAATCGTGTAATGTGGAGCCAAAGTTTCTGTGTATTATATTTGGTTAGTTCATAACAATTGTATTTATTCTTGCTTTACTTTTTTTGTTTTGTTAAAAGGCCTTCATGTTAGTTTTAAATAGAAAGGAAATAGAACCATAAAATAAACTATTTGGAATTTGATAACACCAAAAAAGTCAATTTCTTTGTCCTAAACACAAAACTAAATTAGAATTTATGTTGCCAATTAATCAAAGAGTTTCTGGGGGAATAAGAATGTGCAAAAACATATGCAATAAGGTAAGCGAAGGAAACTATGCATATATATAGTTGGCCAAATAAAAAGATGCGGATGGTCGTATTTGACAGTTCTTATCATGTATAACCCTCACAAATTCACAACCAAAATCTCTCATTAGTAAAACTTTCAGCCGGAATGTGGTATGTGATTTTGCAAATTTCCACTAATCTTTTAGACTATTCAGAACAACATCTCCATTTTAACCAATCTAGGCTAGGCTTCATGATCTCAGCCGAATCTTTTGCTAATGTTTAGGACATACAAAGTTGGGTTTTTTGCCATTTGAGTGTTAACTGTAACTATGATTGAAACGGTAGTAAAATGATCCAAACTTTGTTTCTTTAAACCCCATGCCTGGTGAGTCATCCAACTACTATAAGCATTATTAGTTACTTATCATATATATATCATTGAATTAAACCTTGTTTTATATTTAGATCGGAGTCCACATTTTGCAACGCATGGCAAAGTTCATTGCTCCTGCTGTCCTGTCTACACTAGCCAAGTGTATGGCCTAAACTTTTGTCGATAACAACGATGAAGATAACAAGAAATTAAACGCTTCTTTAAACTACAAACGTTACATTAAAAGGCGAGCAACTTGAAATTTGACACCGTCAATAACAAACAAACATTCACTTATCAGTCTCTTATCCACACCATTTCTCAGCACCTGAGGGTAAAATAACCAACCGACCGTAGTAGTCACAAACGCCGCAACCGCAAGACGCGAGACCGCCGGATGCGGCGGGAGAAGCCACCACATCTTCTTTGCCGCTATCTCCGCGGATGTTACAACTCCATGCAACACAAAGAAACAAGTGACTTCCCAAGTTGGTGATTTACGGAGAAAATAAAAGTAAATCAGCTCATGCATTAACCCAGAGACGAGAAACGTCGCCAACACCCCAGCATAAAAAGCCCAGTCTAGACCGATTAACCGAGAGGTCAGTAGCTGAACCGGGATGTGAACGGTTTGCCGGAGAATGGAAGGGACCATGCGGTTCCACCTACGACTCCAGAAGTCTTGTAAAGAAGTAGATAAGTAAGGCTCGTTGAAGACCGGTTCAATTTCACAACCAAGAAGCGTAGAGAGCACGACACCGACGGAGACTAAGATAAGTTCTGTCTCAAGATAGACATGGATGGTAAAAATAGCCAAGAAAGCCAGCCGAGGTAAAGTGTTATGATAATTGTTACTGTAGAGATTTAATATAAAGGAAAATATCATAATTTTGGAAGCAAGAACCCATTTGGACTTATTAGGTTTGTTGTAGATTTGATTTGAAGAAGGTTTTTGATTTGTTTTGATAGGGAAACAAGCAAAGCAGAAGAAACGGGAGAGATTTGAAGGAAGTGGGCTTAAGGGTCCTTGATCAAAAGCGAAGAGAAGGAGCTTGAAGTTTGCGAGCCATGAGAGGAAGAAAGCTGAGATGACACATGAGTGAACAGAAGAGAGGAATAGAGGAAAAAGAAGAAAGATGATGAAGATGGGAAATAGAGAGATGAGACGAAGAAAACCTTTGGAGATTCTAGATGAGATGTAGTAACAGTAAGATATGGAGATGAAGGCAGATATCCAAATCTTGATTAAGTTTCTCAACTCTTGTTCCATCTCTGTTTCTCTCTATCTCTCTTATCGGTTCTGTGGGTTGCTACTTGCTACTTGTGTGCAGCCTGCAATTTATAGAATAAATATGAGAAATGTCAAAATCCATAAATGTATTGAAGATTTGTCAAGTTTCCGTCATTTATGTATTTTGGACATATTGTTAGTTTCTTCTTCTTTCTTTTAAGAATAAAACTACAAAAAAAAAAAAAAAAAAAAAAATTAGAGGGTTGTGTGTATTAAGAACTGATTTGGACATTCAAGTGAAATGTTGTATTATTCAATTCATGATTTTGAAATAATATTCATATCGATCTTAACAGTTTTTCAAGAATTTCTTTAGTTAAAAATGGAAGAAGGTAAAAACAAATCTTAAACAAAACTCTCGTATTCGAAAAAATATATATAATGTTTTGACATATTGTAAAATCAAAGAAGTCCAATTAGATTGAAATGTTTGTATGACGAAAAAAAAAAAAAAACCACAAATCTAGCTGGTAGAGACTATTTTTAATTATTTGAGACTATTTTGACGGGGGACTTATGACAAATTCAGAAACGTAGGCGGCGTCAAAGTAGATTGAAGAGGACTTGCGTCAGATGCTTTGGCAGTCTTTAAATTCTTGTAACAGATATACTTAGACTAAATATAGCAAAGTAGATTTTTCTTTTTTTGTTTCATGCAGGTTTCTTTACAAAATAGATTTTTTTGACACACTTCTGGCAAAACTTATTCAAATCAGGCTCATGATAACAATTCTACGTTTCAATTACAGAAACCATATGATTAAATTTGTTCATGATTGTTGACCAAGGCACATACCATATTAAATTTAGACAACTAAAACCTAAAGAGGCAGCAAAATGGTTTGTAAAATTAAACAAGGCGTGACTATACAGTTGTATTATACAACGTGTCTCGCACTTCCAAAATAAGCTCATTTTCTCTTGGTATTAGCCGTTGTATATATATATATATAAATGAATCATGAAGAAGAAATGAACAAGTTGCGTTTGACAAAGCTCGTAATCAGCAAACATTCACTAATCGCTCTCTCATGGACATTGTTTCTCAGCAGCTGAGGAAGAAATAGCCAAACGCCTGTCACACTCACAAACGCCAGAGCCGCAAGACCCGAGAATGCCCTGTGCGGTTTCTTCCACCGCATCACAAACGGTGTTCTCTTCACCGCTATCTCTGCGACGGTCGCAGCACCGTGCAACACAAAGAAACAAGTAACCTCCCAAGTCGGTGCCTTACGGATCACGTAATAGTAGATGAGCTCATGCATCAAACCTGAGACGAAGAACGAAGCCATGACTCCAGCAAGCACGGCTCTGTTCTTACCGAGCAAGCGTGTGGAAAACCGCTGAACAGGGAGGTGGATGGTTGAGCGTAGAACGGCTGAAACCATGAGGTTCCATCTGCGGCTCCAGAAGTCTTGTAGAGAGGTTGCTAGGTAAGGCTCATTGAACACTGGCTCGATGTCACACCCGAGAAGAGTAGATACCACGGCACCGACAAGGACCAAGGCAAGTTCCACCTCAAGGTAGAGATGAAGACAATAGAGAGCCAAGACAACGAACCGAGGCCAACCGTCGCTGTATTCATAGACATGTAACAAGACGCCAAAGACCAGGACTTTGACAGCCAAAACCCATTTAGGCATAGGTTCATTCTTACGATGAAGATTCGTGACCGCGGCTTTTGGAGAAGGGTATTGTCTGATTTTGATGGGGAAACAAGCCAAGCAGAAGAAACGGGAGAGATTTGAGGGAAGTGGGCACAAAGGTCCTTGATCAAAGGCAAAGAGAAGAAGCTTGAAGTTTCCGAGCCATGTGAAAAAAAGAGCGGAAAGGCCGCAGAGATGCACAGAAGAGAGGAACAGAGGAAGAACAAGAAACAGAACGAAGATGGGAAGAATAGAGAGGAGACGAAGAACACCTTTAGAGATTCTAGATGATACGAAATAACAATAACAAATGGAGATCAAGGCAGAGATCCAGACCAAGATTAAATTTCTCAACTCTTCTTCCATTTTCCCAGATCTGTTCTTTGCTAATTCTGTGGAAGCACCGGACCTTTTGACGTGGTCCTGTAATGAAGTATCACCACACAAAAAAAAAATGACATAAAGTTTAAAGACAAACGACGCTGGCCATTTTAAGTATTATTAAATAAACAACCAAAAGGCCCACTACGTCGTCGACATATGAGTGGAAGAGAAACATTATAGATTTCTTCTACTTGTCCTACAACTTTTGAGAAAATGAGATAAAAGATCAAACAAACTACCACTGAGAGAGCTACTCTAGTCCTTAATCCAACCTCCGGATCTGCCAATATAAGGATAGTTCGGGCCAGGGGCAAAACCCAATGGACTCATCCCAAAGTCTCCATGCGGTGGCGGTGGTGGTGGCGGCAACGGAAGGCCAGAAGGATCATAGAAACTGTGTCCACTAGGTTGTTGCATTGGAGGCTGAGGTGGGAAAGAGCTCATCCTCTGGTAAATCATTCCATCAAAATGAGGCGCATAGCGTTGTTGCAACGGGAACGCATTGTCCATCAGATTTGGAGGAGGAGGTGGTAACATTGGGTCCAAATGCCCACCGTACTGCTGCTGCGGATACTCTCTTGGACCAACAGCCCCTCTGTTGAGGTCAGAGTATCCTCCTCGGTAATCAAACATCTCGTTAGGACTGTTCCTCAGAGAGGGTGTCAATGGGTACTGATCCGGTATTAAAGGAGGATCCGGAAGTCTGTAGCTTCCACCAATACCATACTTTTCAGCAAGACCATCGTTGAAATGGGACAAGCTTGCACCATAAGATTGTTCAAAGGCTTCGTACGGTTTCTGACTCGTATTTGCTGGTGATGGACGAACAGTGTCGACATCCTCTCTAGATGATCTTACAGAGCTCGTCGACGACCTGCTCCGCAGCTCTTCAGGTTTTCCAACGCCCTGCACTTTACCGTTAGGCTTTTTCCTTGGTATTACAGGCAGAGCTGCTTCCACAGGCTCGTTAGATCTGTGTGGTGTAGTATTGGAAATTGATGTGCAGACAGCGTATATATCATCCGAAGAAGATCTCACAGGACTCTGCCAATCAGGTGTCATCTTGGGGATTTTTACTTCGATGCTGCTCTCTCGTCCTCTATTCAACTCTCGTTGGTCCTCTTCCAAGTCATTTCTCTTCCAATCCACCGACTTCCCAAAGCGATCTTCGGTTTTTTCCAGCTGACTTCCCCTTGACAAGTGATCATCCGGTTGGTCCTCTTCCAAGTCATTTCTCTTCCAATCCACCGACTTCCCAAAGCGTTCTTTGGTCTTTTCCAGCTGACTTCCCCTTGACAAGTGATCCGACTGATGATTTACAAATGCTACAGTTTCCCGCGCTTCGATTCTCTCAGAGAGCAGAATATTATTAACACAATCATCTACCTCAAGTTCATCTATTTCCATAGGAACATCTTCGTTTTCCAATCTGGAATTCACACCATTATGAACGGGACTATCTCTCCGCGTAGAGATATCATTGCATATGCCATCAGAAGCTGCACCTGGATGCAAAGATGCGTTTGAGCTCCCAACACCCGTAGACAAATGGTCATGCTTTTCCGCTATTTCCTTGTGCTGGGCTGCAAAGTCAGACCGGCTCCAGAGAGAAAGTGGCGGTGCAACCTTGTTCCAGTCACCTACTTGTTTGTCTTCGTTATTGACAGAGCCAGGCAGGTAAAATGACTGAAGGGGAGTAAACAACAAGCAAATTTTAATTAAAACTCAAGATAGGCTCAACCTCTCAGAAAACAAAATCAATGGGGGCGCAAGAACCGAGAAAATTTACATGTCCAGATAGGAAAACCTCATCCTTCCATATAAGCTCATAAGGTGACTTCCTTCTATCTACCCTGTTGAGAAAAGTGACAGACTTAACAAGAGAGAGAGAGGAGTCGTTATTTTAGCAGACGAGATAGACGGAAACTGATACCTATCAGTCTCGCGAGGAACAATGAGGATGAGAATCTTTGGGCGAAACTCAAGAGCCTTAGTAATAAACCGGTTTGCATGAGCACACTTGACTCCAAATGGCGGATTTAGCCCCATAATCTACTCATAATGCCAAATACATACATAATCAGAACTCAAACTACTTCGAGGAGACGGGAACTTACACAAATATCAGATTAAAAGGACATTCTTTATCTTACCAGCTTATGACCTGGTAACAACTCCTCTTCGCCTACACTAAACCAATCTCTTTTCTCAAAATTGAAACCATTCTGAAAGTACAAGAAATAATTCAATGGTAATAGTAGAAGATTAACAAGTACTAGAACACACCACAGTCCAGTCTGTTGCTGCCGTGCGTCAGCTATAAGACTTTACAACTCATAAACATCGCAGGTGAACGAGTTATTTACCTTCGCTGGTAAAAGGTCATAATTTTTATACAAACACTTCTTCCCCGTTTCTTCAAGCTTCGCTTTCATCAGCAAGCTAAAGTCGTTACTACCACAACAGAAGTCGACAATCTGTTGGAAGAGATACCAAACATCATTGTTCATGCACAAGAAAATGATTCATTACATTAACAAGATCATATTTCAGAAAAAGAAAATTAAGAGTTCTATAACAAAATAACAAAACTAAACCCTAACAGTAACAGATAACAATCGTGAGTAAATCTCACCATATCACCATCATCTGCGTACCAATGGAGCCTATCTACAATCTGCATGACAAAGTAATGTAAAGATGTGATCAGGCATCAAAATTCACATACAGGAATTACAATGTGACAGAGTGTAAGTTAGTTTTTTCGCAGTAAGCAGGTGAGACAAAGTGTAAGCTAACAGAACAAACATCCTTACAGACGGCACATTAAGTAAGTTGCTAACTGAAAAGACGTAAACAGTCTACATTTAACAAATCATTTCTCCTTGACAACTGTTCTTTCTCAGTTGTCTATGTGAACCAAGCCTTGTAACTTGCAGGATGTTGGGACCTTGATACTATTTATGCTTTCGAAAGGGTAGACTACCTGTTGAAGTTTGTCGACATGAGTAAAATGACGACCATAGGAGGTATAGCGCGGACCATGAAGAAAAGGAGCAAGATAAACTTGAAGCTTATCCTGAAACAAAAGAAACAAACATCTAGAAGATTGGCAAAAAAAAATACTAGTTGCAAGCAGAGATTCAAAAAATGATGCAGAAATATCCTTTGTTCTAGTGTGATGTCTAAAAGGCTAAGCAAAGGACCTTCCACTTGACGATTTGGTCCAGAACCTCTGGGTCACAAACAGCTTTTGCATCCTCAATGTTTCCTCCTTCCTCTAGCCTTTTTAGTGCTGTTCGGACAGCCTGTAGAAACAAAATTTAAAGAGTCAATAATAAAGCGCTAAGAATAGCCAGACAGGGATCGGGTTCAGCTCTCAGCCCACCTGAATTGATCCCTCTACCTTCCCCATAGTGATCGTCTTATTCACAACATTCATTGTGGAGTTTGTATGCGTAGATGGAGCTTTGTATTTGTTCAATATCGCATCCATAGTTATATCTTCCGTAGCTTTTCTCATGACCGCCAAGAGCCTACATCGCCAAAAGTAGATACAATGGAATGAACTTATTAATATATTAAGGGGAGAAAATGAAACTGAAATCATTAACAACAAAGATACTCGCCTCCTTTGAGAGTCATCGTCTAATGTAGGAGTTTCACTTCTTGGGCCCTTGGAGACAACTGAGTCAGTTTTATTGTGTTTGCTATCAACTGAAACCACGCGCCCAGGCTTTACTATGCTACGGTCCTGCGTGTATTCAAACAACCTCTCACCCAGTGAAACCTTGCTTTTATCAGCTTTGTGTGACTCTTTCACTCCAACCTTGTTTTTTCCAGCTTCACGTGGTTCATTCACTTCCACTTTCTTCTTGCCAGCTTCACGGGACTCTCCATATTCCATCATTTTCTGGGATTTGTTTGGCACCAAGCTAGACTTTCTAAATGGGTCAACGTCCTTTCGTTTCCTCAAATGATCTGGTACAGACGAAACTAATCCATGCTTCTTTGTCGAGACACCATCTTTCGAAGATGGCAACGAACTTCTAAATGATTTTACAGCAGCTTTCCCACAAGTGTCGCGTGAGGCAAGATCCTTAACCTGAGGTCTTGCTTTGTCTCTTCCCACATGTGATTCCAGTATCTTTCGTTTCTCTGTCATGAGAAACTTCTTCTCCTTGGTAAAAGGAGGAAAATCAACATGGTCCCTAACCGGTGTCGCGAGCTCTTCATCTATCTCATGTTCTCTAGTCAAGGGAAATCATTCAAAGTAAGTGTCTCAAGGTAAGTCTAATTATGAATTCCCAAAAAAAGATGCATCATCTATAATTCTTACAGGCAATATATGAGTACACGGTTTTTCAGGAGAAGATCCCATGCCCTTGTAGTTATATCCTCGTCGTCATTACCTTCAAAAGAAATTTCACTAGAAACCAACAAGACGTTAAATCAAACAGAAATCTAGAGTAAACATATCATATGAATGACTAAGATATGAAGGTATACCGAGGGAGGCATTTTCTGTGGTAGGACGTTGGACAACGCCGACATACAGCAAACTGTAAGTCATGGTCAGTCTTAACCTCTCCGTTTTTACAGACACTGCATTTGTGCAAGGGGCAGGTGAACTCTCCTGTAATGATTTGTCTCTCTAGTGCTTCAGCGTCTGCTTCATTTAAATGCAGTCGTTTCGTGACACAACGAGGGTGGTAAAAGTAGCCGCAGGTGGCTGATACGCATTGGAAAACCTACAAACATTTAAAAAAAAAATGAAAATGCAAAGCACATCCAGTTAGTTGACAGTCAACAAAACTCATCTGAGCAGCATTCAACATTAGAGATCGATAATTGCATACCTCTGCTGTCCCAGTAGAGTTATCAGAGGAGCCAAGCTTCTTGCATATAAAACAACTATGAATCTTGTGCTCACAGTTTGGGCAATAGTAATTTTGAATAGCCTAGAACACAATCCACAAACAACAATAACATTAATTCCATGCCAACTCAATGCAGGCAACAGTTTTAAAAGGATGGCCATACCAAAATGGTTAGATAATGAGACAAGAAAACCAAGGTGCTCGGAAATATTCAGAACAAATAAGAAAATAACATATATGACATACATCCACTTGCATCTTGGTAAAGTGGAGAGATTCGCATTCTGAATCTACACCATCTTTTTCCGTAGCATGGAATGATCTCAGGCAACTTCCGTCACAACTGCACAAAGTAAAATACAAGACTTATGCTTATGGTTTATATTATACATAACAGGGAACAAAAACAGTGGAACATCAGAAAACTTTATAGCCCTCGATATTTTCAAACGCCAATTACTGCATTTGAGTTTGCATGTTTCACATTACTAAAACATTTTCAGTTTAAAGACGCTAAGGGCTGTTGATCATTTGGAGGAATACACGCTAAACCTCAAAAAACATAAACACAAACAAGCAATTGAGGTCTTATTCTAACAAAAAAAGGTGAAAGGTGGTAGAACTATTCTGTAAAGAAGAAATTTAAACTACAAGATCAATATCCAGCAAGGAAACATACCACAGAAGACTACCACCATTGTCACAAATTGCACAAACAGACTCAAAAACATCATCGTCATCGTCCTCCTCATCCAATTCATCTTCATCAGAAGCTACAGCTGAGTCGTCTCCAACTATGAAATCATCCTTTGGATTGTCCTAATAAACAATAGCAATCTCTTAGCAGAAATTAAGACCGTGCCATAGTAAGGAAAAAGGCACGAGGAAATAGATGACTCAAGTGGGAATAGAAAATCGAACCTCATCAGGCAGTCTCTTTTTGGTAGGCTTCTTTGCGAGAAATGCAAGTATAAACTAGTCACACAAGAAATAAAAACTCCACAAAGTTAGGAGGAAATCAGGGTAAGCAGATGATACATATGCATAAAATTTTGATGACAGAGAGCGAACAAAACTCTTGATAACTATATGGATGTCACAAGCTCTCAAGAAACAGAAACTACAACGACATTTGACGGCCTCATCTAAATCAAACATCTCACAGACCAGAAAGTCAGGAAATTCTCTTTACTAACCTTTGATTTCGCCAAGTTTACATCTCTTTTAACAGCTTCAGCGATTAAATCAGTGTGATCCACCAAATCATTCTGTGATGGCTTCACATCATAAGCCCTGCAAATAACATCCAACCAAAGGTGTTAAAAAGCAAAAGAACGACAATTTCCAGAGAGAAGAACAAAAGAGTTGAAAAGCTTCACTCACTTGAAAATCTGATTCTTAGATAAATGCTCCCAGAGAGATTTATCCGAAGCTTGGGGATGCCTCCTAAGAAACTGAAGGGAGTGCACGGTTACCAAAACACTTCTTATCATCTCCTCGAAGCTCTTCCTCGGCTTCTCAAGCTTGATCCAGAAATTGTCCTTGGTCAGAACGAAAATCTCCGGACTAAAGTTGGAAAGGTCAAATCTCCAAGCTTTAACACGCTTATGCAGCGGCAAGCCATCAGAGGTTCCTCGCAAGTAGAAACCAGCTGCACTTCCATCTACTTTCTCCTTCACGCTCCACTGAATTGGCAGACGCGCGAACGACACTGGTGTTTCGTCGTTGTCTTCGAAATAGTAACCTGAGGCTGATCGAGGCACAGAGTCTTCGTCTTCATCATCGTCAACGAACGCCATTATTCCCAGATTCTCTTGACCTAGAGAAGTTTCGAAATCCGGAGAAAATAAAAAACACAAACGATCCCAATTACAATCAATGACTAGAGAAAACAGTAATGGCGAACTGGGAAACCGTAAAAAGGGGGAAATTCCAAAATCACACCCTTCTCCTAAACCCTAAAGCAAATCGGAATTCGAAATTCGAGTCAGGGCTCGTCTAAGGAGAAAAAGAAACATAGAACTGGAGGCAGAAATAAGCATAGAATTCCGAAAACCAGAGCAACAGAAGCATTCAGAAGACGAAACCCCAAGAGAGAATTTGAAAAGAAAAGTCCCTACAGAGTTTATTCACCCAAAATATGAGAAATCGAGATAACGGAATCGAAGAACTAAACGAATGAACGATCACGAGTAAGAAGAAGAATAGAAGGAAAAACCTTTGAGAATTCTCCTCTCTCTGTGGATACTGTCACGGATTGGAATCAAAAGAGCAGCAACAAGTACGACACAATGCGAAGGAGCGAGATGACAATTTTTTATGTTTATATATTCTGGCACGTTTGTGCGCACGCGCTAAATACTGTACTGTGCCTTTGTGGGCTGTTGCCTGTTTCGATGACGATAATTTCCTTTCCTTTTCAAAATAGCCCAAATTTTCATAATAATTCGGCTTTTTCCATAAATTTTCGATATGATATGGTGGTCACTTGAACACATTAACACAATGCCGAATAGAGTCTTCCTTAGGGATCCAATCCAGATTTTAGAATATTTTGTTTGATTCGGATTGTTTAGTTTTTGAGTTGTTCGGTAAAATAATTAGTTATCAAACTGTATGTTGGGTTGGGAGCAAACAAAAGTAGATGTGACGACCCCTAAAGAGAAAAGCACTCCTACTAATGAAACAAACGAGTTTTAAAGTATCACGCAACACTTAAAGTGCCTGGCTCTTGTAGCTCGTTTGGTTTGCGAAGGCATCTCAAGTGCAACGCAAGCCGTGTTCGATGCTCGAGCTAGGCATTGAGGGACATAGATGATGAGACGATGAGATAAGAGACAAAACAACAAACAACAAATCATAAAATCAATTGTGGTATTCTAAAATATCTCCTTTTTTACAAAAAAAAAAAAAACTGCAGGTCAACAAATATTTGATCTTTCAGTAATTCTTTTTGTTAGTGACAAGCATAATTTTTTGGGTTTAACATCAGCGCAGTTACTGTATATATTCTTAAAATGTCATAATTTTCTGGAAAAATTAATGAAATTATTAAAAGAATAACATTTTAATGTAATTCACAAAGTTTTTATTTTTTTTTCACTTTTAATGTTTCCTTTGTATGGTATAGTGATAACAAATATAATTTTTATTAATAACACAGACAGAGAAGATGTGAAAAATATTACAAAGCAACTCTGTTCCGGCAGGACATCTCAGTTTTGTCTCTCTATTCAATGACTGCTTCCTCTGAGACGGAGGTGATATCAGACAAACTGTCCGCGTCATTGTCTTCTTCGATGGTTAGGCTTGAGATTTCGCCGTTTAAGGAAGAGACTTCGTCTTCTCCGTTGACAGATGGAGCTGGTGAAGCATCAGTACTGGTGCACGTCGTGGTCGTGCTATGAGTCGATGAAGAATCAGAACTCGAGCTCGAACTCTCTGACGACGACGATGATGATTGTTTCTGAAGACTCCAATACATTATACTTGCCGTTAAGATCAATATCATCTTTTGATTCACCTGCAAACAAACATTGTATCCCCATAAAATACAAAGACAATGAAATCCTCTGTTTTACATTTAAATGTATGTTAAGATTAAGATTATGTTTCTGGTTACCTCAACGATATCTTCGGGTAACAAGAAAACCGAGCAACCGAGCTTTCTTGCTACACTAACAATGTATGTAGCATTCAATCTCTTCTCATCGTCTGGAAGAGTATCCATAGCCAAAAAGAACGAGATTAAGCGAATTGTGGTTTAAACAGAGAAAGAGAGTGAAGAGGTAAGTTTTAGTTAGAGAGAGAGTGATGGACCTGATTCACCCTTGGTGACGAGATTCCAGTTAACAACTCTTGGCTCAACTGCCCATAGAAGATCCAGGAAGAATAATCCGCTCGATAGACTCTTATCCTGTTGAAGTTTAGCAAGAAATATTTGATTCAACATAAGACTCTTCAGTGTAATTTTTAGTTTTGATGTAAGTAAAAAGATGAAACCTTGAAGCTTTCGATCTGCGATTTCCGTCCCATGTTTCTGACTTTCCTGTTTGCCCAGCTCAGGATTTCAGAGTCAGTCATGTCTTTCCCTTGTGTCCGAGATCTTAGATTCTTGAGAAGTTGTAGCATATGAGTTCTCATCAACTGCCACAAGAATCCTGAGACATATACATACACCTCCAGTGTTATAAAACTGATAAGGCTTAGAGCATCTTCTTTAACTAGAAAAATAACTGTATCTAACTAAGCAGAGTAATTACCGAGGATAAGCTTCTTGTTCCCTTGAACTATGTCATTCCCAGCTACATTTACAAGCGAGAATCTCATCTCTTTCCCAATCTTCACAACTTGATTGCAATTCTCTACTTTTCTAAACGGCATCTTAATCGGTGGTTCTGAAGCATGCTTCCAGTTAACTGAGCCTGGATAGACCTTGTCAAGAACTTTAAGAAGAATCCATCTGCATCAAAAATAAGTACCAAGACCTTCTTATAAACTTCAGGACCAATACCTTTTCGTGTATTTTCCCAAACCAGAACATCATCACTCCTTAGTCACAGAAAGCTTACCCGTTTCTAACATCTTCAAACACATTATTGACATAACCATCAATGCCGAGGCTGTTAATCCATAGCCGGTAGCATCTTTCATCTCTGCAAGTCTGTATATCCTCAGTCATCATCTCCGCAAAGGAGAACTTTCCATCAGTGCTAAGGCCATTCCTGCAGCAGGTACAGAGAAGCTAGTGTAAAAAACCAGTGCCGTAAGAACAAAACTACCATCTTCTATGATCTTTTACCTACCTTTCGTGAAATATTTGTGCCACGAATGCGAGATTCAAATACGAAGACCCCTCAACTATCTCTTCTGCAGTCAAGTACCGTTTGCAGTTCATTCTCTCTGCATGTTCCAGGACCATGTTAGCCCTTTCGAGATCATCCTCCACGTGTAGAGTAGCTGGATCGCAGTGCTCGGGTGCAAGAACATTGAGAAGGTAAGCATAGGCTTGTGCATCCTGGATATTCAAACAACAATCCCGGCCATTAAGATTAAGGGGAAAATACCAAACATTCCCATTACTTACAGGTGAGCTTTTGTTATCCTATTTTCATTACTGAAACTATAAATCTCGTGGATGAAGCATTTGAAGGGACAAAACGAAGAGTGTACCTTCAAATCCGAAGAGAAATTTCCGACGGTTTTCTTGTAACCACCTTTCTTGAGATGGAAGTTCATCCATTTGAGTAAGACCTTCTCTGGAGGCAATCTCAGAAATTCTTCTATATCCTGCACCAGAAGGAAACACATTATTACTACTCACAAAATGCATATACTTCGGTTAGAAATTCGTAAAGAGATTTGCAGATCATTACATCGTTGTCCTCCACCAATTCAACAAGCTGAGGCATCTTCTTCAAATTGAGATCGGCGAGCAGTTGAATCTGCAGTTCCCAACATCAGTTAGTAAATCATCAAGCACAAACACAGAGGAAGCTGCAAATAGCAAACGAATATGAACCTTTATTAGTTGTGAGATCAATCCAAGTACCAAATGAGGCTGCAAAAACAATCAAAACTTCCATGGTCAAAATCTTCTACATTCGTCTCAACCGATATGTTAATATAAAAAAAGTAAGCAAGAAAAGCATACTCGGCCTTCAGCGAGGTCCTGTGTCCCAATGTTAACCACACTGCAGCCAACGGCTTTTGCAGAGTTGAGACAGAGCGTGTGATTCTCATTTCTCTCCCATGGGTTAAGTACCCTTTTAGTGTTGATCGCTCGCTCGTCTATTGTCCCAGGAACTGCTACATTTATAAACTTACTGTGCCAAAAAGGAAAACAGAGAGAATCAAGTCAAACCTCAGAAACCAAATGTACTAATGTCAAGATGAAATTCAAAGAGAGCATTTGCACATTACCATAGAAGCACACCATCTTTCACAAGCTCATACAAATCATTCGAGTCCGGATCTAAAGGAAGAAACTGCATCAAAAACGGGTCATCCCTAAGATATCTGTTGATGTGATGAACAAAAGAGCCCTTCTCCGACGGGTTTATGGTATGAAGAGTCGTTGTGTTGGCTTTAAGAAACGAAGATGAATGCTTAAGACCACCAGATTTATCAGCAGCTTTATCTCGCAGGATTAGGTATATCTGCACATTGTTCGTATCAATTCCAAGAGCCACATTACACATCACTCACAGAACACATAAAAAGGACCAGACTGACCTTGAGAAACGACTCGAAATCAAGATCATCGCTTGCATGATCAGAACCCAAATCCCCCAAGATTTCTCTGATTTCTTTCTCCTTAAATGTAGAACTAAGTGACTTCACCTTGACCAACACAGGAGCAAGATCCTCTAACGTAATCTTACCGTTCTGATTCTTCAACGACACAAACTAACACAAATTCCAAAAGTTTATATTCAGATCAAAGTTTCGCTTCGATTGCATCTAGAGAAGAAGAAGAAGAAAACAATGAAAGAGAGAGGAGGACATACCTTGGAATTGAGACTCCGAAGTTCGACTTGTGTGAGCTGACTTTCTAGCCATGGATCCGAAACTATAACTCCGACACCAGACATCTCCCCCGCCACCATTCACGGGGAAGATAATCAGAAAAAACCTCTTCAAAATCACGCCAGTGTTCGAATCTCCCTGCAAAGCAATCACATTTAGCTTCAGAGGAAATTGAAAGGAAAGAATCTAAACGCGAGGGAAAATTGACAACAAACAAAAAAAAACTAATTAATTTGATCGGAAGATTTATGCTTAAAATAGCAAAACTAGCTATCAGAACATTACAACTGGATAAACGGAACAGTTTTCCAGATAGATATGACTCCGATTACTCAAAAAAATCCAGAAATCTAGGAGGAATTAGAAAAACAAACCCAATGTATCGAAATCGGCGTCGATTGTCAAGCTTTGATTCAACAATCCAAGTTCTCTGTGTACGTGTGTATATTTATCGATGATAATGTTTATTTCTCCTAGAAAAAAAATAGAGGTAACGGAGTAATTGAAATCGTAATGTGAACGTGCAGAAGACGACAGAATCACGAGAATCGATACCAATGTGAAGAGGAAGAAGAAGAAGATACGGAAGAGAAGAGAGAGAGAGAGAAGTTTGGGTCAAGTGAGAGAGAGAGAGGATCGTTATTTGCTTCGGGTGAGAGCAAAGCGATGAGGAGGGAGAAAACGAGTTATGTGAGGGAGACAATTAAATGCTTCGTCAGAATCGCGAGTAGGGTTTTGGTTATTTATTTATACTCGCTGTACGATCACGACAGGTGGACAAACAGTGGACCTCACGGTTTAACGACTTGTGTGTATGTGTCATTTCTCTATGAGAGCAGACCACTAAATTTCTTTCCCTGCAATTTTTTTTGACTATGTTTCTAAATTTTCTTTACATAAAATAAATACCACCAAACTAAAAAAAAAAAAAATTAGTTTTGCATCTGCTTGAATCATTTTCCAAATACAAAAATACTAAGCTGACCAAAAAGTTATGGCAAATTACCAAAATAAATTGTTAGTTTGGAACATTTCATTGTGAATCTTAGATTTGGGATCGAAACAAAGAAGATCTTCTCCACCGACGTTTTCTTCTATTTTGTAGATTTTCAGACCCATGTGTGCTACGCACGACGGCCTACAATATAAATTATGTAATAAATACTTCATTTTATAATTAGCAAAACACAGTCGAAAGTCTGTGTGATATTGAATAGATTTCTTTTTGTATTTTTGTTAGAAAACAAATCTATGTTCAATGTCATCAAGCTCCAAGTCCACAGTAAATTTAATTACTGATATATATATCTGTGTTTGTGAAAAGTATGTTTTACGTTTCAATACGAAGTCAGCCGATAAGCTTGTGTTGTATAAACATACACATTTGAAAAATAATGTGATAAATCTATAGACCATAGTTCTACAGTTCTACTTAACAAAAAGATATATATGTAAATATTGTTGAACGGTGTGTTACCAAAACATATGACTTTTTAAGAGAGAGATCCATTTGTTTTGCGTTGAATAATCTTGTAGATGTGTTATTCCTATTGAAATAAAGTTTACATCCAAGTAAAATGAAACCAACGAAATTTCTAAAATATCTTATACAACAAGACAGAGGACGGACACTAAAAGGCCCATAATTTATTGGATGCATATCCGTGTACTAACGATCCATCTAAAAGTATAAAAAAAGGACAAAACAAAAGACGACAATGGTCACGCAAAAAGCGAAAAATCTTCCATCATTCACCGCCCGGAGATAGGGCATGCAATGCAAGTCTTCACACATTTGTCCGTTTCTTCACACATCTCAACTCAAAAAGACGCCTCACGATTATATCACCCACATAATATCTTACGTTACGCTCTTAACTAACTCCGACCTTTTACTTTAGCATTAAAAATTTTAAACTCGCTATATTTACAAGCTCATGGTAGATCTAACGGAGATTCACAAATAAAATCTAGAGAGAGAAGAGAAAATATAAGGAAAAAAAATGGGTAAGAACGATACAAGAATCCTTATGCAATTTGCAGTTCTTGCAACGGTATTAACCTCTGCAATATTGGTGAAAGAAGCTACAAGCCTTACCGTTTGTCAAATCGACACGAATGATATGCAGAAATGTCGTCCAGCAGTCACTGGAAACAACCCGCCGCCTCCTGTCAACGAATGCTGCGTAATGGTCCGAGCCGCTAATCTGGAATGCTTCTGCAGATACAAAATTTATCTCCCATTATTAGGGATTAACCCATCTAAAGTCGTGGCTCTTGTAGCCAAATGTGGTGTTACAACAATCCCTCCTGGTTGCCGAGGTAAAAAGAGAAAAAAAATAAGGACTCATAGATGTATTTTTTCATGTGATTACTGAATTAGAAGTAGGATCTTGAAAGTAAAGAAAGAGTCTTACGTTTTGATTGTTCATGCAGCTTGAAGAATAGAGCTGGAGACAGGTCTCTATGGTTCTGAAGACTTCGCCTGGATGATGTCCTGTATTCTCTAAATTACTATGTTTTTTTAGTGTTCTGTTCCAAATAAATCGCAAACTTTTGATGATTCTCGATTCACTTTCTGTATAGAAGAATAGTGTTCTCTATACATTAATGAAAACGTTTTATTTATTTTTTCTCTTCACTATCCAAAAAAACCAACTCATCATCATGCCTTTCCTCTTGAAGAACCAAACTCAAAAATTGTGGAAATGAAAAACAGAAAACTCTTCACTTGTCATGATTATGATGAATAAAAATTTCGGGTTTGAAACCTCAGTGCTAACTTGTGGCAGTGAATAGTGTGCACAGTGAGGTTACCTCTGTTTCCTAGTGTTATGTGGCTTACATCAATGATCAAGAAGCAGATAGTTCGCAAAACTAAGGACTTGTTGTTGTTACATGATAAGAAGACAGAGGAAGTTCACGTGCCTTGACAAGGCCGACAAAACAAAGCCATGGGTCACACAACGGAGCAAGTTGTGTGTGTCATCCCCCAAGACCCAAGTCGGAGACTTATTCATGAAAGTAAAGTCTCCCCACATTTGTCCGTTTGTTTACCATATTATCGACTTGACTTGACTTAAAAAGAGCCTACGCTCTTACAAGCTTCTAACATTGCTATATAATAAGCTCATTATATCGAAGGGTTTTCACAGTAAATTTGAGAAAAAGAGTGAAGATAAAAATAAAAGAGAAAATAAAAATGGGTAAGAACAATACCAGAATGCTCATGAGATTTTCAGCTCTTGTGATGGTTTTAACCGCGGCGATGATGATGGAAGAAGCTAAGAGCATCCGTCTATGTAACATCGAAACAAAGGACGCGGAGAGTTGTCGTCCAGCCGTCGTTGGAAACAACCCGTCGCCTCCAGTAAACGCATGCTGCGCAGTTGTCCGAGCTGTTAATCTCCCATGCATATGCAGATTCAAGTCATATCTAACCACTTATAATATTGACCCAGCTAGAGTCAGGGCTCTTGTACCCAAATGTGGCATTAGAACAGTGATCCCCCCTGCTTGCCAAGGTAAAATCATATACATACATATATTGGAAAACCACTTGCTTAGTAAGATTTGTTGGTATGAAGAAAAGAAAGAAAGTCTTACGGTTTTGTTTTGCTGTTTCTTTGTTTCGAGCAGCTTGATGAACTTACCTGGAGAGTGGAGACATAGTGTTTATCACAAAGACATAAACTTGCAATAATATTCAATTACCTTGTTGTAATATAGAAGTACCATGTTCCACATCACCTAGGCACCTATCCTGTACTTTCTGGACTATCAAAGATTGGTAGTTATTTTATTTGCATGTTTTGGAGTTTCAGTGATTTTTAAGGCAAGAACATACGACAATCCAATAAGAGTTCTAATATGCTATTTATTTTTATGGAGATTATATGACTGATATTATTGAAATAAAAATTTAAATCTCCAAATGGCTTTAGCTTAGGCAAAGCTTAGAGGTCACATGATCGAATGTCATTTGAGACGGAACCAAAACTTCTGGTAATTAAAAAAAAAACAATTGAATTATAACGTAATTGATAGACCACTTCCAAACATATAATCATATCAGAATAATAATTAAAGTACTTTCATTAATGGAAAACAACAAAGAAATAAAAGTCACAAACAAGAACAAGAGGTTACTTCTATTTATAGGGAATAATATCTTGGAAGTTGAAAGGGAGATCCACTGGAAAAAAAACAAAGCCATGGGTCACACAACGGAGCAAGTTGTGTGTGTCATTCACCAAGTGGGAGACTTATTCATGAAAGTAAAGTCTCCTTACATTTGTCCGTTTGTTTACCATATTATCTCTTACAAGCTTTTAACATTGCTATATAATTAGCTCATTAGAACGAAGGGTTTTCACAATAAATTTGAGAAGCCGAGTGAAGATTAAAAAAAAAAAAAAAAGAAAAAAAAGAGAGAGATGGGTAAGAACAATAGCAGAATGCTCATGAGATTTTCAGCTCTTGCGATGGTTTTAACCGCGGCGATGATGGTGGAAGAAGCTAAGAGCGTCCGTCTGTGTAACCTCGAAACAAACGACTTGGAGAGGTGTCGTCCAGCCGTCACTGGAAACAACCCACCGCCTCCGGTTAACGGATGCTGCGTAGTGCTCCGAGCTGCTAATCTCCCATGCCTCTGCAAATTCAAGTCATCTCTAACCGCTTATGGGATTGACCCGGCTAAAGCCAAGGCTCTTCTACCCAAATGTGGCATAAGAAATGTGATCGCCCCTCCTGGTTGCTAAGGTATAAAATCATATATAGACACATATTGGAATACTACTAGCTTAATAAGATTTTTTATATGAAGAAAAGAAAGAAATTCTTACGGTTTTATTTTGCTGCTTTTTTTGTTTGTTTAAGGTTGCTGCTTCTTTCTTCATCGAGCAGCTTGAAGAACTGAGATGGAGACAGAGTGTTTATCATCCAAACTTGCAATGATCTTCAATTATCTTGTTTTAATATAGAAGTACCATGTTCTACTCACCCATCCTATATTTTCTTGACTATCTTTGGTGGTTATTTTATTCGCATGTTTTGGAGTTTTGATGATTTTTAAGGCAAGAACATACGACAATTAAATAAGAGTTTTAACATGTTATTTTATGGAAATCCTATTATTGATATTATTGAAATAAAGTTTAAATCTTAACGTAACAGGCCACTTCAAAACATAATCATATTAGAAAATGATAATTAAAATACTTTCATTAATATAAAATAACAATGAAAAGTATAACAAACAAGAACGAAATAGTATACGAGCCGTTTGTAATCAGAAATATAAATACAAAATCATAACAATAACACTTTTTGTTTAAATTTAATTTACGAAAAGAAGAAAAAGCAAGCCAGTAACATTAAAAACAGAGAACTCTTCACTTATCATGATTATGATGAATCAAAATTGTGGGTTTGAAACCTGGTTGCTATTTTGTGGCAGTGAATAGTGTGCATAGTGCGGTTACTTCTGTTTTCTACTGTTGTGTGGCTTACATCAATGATCAGGAAGCAAATAGTTCACAAAACCAAATACTTGTTTGTTACATGACAAGAAGACAGACCAAATACACGTGACGACAAATGACAAGGAACAAAACAAAGCCATGAGTCACACAGCGGAGCAAGAGCAACTTGTGTGTGTCTTTACACCAAACCTAGACTTTTCATGCAAGTAAAGTCTCCCACGTTTCTCCGTTTATTGACCAAACATACCATCGATTCAAAAAGAGCATTGCTATATAATAAGCTCATTAGATTGAAGTGTTTCTCACAATAAACTTGAGAAACAGAGTGAAGAAAAACAAAACAAAAAAAAAAAAGAGAGAGAGAGAGAGAGAGAGAGAGAGAGAAATGGGTAAGAACAATACTAGAATGCTCATGAGACTTTCAGCTCTTGCGATTGTTTTAACCGCGGCGATGATGGTGGAAGAAGCTAAGAGCGTCCGTCTATGTAACATCGAATCAAACGACTTGCAGAGGTGTCGTCTAGCCGTCACTGGAAACAACCCACCGCCTCCGGTTAACGGATGCTGCGTAGTGCTCCGAGCCGCTAATCTCCCATGCCTCTGCAAATTCAAGTCATCTCTAACCGCTAATGGGATTGACCCAGCTAAAGCCAAGGCTCTTCTACCCAAATGTGGCATTAGAAATGTGATCCTCCCTCGTGGTTGCTAAGGTATAAAATCATATATAGATATATTGGAAAACAACCAGCTTCGTAAGATTTTGATATGAAGAAAAGAAAGAAAGTCTTGCGGTTTAATTTTTCTGTTTCTTCTTGTTTCGAGCAGCTTGAAGAACGGAGCTGGAGACATAGTGTTTATCATCCAAATAAAATCACAAACTTGCATTGATCTTCAATTACCTTGTAGTAATATAGAAGTACCATGTTCTACATCATCTATTCTGTACTTTCTTGACTATCAAAGATTTGTGGTTATTTTATTGTAAGTTTTGGAGTTTGAATTATTTTTAAGGCAAGAACATGCAACAATTAAAAAAGAGCTTCAACATGTTATTTTTATGAAGATTCTATGATGGATATTATTGAAATAAAGTTTAAATCTTAACGTAATAGACCACTTCCAAACATTGAATCATATTAGAAAATGATACTTAAAATACTTGCATTAATGGAAGCAACAAAGAAAGTCACAATTCACAAACAAGAACAAAAAAGCATACGTGGCATTTGTAATCAGCAATATAAATACAAAATTATAACAATAACAATTTTTTATCAGTTTTAATTTATGAAAATTGAAAAGAAGAAAAAGCAAGCCAAATATATTAACCATCCTCCTTGCAGACATTTCAACTCAAAAGACGAGTTGACTAGAAAATTAAATCAATTCAGACTATTCAGTAGCCTTTTGCAAGTACCTTGAAAATGAAGTATAGCCATCAAACCAGCCCAATCCTGATTTTGTGTTTTCATTAGCTAGTGACAAGGTCGAATCCACGATTCAAAGTGCTTTTCTAGCGTATTCTTGAATGAAAACGTTTAATTTATTTATCTTTCTCTTCACTATCCAAAAACTTAACTCATCATGCCTTTCCCCTTGGTGAACCAACTGCAAAAATTAAAGTTAAAACCTGAGAACTCTTCACTTGTCATTATTGGAATGAATGATAATTCTGGGTTTGAAATCTGATTGCTAGTTTGTGGCAGTGAATAGTGTGAAGAGTGAGGTTACCTCTGTTTTCTAGTGTTGCGTGGCTTACATTTATGATCAGGAAGCAGAGAGTTCACAAAACCCAAATACTTGTTTGTTACATGACAAGAACACAGACCAAATTCAGGTGACTTGCGTGTGTCTTTTGATATATCATGGTTTTTATGGGTTTTTGCCATGATATAAGTCTTGTATATAGAGTCTTTTTGGTATTTTTGGAGTCTTTTTGAGTCTATACAGGTCTAAGCATGTTTTGGAGCACAATTGGAGATAATGGAGCTATTTGGAGCATATTTGGGGAAGTGCTGGAAAACAAGACAAACAGATCGTTCAGAGACTTGGTGTCGACCGACACCACATCTGTGTCGGTCGACACCCCCTTTTCCCAGAAACGCAAGTTCTATTTTAAAGACTTTTGAAGATCTGCACTTTAGCCCAGAAGTTCCACTTATTTACAAGAAGGCCCAATTCGTGTTTTTAGGTTTTTAAAGCCATTGTTAGGCTATTTTTATCATACTTTTATTCTATTGAGACTTAGAGAGAGATTTGTAGCAGAGCTTTGGAGAGATAGATCAAACTCCTTCAGAGAAGATTTTGAACTCCTTTATCTCTATTCTTATTTCTTTTATGCAATCTATTTATTCATGATGTTTGTCTCAATCACCATGTCTGAGTAGATTCCTTGTTAGGTTTAGGGTTTTTCAAAGGTTGAAGAAGAATTGCAATTGCTTAGGATAATCATTAGAGTTCTTCATCTGGATTGTGTTTATTGCTTATTCTAGCTTCGCGACCTAGAATCTGATCTTAGGTTAATTGGTAGACACGAAAGTGTTATTGATTTCCTGAACTATCTTAGATGAGCAAAATATCTATCTGCAAAGGAATTTGGTTTAGAGATTTTGTGAACTTATCAAACCTGATCATTAATGCTTGTTTGAATTGTTGAATTTGCAAAGAAATTTGGGATTCTAAGTTTAGACATAGATAATCTCTGCAACGAAAGTTGATTGGTTTTACAATTGTGATTTGAGTTCTAGAATGGTTCTTCATTAATATCCTGATATTTACTCTGCAATTCGGATTCAACCTGCGAATTTCCCAAGGCCTAACCTTTGTCTCATTGAATTTAACCTCGTTAATCAATCACCTGCTACTTTGTTTTCTTTTATTTGCTTTTACATTACTCATATCTTACTTAGCCTGATTTGAATCTGGAAATTCGTTGTGCAACTGATAGACGTTTGGATTCGATAAACCCTTTATACTACATTGATTTACTGTGCACTTGCAGTGATAATATAGGGTAAAACTTAACCTATCAAGTTTTTGGCGCCGTTGCCAATCGTCTTGTTGTTGCCATCAGATTTCTAGTTCTAGAGTCTTGTCTAAGTGTTTCTTTTTGTTTTGTTACTCACGCTCTACATTCTTTCTTTTTGGTGTTTCAGGTGTATGCATACGCAGAACCAGAAGCAACAAGCGGAAGAGCTACTCAATCTCACTAATCAATCAAAGAGCTAGCACACTTAGAGCGTACAAACAGAAAAGCCAAGAAGCCAGTCGAGATGGTCAATCACATAGTCTTGATTCGCGGTGAAGATGGGCTTCTGTTTGATCCAGAAGGGAACCGGTACAATGAGCAAGGGCAGAAACTCGATGCTGCTGGGAATGTGATCCCAGAACCAGCTGTAGATCCAGCTGCTCCTAACCCACCCCCCCTCAACCAAGCTGCTCCTATTCAGCCTGCAGCTTTTCAGCCGGCACTACCCAATGAAGGAGCAGGAGAGCAGCGCACACTAGGCGACCACAACAGGCCTGATTTGTTTTATGCGAATCGCTCTGCGATCCGACCTCCTCCGTTCCAGAGGAATAACTTTGAGCTGAAACCTTCTTACTACACTCTTGTGGGTCTGCATCCCTTTCATGGTTATCCCACTGAGAAACCAATGGATCACATTGAGAACTTCGAAGACCTGGCCAGCAGCATCAAAGCCGATGGCGTGAGCATGGACTACCTTCTCTGCAAGCTTTTCCCTTACTCTCTTGCTGGGGATGCAGCTTACTGGCTAAAGCAGTTGCAACCAGGATCTTTGACAAACTGGGAGGATACTAAGAAAGCCTTTCTGAACAATTTCTATGATGATGCAATGTCTGAGGAGGCAAGGAACAACATCTCTACATTTCGTCAAGGACCTACTGAAGCGTTCAAGGCGGCTTGGGTTCGATTCAGGTCATATCAGAGAGACTGTCCACACCATGGTTTTAGTGAGATTCAGCTTGCTGGGCACCTTCTTTAGAGGCATTGATTGGCAGTATCAGATGGCTCTCGATGCTGCGAGCAATGGGAATTTCAACACCAGGTATCCACATCAGGCTTACCAACTTATTGAGAACTTGGCATCTAGCAATAGTACCAAGAATGCTGATTTAGAGAGGAAGAAGCTAGGTGGAAACATGGATAGAAGTCAAATTGCTGAGGTTAAGGCTAAGTTAGATTCTGTGCATGGCCTTCTTGTGGGAAAGAAATCAGTTCAATTTGCTGCTGAGGTTGAAAGTGTGGATGAAGAAGATGTTAATTTCATCAATGGAGCTGGGTTTCAAGGACAGAGATGGGCAATCAACAAGGATATAATTCCTCTTATCATAAGCCTTATGGTTCTTCTTCTTACCAGAAACCTCCTGAACAAGACAATGAGATGAAGTCAATGCTTAAGCAACTTCTAGAAGGTCAGCAAAACATGACTGTGAGCTTTAATGGAAGGATGGATGCCATGTACCAAGACTTGAATGGGAAATTTGAAGCTTTGAGCACACATGTGAAGAAGTTGGATGTTCAAGTTGCTCAAAGTGCTGAGTCTATCAAAAGACAAGAGGGTTTTCTTCCTGGAAAGACCAATATCAATCCCAAACATTCATGTCATGCTATTATGGTGGAAACTGGAGCCAATTTCGTGGATTTTGAGAAGACTGCAACTGATTTTCGCACTGCAGAAGTTGTGTCGGGCGACACCACTGAACTGTGTCGGTCGACACTGCACATAGGGTGTCGGTCGACACCATCCCTGTGTCGGTCGACACCAGTGACTGCCAGAAGAAATTCTGCAAATTTCGGATTTTCAGGCAAATTCCTGCAAATTCCAGACTGCACCAGATCTTACAGAAACGTCCAAATCAGGTGCAGAAAGAGTCTATAAGCCTAAAATTCCTTTTCCAAGAGGTCTAGGAAGTCTAAACAAGAGATTGAAGATGCAAAAGTCAAGGCCATGATAGACAAGCTGATGATTGAGATACCATTAGTTGATGCAGTCAATCTTTCACCTGCACTAAGGAGGTATGTTAAGAGAATGGTTGTGAATGGTGTGAGTCCTGAGGAAGGAGCATTGCTTACCAAAGACATTAGTGATGTTCTCTTGAACACAGTCCCAAAGAAGAAGAAGGTGATGGTCTTCTGAACAAGTCAGTGCTATAATTCAGAACAAGATTCCAGAGAAGCTACCTGATCCAGGAAACTTTGTGCTAGATTGCTCTATCTCAACAAGCAGGTTTCCTCATTCTCTTTGTGATCTAGGTTCCAGTGTAAACTTGATGCCTCTCTCTGTTGCTGCTAGACTTGGAATGACTGATTTCAAGCCAACTAGGATCTCTCTTATCATGGCTGATCGATCTAAAAGAATCCCACAAGGTGTCTTAGAGAATGTTCCACTTAAAATTGAAGGTCACTTGATTCCCACAGACTTTGTGGTTTTGGAATATGCTGAAGAACCTATAGATCCTCTTATTTGGGAAGATCCTTCTTAGCTACAGCTGGTGCTATCATTGATGTGAAGAAAGGGAAGATAGAGCTTGATTTGGGTGATTTAGTCATGAATTTGACATGGACAAATTAAGGAGGAGATCCACTATTGATGGTCAGAGTTTTTCTGTGGAGATTTCTAAGGATGAAGATCAATCAGAGAGCATTCACATGACATTACTGCTGGGTATGTCAAAGAGGTGGATACTAGTGAGCAAGTGAACAAGCTGGAAGATAGGAGTGGAGACTTAGTTGGTGATCACCTCATAGCCCAAAAGCCTCCCATAAAGCAAAGGTATGCACTTCTGAACTTAATTCCAAACCCCCTGATATCATCATTAACAATTTAAAAGGTGTAAAAGCTGTTTCACACTTATGCAAGCAACGAGATTCTCGTAGAAAGCTTGGTGTTTCTTTTGATGATTCTGCAGGAAAAAGAAGTGTTCCACCCAAACTCACATCCCACCCTGCTGCTATTCCTCACTTCCTTGGGCGTCCTCATGCACCTAATGCTTATACACCACCATGGATGAGGAGACATTCTTCTCAGAGGCATTTGTTGCTATTGTCTGATCCACCAGATGCCTGAACCCTGACACAGTCAAGCTAATGACTGAAAACAAGCGCTTAGTGGGAGGCAACCCACTTGTAGGTGAAATTCCTTTGTGATTTTCGTTTTGTTTTCACTAATTTTGTTTTTTGTGTTTCTGAAAAAAAAAAAAAAAAAAAAAAAAATGGTGTCGACCGATGCAACCTGCGTCGCCCGACACCGAACGCGAAGACGAGCGGACGAAAATCGAGCACACAAATCCGCGGGTCGACACAGTTGTTTGTGTCGACCGACACGATTCTGCAGAAGGTAAGTTTTCTGTTTTTCTTAATTGAGTCAGTTTTTATTGTTTTTTAACCAATTTCAGACTAGATAACACTGGGGACAGTGTTGTTCAAGTCTGGGGGAGGTAGTTACTGATATTGTGTACATGTTTGAGTCTTTTTTTGGTTTTTAGTTTTTGAAAATGTTTTATTGAGTCAAAATTGTTTGGTTGTTCAAAGTTGTTTGATGCATTAGAGTGAGTTTGAAGTTAAGATAGCACCACACTTGGAATTCATTGATAGTATCCATGATTGGTATTCACAACTTGACTGACACATGCTTTGATTTGACACCATTCCTTACTTATTAGAACCATAATCTGACTTGCAATTATCATGTTCATGCATTGAAAGTGTTTTCATGGATACCATATACATACTTGGGCTCTCTTATTCCTTTTTACCACTCTTGTTAGTCCAAGTAGCTGATCTCCATTTTTGAGACAGTTAATCCCACCCTGAACCAAACCTTCTTTCAAGCCAATGCTTAGTGAGTGATGTGAGGCCTATTTTCTGAATGAGCTTAGCAAAAAGTGTTGGGTTTAGACGACAAGGATATGTTTTCATGTAGAACTAGCTCACCCTTTTTGAGTTAGACTAGGTAGGGTATTTGGGATTTGGATTTGTGCTTAATGGAAAAGAGAACTAAGGAGAAGAGAATTGTTTAGAAGTGGTTATTTGGTTTGTGTATATTGTTTTTCTGTCTTTGGCTCTAGTTAATAAAAAAAAAAAAAAAAAAAGAAAATCGAAAAAAAAAAAAATAAAAAAAAACAGAGCCAAAGTAGAGTTTTTAGACCAAAACCACTTGGAATCAGAAGTTGAATCTTCCTTGGGTTCAAAAAGAAAAGAAAGTGAATGTATGAAGAGTTGTTTATGAAGAGAAAGTGCTTTAATGGGTAGCTTAGGATCATTTATGGGTTGTATTGTGGAAATTTGAAGTTACTTGGGTAGATGAAAATTTATCCTTGTATGCATAAATTGATCTTTACCCTTAGCATTTTGCCAAAGCTCATTCACTTCTTGAGAGATCCCTTGTTTGATGCTTTAAACCTGGATGAAAAGAGACCATATTTGTCTCTTAACCTTGTCCCTAGCTAAATGATTTCACTTGATTGCATGAACTTGATCCATGGTTACTCTTTAATTGAATGTTAAAAGGAATGGTTGATTTGAATGCATATATAGGTTGAGTTGGAATCTACTTCATGTTGTGATGAGTGTGGCTAAAGTTTTTAAAGTAGAACAAACTCACAATGCATTGACTCTTTGAACTGCCTTGTTTTCAAACCTCTTTCACAGTTTAGTTATTTGTTTTGCTTGAGGGCAAGCAAAAGCTAAGTCTGGGGGAGTTGATATATCATGGTTTTTATGGGTTTTTGCCATGATATAAGTCTTGTATATAGAGTCTTTTTGTGTTTTTGGAGTCTTTTTGAGTCTATACAGGTCTAAGCATGTTTTGGAGCACAATTGGAGATTGGAGCTATTTGGAGCATATTTGGGGAAGCTGCTGGAAAACAAGACAAACAGACGATTTCAGAGTCTTGCGTCGACCGACGCACATCTGTGTCGGTCGACACTTTTCCCAGAAACGCGTTTATTTTAAAGACTTTTGAAGATTGCACTTTATCCCAGAAGTTCCACTTATTTACAAGAAGGCCCAATTCGTGTTTTTAGGTTTTTAAAGCCATTGTTAGGCTATTTTTATCATACTTTTATTCTATTGAGACTTAGAGAGAGATTTGTAGCAGAGCTTTGGAGAGATAGATCAAACTCCTTCAGAGAAGATTTTGAACTCCTTTATCTCTATTCTTATTTCTTTTATGCAATCTATTTATTCATGATGTTTGTCTCAATCACCATGTCTGAGTAGATTCCTTGTTAGGTTTAGGGTTTTTCAAAGGTTGAAGAAGAATTGCAATTGCTTAGGATAATCATTAGAGTTCTTCATCTGGATTGTGTTTATTGCTTATTCTAGCTTCGCGACCTAGAATCTGATCTTAGGTTAATTGGTAGACACGAAAGTGTTATTGATTTCCTGAACTATCTTAGATGAGCAAAATATCTATCTGCAAAGGAATTTGGTTTAGAGATTTTGTGAACTTATCAAACCTGATCATTAATGCTTGTTTGAATTGTTGAATTTGCAAAGAAATTTGGGATTCTAAGTTTAGACATAGATAATCTCTGCAACGAAAGTTGATTGGTTTTACAATTGTGATTTGAGTTCTAGAATGGTTCTTAATTAATATCCTGATAGTTTACTCTGCAATTCGGATTCAACCTGCGAATTTCCCAAGGCCTAACCTTTGTCTCATTGAATTTAACCTCGTTAATCATCACCTGCTACTTTGTTTTCTTTTATTTGCTTTTCATTACTCATATCTTACTTAGCCTGATTTGAATCTGGAAATTCGTTGTGCAACTGATAGACGTTTGGATTCGATAAACCCTTTATACTACATTGATTTACTGTGCACTTGCAGTGATAATATAGGGTAAAACTTAACCTATCATCTTTACACCAAATGACTTTTCTTGCAAAACAAAGCCAGTACTGGTCACACAACGTAGGAACTTGTGTGTGTGACTTTACACCAAACATAGACTTTTCATGCAAGTTAAGTCTCCCACGTTTCTCCGTTTTTTCACCAACCATATTAAGTTATTAACGATTCAAAAAACGACTTGACTTGACTGAAAAAGACCTGTGAACCTACGCTCTTACACGCTTTAAACATGGCTATATAATAAGCTCATTAGATTGAAGGGTTTTTCACAAGAAACTCGAGAAACAGAGTGAAGATTAAAAAAAAGGAGAGAGATGGGTAAGAACAATACCAGAATGCTCATGAGATTTTCAGCTCTTGTAATAGTTTTAACCGTGGCCATTATGGTGGAGGAAACTAAGAGCGTCCGTGTATGTAACATCGAAACAAACGACTTGGAGAGGTGTCGTCCAGCCGTCACTGGAAACAACCCGCCGCCTCCGGTTAACGGATGCTGCGTAGTGCTCCGAGCCGCTAATCTCCGATGCTTCTGCCAGTTCAAGTCATATGCAACCAATAATGGTATTGACCCAGCTAAAGCCAAGGCTCTTATACCCAAATGTGGCATTAGAAATGTGATCGTCCCTCCTGGTTGCTAAGGTAAAATCATCTATACTATTAATTGGAAAACCACTAGCTTAGGAGATTTTTTATATGAAGAAACAAAAGAAAGTCTTACGTTTTATTTTGCTGTTTCTTTCGTCATCGAGCAGCTTGAAGAACTGAGCTGGAGACATACGGATCTGAAGTCTCTAGAACTACAATATATCATACTATTCTCATCCAAATAAAATCACAAATTTGCAGTGATCTTCGATCGCCTTGTGGTAATATAGAAGTTCCATGTTCTATACATTAAAAAAAACGATCAATAGTAATATTAATGTTTCTTTTTTTCACTACATCAGTACTTATCCGGCTACTTTATTGACTATCAAAGATTGGTGGTTATTTTTTATTTGCATGTTTTGGAGTTTCAATTATTTTGAAGGCAAGAACAAACGACCATCAAATAAGAGTTTAACATGTGTGTTTCATAGAATAATAATGGTAGGAAAACACAATTACATTACTTTTATTGGAAAACAACAACAAAAAGTCGCAAGCAAGAACAAATAAGAACAAAATAGAGTACGAGTCATTTGCAATCAGCAATATGAATGCAAAATCATGACAATATAACATTTGTATTCAATTTTAATTTATGAAAAGAAGAAAAAGCAAGCCAATAATTACCACAAGTCTTCCACCTCATTTAAGCCACTTGCACATTTCAACTCAAAAGACGACTTGACTAAACCCTAAACCCACACCACACGCTGTTTCTAGTTTTCCCTTAGCATTAACTTGTTATATAATTTGAAGGCTTCCAACATCCATGGTAAAATCGGACAAAGACAGAACGGATTCTAACAATAGCAGAACCTTTAAATTCGGACAAAGACAGTACTTTGTTTTTTTTTTCACTACATCACGTATCCTACATACTTGACTATCAAACACTGGTGACTGTTTTTTTGTTTGCATGTTTTGGAGTTTTAATGATTTTGAAGGCAAAAAGCCAAAAAAACAAACGACAATCATATAAGTTTGAACATGTTGTTTCGATGGAGATTCAATGATTGATTGATATTAATGAAACTAGGTATTGAACCCGCGCGACATCGCGCGGAAACTCATTTTTGTTTAATTTTTCAAAACAAAATTGGAGTTATAGTTTCTTTGAGTGCTTTAACATTAGCTAGTGACAACTTCAACAACAATATACATGAGCTGGTCAAGGTTAAGTGCTAACGTTGTTTGTGGCCAACCTGACATATTTCTAGGATCTCTTCCTTCAGCACTCATATCTTTCTCTGTCTTTTATTTCACATATAAATTTTGTTTTGTTAAATATCTACTGTTGTAATCCCTAATCTCTATGTTTTGCAATGTCTGACTCCATATCCTCTTGCTTGCATTTGCTTCTTTTTTCTTGACCATCAAGAACTGTGCTCATATATTTTTCCGAGTGGTGGAATCTCTTATGTAGAATCATGGTTTGAGACTTCGAGCTCTTTAGCTCAAATTGTTAAATGTAATCCCTTTTTATTTGACGCTGGTAACAGTAACTTAAAACAGAAATATGAACACTCTTAACCGAAGAGTACACATGGACAAACCTTCATTATTTGAACTAACCGTCTTTACCATAACTATTGCCACAAAAGTAATAAAGAATTCAAAGGAATATATAATCAGCTTAAAGCAACATAGTCCAAAATTCCATTGAGACACAAGGTAAAATTCTCAGGACTGTGAAAACAAAAATCGAGCAAGAAACCCAAAGCAAACCAACAAATAAAATCCATTCGGAGGTTTTGGTTGGCATAAAAGTCAAAAGTTACAACGATTTTTCTCTAAAATATTCAATCCTTAATCATTTTTTATTATTATATAAATTCCAAATAGACTTATCAGCAATAAAATCAGGAGGAAAAACATAACTGAGTGTGAAAGGTCACAATCATATACTTTACGATTGTCACGTTAAGAAACTAAAAATAATGCCATCGAGAAATCATATACTTTACGATTGTTATTCGTTGTAATGCTACTGTTTGGAATTCTTAAACTTAACACACCAACATATAATACATTTAAACATAAAACTTTAATATGTACTTTTTTTTTAAGAAATAGAAGAAGAACCTTTAAATGGAAATGGTTGTGTGGCAACTTGAAAATGCCGTTTGCCTTCATCCTGAAAATGCCAATAACACAACGGTTAATGGATTAGACCTGTAAAGAACCGTTATTGATTTCTTTTTGAACACTAACTAAGAGAGAGAATTTGAATTTGCAACTGACTTTTTTGCTTTCCCAAGTCATCAGAGTGATCACATCTATGATTTTATATACTCCATGCATCGTTTATGATGTATCTTAAAACCGTTGGGAACATTTATCTTCTCATCTCATCTCACATTTCAATTATACAAAAAAATGAAAATAAATAAATGTTAAGAGTTACAAAATATTGCAACGAAAAGGTACAAATAGAAGAGACGCAATTCTAAAGATATCTGTTGGCACTCTGGATGAGCTGACTTTCTCTCCCAGGCACTCTTACCAAGGAAAGTCTTTACCCACCGGTTCCCGGTTGAGAAAACACCCTTTACCCAATGTACCTTTCCCCTTCTGGAAAGTTTTTTCAAAAATCCGCCGCACCTGGTTGTAAGAGCCCGGGTTCACGCCCCCGACCCGCGGTCGGAGGGTCCTCAAAGACAACGGTAAGCAACGTTCCTCCGTCAAAACCCTAATTCTAGCACAGCCGCACACTAGAAATCTTCAAAAAGCTACAGCAATATCACCTCTACTTGAAGTCCACACTACTACAACGCAAGCTGCACGTCTACAACGACCTTGTAACTAAACCGGAGAAACCTCAAGCGAACTCACAAGGAAAAGCAGAAGAGATAGCAACAACATTCTTGTCCATCCATCCGGAAAATGACGAGATGCATCTCATGGGAAGATAAGGGGAAGGCGAAAGCAACTGACTACGCACCACCGAGGATACGAGTCAAAGCTCCAAACCTGGACACATCAAACCTCATCCAAAAACACAAGCTCACGTTGGTAGGGAGAGTCACAAACCCCCGGGAACAGAGAATTGGCGTGATGATACCCTATCTCATCAGGAAATGGAGCCTGAAAGGAAATGTAACCGGATCAGATCTGGGGAGAGACTGCTTCCAATTCATGTTCGAGCTCGCTGAAGACCTAGAGAAGATCCTGGCAAACCGCCCACACCACTACGAACACTGGATGCTCATAATACAAAGATGGGAACCGATCATCTCACCAACGTTTCCGGCCTACATACCGTTCTGGATCGAACTTAAAGGGATCCCACTACACTACTGGCAGAGAGATCTACTAGACAGCATTGGAGAAGAGCTGGGAGGAATGATAAAGTACGAACTCACCTCTACAACGGCAAGGATAAAGGTTCATATCAATGGTCTCCAACCCCTGGTGAAAGAATCAGTCATAGAGTATGCAAGTGGAGAGGAGTCCATAGTAGCCCTGGAGTACGAAAAGCTTGAAAACCACTGTCGTCGCTGGCACAGGCTTACGCATGACACCTACAACTGCAAAGAAGTCCTACCCACAGAACCGGAGACGAGGGTTAGCGAGCCTGAAGAGCGAGAGAGGTACTCTGACAAAAACCACAAAGGCGACTATGGAAGAGACAGAGAGTTTACCCGAAGATACGACCGGCATGGAAACCCTTTTGGAGATAGGACCTCCTCCCAGAGAGCTAGAGAAGGAGAAACACGGGGGGACTCTAACAAAAACCCGGCGGACCAGCGCGGGGGGACAAGGTATCAATGGAGGGAAAAGACGCCACCTCGCTCCCCACGCAATCGTGCAGATCTGAGACAAGTCCTGCGAAACAGAGAAGAAGAACGCAGGAAGCGGGGGTCGCAAAAGCAGATCTGGAGAGAAAAGGAAAGAGGTCTGGAGAAGTCCCCACGGGAGAGGGAGACATCCAGAACAGCATCATCAGCAGATACAAACCCACCGCCACTGGAGAGAACGCTGGACTTTACAGGGATCCCGACATCCTCACAAGTACCCACAGAGGATGAAGTGATGGCAGACTTACAAGAGGTAACTGCCAGGTATGTAAACTGCGGAGATCCGATAGAGAGCGAGGCACGCAGACAAAGAGTACTCCAAGGTGAAATGGAGGGACTTATGGCGACTACAGCAGCAAGAATAGTAGCAGCAGCAAGCGTGGCAGCCCAAAATCAACCCCTCCAAACGGAACCTCAACAACTACCAACATAATCCCTAAGCATCATCGTCACCCAGGAAGAGAGGAGCCCACCACCAGCACCGGCACCAAAGAAGAGAGGAAGACCTCCATTAGTGAGGAAATCTGTGGGAAAGAGCCCGATGAGCTTTAAGGGAGCAAGTTCAATGAAAAGAAGAATAAACCAGATTCAGAACTCACCACGCAGACAAACGGCGCAGCGCATACATAATAACAACTTACGAGCGTCTGCAAGCGGCACAAGTACATTACGCCCGCAACCAGCATCGGGGAATCCAACAAACACAGCGCAAATAAAGACGTCGCAATTTTGCGACGAAGCTGTCGTTGCAGTCGGGCGTTGCAAATTTGCGAGTAACAATGCGACGGATATTTAACTCGCAACTTTGCTACGACCCTTACGACGGAATAGTTTCTCGCAAATTTGCGACCACACAAGTCCGTCGTAGATTTGCATTTTGATTTTTTTTTTCTGATATTTGAAATTAAATTATTTTAAAAATTAAATAACAAAATTTTAAAACCAAATATATGAAAATTATATTATTAAAATAAACATTAAACATAAAAACGTTCAAGAAAACAAGAATATAGTCTAAAAAGTTCAAAGAAGAAATAAAACTAAAACTGAGTAGAGTCAGTTCCCGCTCCCGTTCCGTCCACTTGAGCGGCCACCTGAACGGCCACGAGAACCAGCTGAACCCGAACACGGCCTCGGACTGGAGCTTCCTCCACCCATCAGGTTAGAGTGTCATCATTGCCCGAGGGAGTCGATGGGACTTGTGGAGTTGAATTATCATCTTTAATCTGCAAAAAGAAACAATTGCAAAACAACAATTTAAACAAATACAAAATAAAAATAGCAAAAACGAAATTAAAATTCCATTACACAAGCATCTATCATATATAATCTAACCAAATTCTCAAATTAAATGCATTGGATAATTAACAGAAAAAAAAAATAAAATAAAAATAAAATAAAAATAAAAAAACAGAAAATGTAAAAAAATTTGGTTTGCCGTGAATGAAACTAAGCCCTAACAAGTTTAACACAATTTTATTCTAAAAAATAAACTCAAAATCAAACTAATTAAGAAACCCAAACTTTAAAATCCATTTTAGTAATTATTATGGTATTTAATCTAACAACCTAAAAGTAGAATCAAAGACAATCAAAACACAAATTTTTATTCAACAAATTCAACCACAAATACTAAAAGTTAAATCAAAATAGAAAAACAAAATTAAGATTCCTTTAAACAAACCAAATTTTCAAATCAAATGTATTGGATAAATAACAAAAATAAAAAAAATCAGAAAATGGAAGAAAAAAATTGTTTACCGTGAATTATTGAAGGCAGAGAGGAGAAGTTGAGGTCTTCTGCTTTCGGAGGCGGTCCGCGGCAGTAGGTGGCGGCGGAGAGAGCTCAACAGAGAAAAGGAAACGCAGGCACAGAGATCTCGGCGGAAAGAGCTCGGCGGAAGAGAGGAAACTGAGGAGGAGGAGAGAGATCGGAGGAGAAGAAGAAGTCGGCGGTAGAGAGAGGTCGGCGGAGAAGAGGAAACAGAGGCGGAGAGAGATTGGAGGAGAAGAAGAAGTCGGCAGCGGAGAAAGCTCGGAGGAGAAGAGGAACGGAGGCGGAGGGTGTCGCAATTTCCTCGCAATTTTGCGACGAACACAGGGTGTCGCAGAGGCGTTGCAATTTTGTGACGGATTTGCGACTATTGTCGCTGTCGTCACAAAATAGCCGCAAATGCGTTGCAAACTTGCGATGGATTTATGGGGTCCTCCTTTATCGTCGCAAATTTGCGATGAGTTTGCGACGACTACCTCAACCGTTGCTACAAAGTCGCAAATGCGTCGCAAATTTGCGACGGCTTTAGATTTCGTCGCAATTTCCGTCGCAACTTGCCTGTTTTCTTGTAGTGATTATAAAAAAATATAGCTATGATGATGAGAGAAAGGAGACAGAAAAATCAGAAGAAGAAAAAAGAATTGGAGGATTTTAAGATTCAAACTGAGTAATGAAATTTTAATAAACAATATATATAGAAGTGAAAATACATTATTATCAAATGTTGCAATTGTTTATAGCGAAAATGTGCATAGAGAAAGACACAACTCTTATCTGAGCGGTTATAAATAAAACGATTGAGAACTAAAAGGCAGGACAACAAAAGTCATTTATTCAATTTGCTATTATATTTAGATAAAGTTTAAATCTTATCGTAATAGACCACTTCCAAACATGGAATAATATTAGAAAAATATAATTAAATTACTTCCATTCGAGAACAACAACAAAAAAAGTCGCAAACAAGAACAAAATATATAGCATAAGAGGCATTTGTAGTCATCAGCAGTATACAGTAAATAAAAAATCAAAACAATTAACATTTTCATTCAAGCTTAACTCAAGAAAAAATGAAAAAGCAAGCCAATAAGTACATAAGTCTTCCTCATTTATGCCACTTGCATACATTCCAACTCAAAAGACGACTTGACTAGAGAGTCAACGACCCATATCACACGCTCTTTCTAGCTTTAACGTGTTATATAAGTTTAAGACTTCCACACCCATCATGGTGAAATCGGAGAAAGAGAGAATGGATTCGAACAAAACCAAAACCTTTATTAAATTTGCAGCTCTTGCAATGGTTTTAGCCGCCCTGGTGGTGCTGGAAGAACCAACAAGCATTCCCGTTTGTAACATCGACGCAAACTATTTGGAGAAATGTCGTCCAGCCGTGACCGGAAACAACCCGCCGCCTCCACGAAACGAATGCTGCGAAGTCCTCCAAGCTGCTAATCTCGAATGCATCTGTAGATTCAAGTCTTATCTACCCATTTTTACGATGGTCTCATCTAAAGTCCAGTCTCTTCTGAGCAAATGTCGTGTCACAACAATACCTTCCTGCTTGTCAAGGTAAATCTATAGGAAACCGTTAACTTCATAGGATTTTGATACTAAATAAAGAAAGATAGTCTTACGTTTATTATTTTGATCTTTCTGTATAGAGCAGCTTTCAAGAACTGAGCTGGATACAGAAATCTTGTCCTGCAACAGATCTGAAGTCTCTAAATTACAATATATCGTAGTGTTCTGTTCTCATCCAAACAATTCACAAAACTTGTGATGATCTTTTGATCACCTTGTGGTAATGTAAAAGAACTATTTTCTATACAATAAAGAAAACGATATAACTTGTACTGTTTTTTCCACTTCATCACTTATCCTACTTACTTAACTATAAAAAGACCTAATTCTTCATGACTTGTCCGCCAAGAAACCAACTCAATTCTGCAGCAATAGAAAAAAAAAACAGAGAATTGTTCGCTTATCACAGTGAATGTTGTGGGCAAATTTGAGTAGTGAATTTTGGAAAGAATAGAGTGTGTATACCTAGCATTGTGGTTGATGTTCACGACCAGGTCCACCGAAGATAGGCCTCATGTACGTGTCGTCAAACTTTCTCCAGTAGCGGTGGATAGTGTAAACAGGTTGTTCCATGAGAAGGGAGATACTATCTTTAGCTCTGTTGAAGTTTGTGGAAGCAGACTCGTCAAAGGAGAGCAGAGGAAGCGTCGCATCTTCCTTCGGCGAACCAGGCGCAGCAGCGGCTTTACCTTTGTCCACGTTGTTGTCGTGACTTTCATCATGAGGAAGCAGATAGTTCACAAGTGGCTTTGTCAAGAAACCAAATACCTGTTTTTTGTTACACAACAAAAAGACAAGTCTTTCGATTCTTTATACAATGAAAATTACGTACAAGCAAGAAAGGTCATATATACTGAAGAAGAAGTAGTGTTTGTTTTACCAGTGTACTAAAGAGGACAACGATAATGGTGTTGGTGACCATGGCAGCATTCAAAGGATCCAATGTAACACCAGAGTACGTAAACTAGGCACATCATCAAACATATACTAAGTTATAAAGAGAAATTCATAGAGACCGCGTTGTGAATGTGCAAAGAGGCAAGAGCAAAACCTGCTTGAAAGCCAAAGCAATTGAGACAGCACCTCGCATAAGACCCGCCCACCAAATAATCACCTATAAAGTTTATATACAGAGGGCCAACTTCAAGACAGAGACTTTGATAATGTAACTGAAAGAAGAAGAAGAAGAAACAAAGGCTAAACCTGGTGCTTAAATGTGATAGACTCGCTTCTTTCAGTGTGTCTATTCATGAAATTTGTCAAGACAGAGAGTGGAAACACAAACGCTGCTCGTCCAAGCAACACTAATCCGGTTATGACGCTAGAGACACCTAAAGTACCACCAAAGCTACAAGAAGAAGATTAATGTTACAAGTCTTTTCATTAGGATGATGATTACAAGAGATTTCAGAAACTTTCATACATACCTTAAGCTGCTTGTCTTCCACTTGGTAAAGTCAAGAGCATCTGTTCCAACATACAGAAATATGAACGTCTCCGCAATGAAGGACATCATCGCAAATACATGCCTGCAAGAAACCAGAGATGGACAGTCAGACAAAAAATGCATTTCATGCGGTTGAGACTTGAGAGAAACAAACTAATAAACTGACAGAGAAACAATGCCTGGAAGTGATTCTTGAACTCTCTGTCACGTTGTATGATGCGTAGTGCGACATCAAAACACCACAGAAGAAAACTGTGAGAATCCCACTTAATGAGAAGAGCTGCAAGAAAGTAACCACAATGAGTTAAAACAGAAAAATGCATGACTCAAGTTAACTAGCAATGGAGATATTACCTCAGCCAACATATATGAAAGGTAAGCCATTAGAACCATGATCGCGAGTTCGCGTGTAGTTGAGTGTCTGTCAGAAACCATACATATACCAATATAAAGGCACATCTCAAGGCTAAGATGAACATATTGCAAGTTTGGTGAGCTGTTACCTTCCAAAATACAAGGTTTTAAGGACAAAAGATGTTACTAGCCCCACCTGCAAGACATTTCACAGTTTCTAAGAGAACTCATGATATGCTTCAAACAGAGTAAAACTCAAAATGCTTACAGCAATTCCGAGGATTGTGCTTGTAAAGAAAAGGTACAAAAAGTTTCCGAATATAGTGAGAGCCGTCCAACCGTTGAGGCTTTCAAAATGAATCTTTTGCACGGCGTTGAACAGTACAACAGAGGTTGCATCATTCACTACTCCTTCTCCAAAGACTAAGCTGTATAGCAATGGAGTTTCATCTTGATGGAGAATCTGTAATGTTTAAGACGCAATATGTAAGAAACAACTCTTTTTATTATCTATAAACAAGCTTTACAAGGAGGACAAATAATCATCATTTAAAATCAAGAACCTGTAGGGTGCAAACAGTGTCAGTTGAAGAGAAAATCGTTCCGATGGCTGATTCAAGACAAGAAACACATTCACTCTCAAACTAATGGAAAAAAGAAAACATAGTTTGATGACAATAGAAGCTAAGCAAGAAATCTCACCAAGATAGTCTCGAGCACTCAGTCCCTTAAATCCCAACTTGGGAAAAATCCACCAAGTACCTGTTTCAGAAACTCAGATATGATCAACTTCGAATCATGGTCAAGTCATTCAAGATTTGATTTACTGTAAAAAAATATTACCAAAAGAAATAATGACAGTGGAGATGAAAACTCCAATCACACCAAACGACATGATTGTTAAAAAGTTGTGAAAAAACTTCTTTTTCTTGACCTGGAATCTGCCACAAGCCAAGAAGAAGAAAGATTAGTCAAACACAAATATGATAGTGATGAAACTATAGTCCATGAACACAGCATGGTTAGAAGAAACAGAGCAGAGCTTACCCAGCATTGAAAATGATTGGAGGAAGAAGGTAAATGAAGAAGAGTTCCTCATCAAACACCAAAATGTGAGAACTTTTTCCTTTACTAATTAGCAAGATAACCGTTCCTGATACAGCTCCCTGTTCCCAACAGAAACAATCAAAATAGTGACAAAACTGTTCTTAAGGAACACATATACAAAATACCACACTCAGTACTGTTGAATAGAAAAGCTCAAAGTTATGAAAGCTCATACAAAAACCTCAATCCCAATTAGGTTTTTGAAAAAAGAGAAGCTCCAAAAGTATGGACATGTAATTGCCTGCGTTCCAAAAAACACTAAACCAAAAAATTGAAAAGGCAAACTTACGACTAGAATGGCGGTAATGGATTCATTGACCCATCGATTTTCTTCAAGCAAGTGGCCAATAACCAAACAGAGGCAGAGAATGGCGATGAACACAGAGATTGGTATCACCTGAGGATGCTCGGTGGCTAGTGTTATCGTCAAAAAATCTTTTACTCCAACAAAACCCATTCTCACCCGAGAAAAAAACAGAGAAACTTCGAGAAAACTTTTTACTCTCGTCGATGTGAAATCCTTTACACACACCAATGGCAAAAGCACAGAGAACGAGAGAGAGAGAGAGAGTCAGAGATTTGAACTGCGCTAAAGAAGGCGGTGGTTACAGGTGGCGCTAAATGTACACGTGGCTATTTCCAACGTCACTCTCTAGACTGAGTAAACGTGAGCTTTGTCAGGGTTAAATATGTATCGTGGGCTTTTAGGCCCAACACTATGCTCAAACAAAAGAAATTGAGAGGATTTGCATTTTTAACGACAAAATGATGAAGCATAAACTTTGTTCCAGTTTAATCCACGCACGCTGATGTCACGAGTGATATGACTCAGTGAACAATATGGCCACGTGTGATCATAACGGCCATGTTGTGGGACCAGCCTTACTTTCCGTCAATCATCGGATGCCATCTCACCTAGAAAATCACTGTTATGAGTTTATTAACTGTGGCCAAAGTAGTTAATTATACCCCTAATATGAAAGCATTTGTTGACTAACCGTAAGTTCACAGAAACAAAAAGTTACAAATCTATTTCGAAAAATTGACAGCATAGATATTTAATGTATTTTTTCTTAAATATTATATGTACTTATATAGATATTTTCATTTAGGTTTACAAGGTAATGAGATAAACCAGATATCCAATCGAATATCTACATTTTAATAAAATTTGAGATAAATATATTCGATTAGTTGGATACAGATCTAAAGTATTCCTTTTATGGAACATCTACTAAAAAAGTCGGCCACTCTATCTCTAAACACCTCTTCTAACTTTGGACCTTTGCAATTAATTATAGTAGTGCATGCTTATTTATAGTTTAGCTGGTTTTGGAAACTAGTAGGTCGTAATAAAGTAAAAGAAAAACAGAGTAGGTCGTAATAAATGTAGAACGCAATAACTTTACATAAAAAACTAAAAAATGCACAGCATATCTTTAACTTTACTAAAGTATACTATTCGGATTTGTGGAAGAACCAAACGTTAATGTGCAAGCAATATAAGTTTTAACCAACTTTTTTCATGAGTTAAAAGAAAACCAAAATTTTCTTAAGATTGTGCCCTTGTGGCATGAAACTGAGACTTTTTCCTCAGATAGAACTTCAAGGTCGCTTTAATTATTTGTAACTTCTTCTATTTTATTACCGGTGTGTCATTGATCGTTACACTCCCAAGAGTCCAAGACTGACTGATGCCGTCTGTCTCTGCAATACACACTTTACTTATATATGAAGACATTTTTATACATAGATGTTTTTTTTCTGTCTTTGCCAGCTTATTAAAAGATTTAGATTGGTAATAATAACCGAATTTTTTTTTAGTTTTTTCCTTTTTGTTAAAGAGAAATTTTTTAGTAGATGTTTTTTTCTTTTAAAGTGGAAACTGTGTGAAACCAACTAGTAAAAGTTGGAAGGTTTTCCCTGTATTCGCATTTAAATAAGGAATCAATGATCATATAAATTAAAATCTCGCAAACCAAAAAGCGCTCTTCTCTCTCTCTGCAAATCTCGTTCAGTCTCCGAGAAGAGCAAAGTTGGTGAAGTCGCCGCCGGGATTCCTTAGGTTTTACCGATGACATACATGCAAGATAATCCAGGAATGTTTAGGTTACTAGCTTCAAGGTTTCTACTCTTTGCTCTCATTTTGATCCACTTGCTCACTACTCAAATCCTTGCTCAAAGATCTAAAACTCCATGGCAGACACTCAATGGTAAGTTCCTTACATCTTCATCTCCTTCTACATTTCCATAGCTCCCACTGTGAAATTGAGAAAACAGAAGCAAACGAGTGAAAACAGAAGTTAAATTGAGGTTTTCCAAGTTTTTTTTCTTTTTCTTTTTTATTTGGTATGAATGTTAAGAGGGGTTTTTCAAGTTTCAACCAAAGAAAGATGGATGCTTTTATCATCTGTTGTACATTTGGAAAAAATGACTGAGAATTTGTTTTTTTTTTTTTTTTTCTGATTTCATTCTACAACTTTCTTGATTATACAATTATTCTTTTTTTTTTTTGGTAGGAGAGGCTCCTCTTATCATCGCTCGTGGTGGGTTTTCTGGGTTACTGCCAGATTCAAGTGTGGACTCTTACAGTTTTGTAGCGCAGACAAGTGTTCCCGATGCTGTTCTGTGGTGTGATGTTCAACTAACGAAGGATGGAACTGGGATTTGCTTCCCTGATGTGACAATGAAATATGCTTCTAATATGGAACGAGCTTACCCTAATCGGAAAAACTCTTACCTCCTTAATGGAGTCCCTACTGAGAATTGGTTCACCATTGATTTCACCTTCAGGGATCTCAATAGCGTTTTCTGTAAGTTCAAGCTCATAATTTTTTTTGTCACTAAGAACAATTTTGGGTGTCTAATTTCAATTCACCTGACTCTTGGATTCTAGTAGGTTAATTATTGGTGGTAAATTTTCTGCTTATTTGATCCCAATATATGTTATATTGATTTTTGATAAGAGTTAAAGATTGGGAAAAAAATGAACTCAACCTTTGATGTTATATATACAATGTTCATTTAGTGGTCACTTGCTTGTATCTTGTTACAAATATTGTTGACCTATGCAGTGACACAAGGAACATTTTCACGGTCAGATAAATTCGATAACAACCAATACGCCATTTCAACAGTTGAGAGTATAGCTACGAAGATGAAACCGGAGGGGTTTTGGTTAAATGTTCAGGTAATTGTTATATTAGCAAGTTTCTTTCTTTTCTTTGTTGCATTTGAAAGATCTTATAGCTCACTTTCTAACACGTCTCCTCTCTGTCCTCTCTGCTCAGCATGACACATTCTATACGCAACACAATCTCAGCATGAGTAAATTTCTACTATTAGTTTCCAAAACTGTGATGATAGACTATCTCTCTTCCCCTGAAGTGAATTTCTTCCGGAACATCAGTGGCCGTTTCGGCAAAAAGGGGCCAAAGTTTGTGTTCCGGTTTCTCGAGAAAGATGTTGTCGAGGTGTCAACAAATCAAACCTACGGATCTCTCTTGAGAAACCTAACTTTCATCAAGACGTTTGCTTCAGGAGTTCTTGTTCCCAAGTCATACATATGGCCGGTCGATAAAAGCCAATATTTGCTTCCTCACACATCTTTTGTTCAAGACGCTCACAAAGCAGGCTTAGAAGTTTATGCATCAGGTTTTGCAAACGATTTTGATCTTGCATACAACTACAGTTTTGATCCTTTGGCCGAGTACTTATCTTTCATTGACAATGGCGATTTCTCTGTGGATGGTGTGCTTTCTGATTTTCCACTTACTGCATCTTCTGCTGTTGGTTAGTAAAATGTCTTCTTCTGTATCACATATCGCATTGTGCTCTTCTTGGAATTAGTCTAAAACCATTTATTCACTTTTCATATAAACTTGTCTTTATTCCTCAGACTGTTTCTCCCATCTTGGAAGTAATGCTACAACACAAGGTATGTGAGTTATATTATATGTGTGTACTAATATAAATTTTCATCTCCTATAATATGGTTTCATGTCACAGTGGATCTTCTTGTCATATCGAAAAATGGAGCAAGTGGAGACTACCCTGGCTGCACTGACTTGGCCTATTCAAAGGCGATCAAAGACGGTGCTGATGTTATCGATTGTTCTCTTCAAATGTCATCAGACGGGGTTCCATTTTGCTCAAGCTCAATTGATCTTGGAGAGAGCATGAATGTTGTACAAAGTCCTTTCAGAAACCGTTCATCATCTGTCTCTGAGATCATCCCAAGTTCTGGATTATACAGCTTTAGTCTTGCATGGTCTGAGATTCAGAGCTTGACACGTAAGTTTCCAATTGTACAAGATAGTAAGACTTTCTTGATAATAAAAGTTGTGTGATCGGTCCGTTTGCATGCAGCTGCTATTACGAATCCCTACACCAAGGACTTCACCTTGTTCAGGAACCCGAGGGAGAGAAGTTCCGGGAAGCTTCTTTCGCTTTCTGATTTCCTAAACCTAGCTAAAAACTCCTCCTCTCTCACCGGTGTTTTGATCATCGTGGAGGTAACTAACTTCTACTATGACTATAACAATCACTTTGAGCATTAATGGTTACAACGACTATGTCTTGTTTGTTTTCTTTCAGAATGCAGCATATACTAAAAATGAATCGGGTGCCAGTATTTTTGGCAGATACGGTTGGATTTTTTGGTAGAGTTTAAAAGTCTCAAGTCTACCGCAAACATTTTAAGGAATTCGATCTCAGAGGAAATAAGGAGCAATATATACTTATATTAAGAAATAAAATATTTATAAAATTCAAATGACATTTAAATATAAGTAACAAAACTTTGTAATAGACATAACCCGCGCATCGCGCGGGCTTAGCCCTAGTATAAGATAACACACTAACTAAAAGAAAGAAGACTTATTCCATCTTAATGATTCTTATTTCCTCACTAACACTTTAATCATTCTAACTGTAACATCTCGATTTGTATAGATGTTTAAAAGAATTGATATGGTTATCTATATAAATAAAATGCACTTATTTTTTCAGTCAAAGGTCCATAAGTAATTCCAAAATTAAGCGTGTTTGGGCTTGAGTAGTGGAAGGATAGATGATCTTCCGGGAAGTGATTTCCAAAACCGTGTGAATGAGATCAAAACAAGGGAAAAGGTCGGATGGTGTTTGCAAGGATAATAAACAAATATCTAGAACTTTTAAGAAAATAACGAACCGGCCATCGAACAAGGTGGAATCCATGAGATAAGAGAAGGTATGGGTAACTCACCGGATGGGAGGTCGGGGTTATATACTAACCTCTCCATTACTAGTTGTGGAATTTCTTTTTACATGACCCCGGTACAACCAGCTGGACTCTTAACCGTCGTTAGTCCTAGTTTTTTACCTCCAGCTGCAGCACCAGAACCGGTTTTCACAGATGCTGATGTCAGTGAGCCACCATTACCTCCGGTCGTAGCCAGATCCCCAACCACCAGCCCTGGACCTTTATCAACCGATGAAAAACGTCCTAACGGACAAACCCGAGTCGCTCCTCTACCTCTTCCTCTTGCTGCTTTCGCTATGGTTCTCGCTTCCCTTCTGTTACCGTGATCACATTTTTTTCCCCGGTAGGATTTTTCTGTTCATATAGCTTCGTTATCTCAGTAGAGATTGTTATTGGACGTAAGTTAGTACCATGATGATTCATTTGTCGTTGTAGTATTATTTACGGTAGTGTTGTTTAGTACTCTTGTGTGCCTTTTGTAGTATTTATGAGGCTGTATCTCTTTGAATACAGCAATACATATTTAAATTTGGATGTGTAGTTTTAACTTTTAACGTATGTGTGAGAGCTTTTAACCATCTTTTTCCTAGTCAACTGTAAGGTTGAAAAGTTTCTGTCATGTTTCTTTATTCTCTGTAGATTATGCAAATTTCAGATACGCTTTTTTTGCTTGAGAGTCTTGGATTGTATGAACACAAGCAATATTCGCTTACGTTGTTCGAAACAAATGAGATTACAAATCAATGTGCAAGCTGTCAAAGCACGTGCCCCATGTTTTTTTTTTAATTTGGAATCTGTTTGATTCATGAGTCATCCCATTTTTTATTTTAGTACAACCGAAGTCAAACAAAATTCATTGGTAAGTGCAAAAAGGAAGATCTAGAGAGATGGAAGAAGAACTCAAGAACTTCACCAAGGTTTGGATTTCGGCAATCATCTCCATATCTTATTGTTACTACTTATCAACCAGAATCAAATCTGGAGTCTTGCGATTACTCTCTGTTCTTCCTGTTTGTGTTTTGTTTCTTCTTCTTCCTCTGTTTTTCTCCTCTGTTCATTTCACTGGATCCATTGCTTTTTTCATCTCATGGCTTGCTAATTTCAAGCTCATACTCTTCGCCTTCGATAAAGGTCCTCTTTCCCCACTTCCACCTAATCTCTCCTTATTCATTTCCTTTACTTGCTTCCCAATCAACAACACTCGAGAAAACCCTAAGCCTAAAAATCATTTGCCCAAATGGGTTTTCGCCATTAAAGTTGTCATCTTTGATGCGTTTTTATATTTCTATTGCAATTGCAAACATTACAAACAGACTCCCCCACCTATCGTCCTTTGGTGTCTTCATGTTCTGCATATTTACTTAGAGGTTGAGATTATTTTAATGGTCGTCGTCAAAGTTCTCGTCTTTGTCTTTCTTGGGTGTGACATTGAGCCACATTCCAACGAACCATACTTAGCCACCTCTCTTCAAGACTTCTGGGGTCGCCGGTGGAATCTCATGGTTCCGGCGATTCTTCGACCTGCCGTTTACACCCCAATACGGCGGGTCTGTGAGCGGAAGTTGAACTCCGATCTGGCTATGTTTCTAGGTTATTTGACCACATTTATAGTTTCCGGCGCAATTCACGAGCTGATGTGTTTCTATTTGACACGTGAGTTGCCTACGGGAGAAGTTACTCTGTTCTTCGTGTTGAATGGGGTTTGTACTGCGGCGGAGGTCGCCGTGAAGAAGAAGTTTGCGCAGCGGCTGTGGAGAATGAGTCCGATGGTTTCACGACTGCTCACGGTCGGGTTTGTGGTTGTGACTAGTGGTTGGTTGTTTTTCCCTCCTCTGATAAGGAAGGGCGTGATCGAGAGACTCGCTAAGGAAGCCTTCTTGGTCAACGATCTAAGAGGACTTATCCGATCTGGTTTTTTGATTGATCTATACTAAATTTCGAAAATTTTAGATGGTTGTTTATAGAATCCTCGTTAAAAGCAATATTTGTTTAACTTCATCAATGTTTTTGGTTTTTGTTTTTCTTCTACTGATACAATCATACTAGCAAATAGTATAATTTCAAATGCCAAGAAGAGTCTACTATTTGACAAAACAAATTGTAAAAATGTGTGTATATATTTATCATTTGACATTGAATGCATTGGACATTGGACATGAATTATGATGTGTTGAAGCCTCATATACTGGTTCTCTACAAGAATTTAGAAAGTAGATATTTTCGCTTTAATTATCTGAACTCAAACTATGATGCACTTGATGTAACAATGGCTTTTGATTGAATATAATTTTACATTCATTCAAAAAAAAATGATGTGTGTAGGTTGGGAAGTGTGAGCAACTACAGTACTTAAGAATGAATGAAACAATAGTACATGGTAATAATTTACTCGAATCCCATTTAAATTAACGTGACCAGCCATAAAAGACAAAACGTAGAAGCAAATTTGGTTTCCGTGTAGAGGACATATCACATATGCCCTGACTTTCTATTTAGTGTTTCGTATTTAACTCATACAAGTTACCAAGTTTTTTTTTTTTTTTTTTGTATGAATGTTATTTGTCAGACAAAGAGATTAAAATAGATACACGTTAATAATATTTGAGACGGTAAGTATATGGTAGTTGAAAGTTAATGAGATTTGTGCCACTACAAGTTACCAAGTCAAACCTCAGTGATTACAAATACTTACCAAAATACACACACAAATCTGAGAGAGGTCGAGATGGAGGAAGAACTCAAGAGCTTGGTTAAAGTATGGGTTTGTACAATAGTATCCATCTCATACTGTTACTACTTACCACCAAAAATCAAAGCTGGTGTTTTTCGATTTCTCGCTGTATTTCCTGTTTGTTCTATGTTCCTTGTTCTTCCTATGCTCTTCTCTATTTCCATTTTCTCTTCCTACACAGCGTTTCTCTTGTCAGCACTTTCCAACATTAGGCTCCTCCTCTTTGCTTTCGATCAAGGTCCTCTTGTCCCACTTCCCCCAAATCTCTTCAAATTCATCTGCTTCACTTGCTTCCCCATTCTGCTTCAACAAAACCCTAAATCTCAAGATCATATCCCTAAATGGGTTTTCGCCGTTAAAGTTGCAATCTTTGGAATCCTCTTACATATTTTTATCCATAAACCAAATATGCCTCCCACTCTGCTATTGGGTCTCCATCTGCTTCATGTTTACTTGTCACTTGAGCTTCTCCTAACGGTCCTCAAAGTTCTCTTCACCATCATTCTTAAGTGCGAGCTCAAGCCACAGTTCAACGAGCCATACTTAGCCACCTCTCCTCAAAACTTCTGGGGTCGCCGTTGGAACCTCGTAGTCTCGGCTACTCTCCGGGCAGGCGTCTACACTCCTGTGAGGCGCGTCTGCAATCGCCTGATGAGCTCAGGCTGGGCTAGGTCCATGGGTATTTTCGCAGCGTTCCTAATCTCCGGTCTATTCCACGAGCTGACATTCTTCTATGTAACTCGCGAGACGCCTACATGGGAGATCACATGGTTCTTTGTGTTACATGGCCTTTGCACGGCGGCGGAAGTGGCTGTGAAGAGGACGAAGTTTCTGCGACTGTGGTGGCCGGAGAGACAAGCTGTATCATGGTTGCTTATGATGGGATTTTTGGTAGCGACCGTTGTTTGGCTGATTGTCCCTCCATTTATACGGTGCAACCCGATAGAGAGAGGCGTCAGTGAAACCTTGTTGGTCATTGATTTCTTCAGACGCAAGTTTCTTTTCACTTTTTCGGTGATAATAACCTAAATGTTTAATCGCATTTCAAAATGGAGTCGTTAACTTATACCAAATCTTGTGGCACAAATTTCATTAACTTCCAGCAACCAATCACCATCTAATCGTTTACTGTGATCAAATCTCATTAACTTCATATGTATATCTCATCTTTTGTAAGTTATATATGAAGAGTGCACACAATAAAAACTAAGTTAATGAAATCTTAAGAGGCAAAAAGAGTGCACACAATCAAAATAAATCTCATTAACTCCAAGAAGATCACCTCATGCAAATTTAAATTAGCCCCCAAAAAAATAAGTGTGGCAAAAATATGCTTATAAAGTGATCATGACTTTGCCTATGTTTTATTATTGGACAAATATATTCCATGGATCGAAATCGAAATATAATCAACTCTCAATGGGCGTTATTCTAAAACCTAATATTGACGTGAACAACAACGACGACGACAGAGGTATTCTGGGGATATTTCTTCGTGATCATTGCATTGGTTCCGTATCCTTCTTCGTATTCTTCTTTGCAGCCACCGTATTCGTGATCTTTGTTATTAGAGCTCAATACAAAAAATAATAATAATAATAAAAATAAAACCAAAAAAAAAGAGCTCAATAAAAAAAAATTTCCAAATTATATTTTTGGGTTTATAGATATCTAAGGGTTTGTAACTGAATATTATGAAAGTAGATATCTTTTGTAGACAATGTGGTCGTCACCGCTTTAACAAAATCTTTATCTTTATATTATTAAATTGAGAAATACATTATAATGTTAATGTTTGGATACAAAAATTAGAGAAACATCTATTTGGATAGAAGAATAAATAGAAACAAAAGTTGTTTGGATATAAGAATAAGAGAAAAATCTATTTGGATAGAAAAATAAATGGAAAAATTTATTTGGATACAAGAATAATAACTTAAAACAAACTTATGATTTAGAAAACTTGCAAAAAAAAAAATTTAACATAATCTATTGATAATATCAAATCAAAAATATCAAATCAATAGAATATGATCGAATGATATTTGCAAAATTTCTATATTATTAATTGAGAAGTACATTCTAATGTTTGGATACAAGAATAAAAGAAACATCTATTTGGATAGAAGAATAAATGGAAACAAAAATTGTTTGGATATAAGAATAAGAGAAAAATCTATTTGGATAGAAGAATTATTGGAAAAAATTGTTTGGATATAAGAATAATAACTTAAAATAAACCTATGGTTTAGAAAACTTGCAAAAAAGAAAAATTAACATAATCTATTGATAATATCAAATCAATAGAATATGATCGAATGATATTTGCAAAATTTTTATATTATTAATTGAGAAGTACATTTTAATGTTTGGATACAAGAATAAAAGAAACATCTATTTGGATAGAAGAATAAATGGAAACAAAAATTGTTTGGATATAAGAATAAGAGAAAAATCTATTTGGATAGAAGAATAAATGAAAAAAAATGTTTAGATACAAGAATAATAGCTTAAAACAAACCGATAGTTTAGAAAACTTGCAAAAAAGAAAAATTAACATAATCTATTGATAATATCAAATCAATAGAATATGATCGAATGATATTTGCAAATTTTCCAATATTGAAATAGAAATACGTCTAATTTAAAGCAAATTGTGGATTTCTGTTCCGGTTTTTTTTGAAAATTTATGTTCGGTTTGGGTTCGAGTTTTTTTTTTGGTTCAGTTTTGGGTTTTCCGGATTTTTTGGATTTCAGGTTTTTGGGTTTAGACATAGTAAAAAAGTATGGGTATTTTAAAAATTTTAGTAGGGTTTTTAGGTCGGGTTCGGGTTTCGGGTGAAAAAGTTTCAAGTTTTTTAATTCGGTTCAGAGTTTTCGGGATTTTTTGGATTTCTGGTTCTCGGGTTTAGATATATTAAAAAGGTTTGAGTTTTTAAAAATTTTAATTAGGGGTTTTTGGGTCGGACTCGGTTTATGATTTATATTTTCTTCACAAAACTACAACGTCACACCGCGGGGTCCGCTACTAGTATTACTTTATTATCGACGGTCAGACCAAAAAGGTAGAAGAAGTTGACGCCGCGGAGAAGAAAGAAGACTAAGGGTCTGACTGGTTTAACCGCTGCGGTTGCGGTTGCGGGAGTTTGCGGCTGCGGGAGTTTGCGGAAGCGGGAGTTTGCGATTAAAAGCTGTTTGTACGACTGGTATAGCAATTCATAGCGGTTGCGTTTGCGGGATATTTTTGACTGGTTAGCCAGCGGGTGCAAGAGCGGTTTAACCAAAAGTTACTAAAATAAAAATAATATATAATTATTCAAAACATTTATAACCATATTAATAATTTTTTTTTTGAAATATATTTTTTGATGAATTTTTAATTTGAAAACTACCCTTTTTTTTGGTTTTGAAAAATACACTTTTTATATGTAAAATGATTATTCCTAATTTAATAAAAACGAAATTCAAATAAGAAATATAAAATATTAATATTTGATAATAATTTTGTATCATTTTAACATCCTAATTACCTGTTTAGTTTTTTTTAAACAATTTAATAAAAATATAAGATTGTTTATATAAAGTTTAAATGGGGTGAGATTAAAGTTGTTTATGCAAAGTTTCAAAAATATTTAAATTTTTCAAAAGATAAACATTAAAAATGAAAGATATATTTCTCCACTTTTAAATTTTTAATAATTTATAAACTTTAAATATATGTAAAGTTTTAATTTATTTAAAGTTTCATTTGGTTTGAATGTGTATGAGGTTAAGTTGTTTATATAAAGATCCAAAATATTAAAATTTGTTTCAGTTTAACATATACTATATTTATTTGAAAAAAAACTTATTAGTTTATTATTTTTTTAAATTTTCGTTTATAATTTGTAATTATTTATTATTTTTTTGTTTAAATCACGTCAAAACATACTTTTTACATTTTAAAAGTGTATTTTTCAAAACAGAAAAAATTTAGGGTATTTTCGAAATTTTTAAACATAATTATGGTATTTTTCAAAAAAATATACCCTTATTCCAAATTTGGAGATATTATGTTTTTTTTTTTTTTTTTTCAAACCGCAACCGCCCGCAACCGCAAACGCTTGCGGAAAGGAGCTTTTGATTTTCAGCGATATAGAGCGGTACAGAGTGGTATAGAGCGGTTGAAAGCGGTTGTCGTGATTGTTATAAAACGCTAAGAACCGCTACGAACCGCAAACGCTGCGTTTGCGGGTGGTAGCGGGAGAACCAATCATCACCTAAACCCTAAATCACAAATCCATCTCCCATAATGGATCCGGTTAACCCTATAGTTTTCTTTGAGATGTCCGCGGGTCAGATGAGGGTTGGTCGTATCGTGATGGAGCTCTACGCCGACACGACCCCATTGGCGGCGGAGAACTTTCGGGCTCTCTGTACCGGCGAGAACGGCATCGGGATCTATGATAAGCCCCTCCACTACAAGGGATCATTCTTCCACCGTATTGCCCCCAATGGTTTGTGGTGTTGTGGAGATATCATTAACTGGGACGGAACGGGAAGTGAGTCGATCTACGGCCAAGGATTCCCGGACGAGAACTTCATCAGGAAGCATGACCGTCCAGGTGTCCTCACCATGTCCCACCGTGGCAAAGACAACAACGGATCTACTTTCCAAATCGCCACGAAGGAGTTACCGATGCTTGACGGGAAGCAAGTGGTGTTCGGACAAGTTGTGGAGGGACTGGATGTGATCAAAAAGATTGAGGAGGTGGCCACATCTCCAGACAGCGATATCCCTACCAGGTCCGTGCGAATCTTGGACTGCGGCGAGATTGTACGTCGATCTCAGGGAACTATGGTATGTTCTGATGCTCTCTCATAATAATAAATGGTCAGACTTCACAATCTCGGGCTCTCTATAATAATGTTTCTTCACATCTTCAGTTATATCCACAACAACTTTCATATCTTTAGGAATTACAACCAAGTCCCTAGCAATTAGTTCTAAGATTTTTTCTTCTTTGTGATGACCGTCTATAGTCACTTTCACCTTCCCTTCTAAAAAGTACACCGTACATCGTCTCTGTATACTTCCATGGAAATTAATTTACTTGGAAAGCTTTCCCTTCTGCTTATGTTTTATCTCACTGGTCAGTCAACCATACATGTTACATTTACATTTGACATGACTTTAGTTTAAATTTCACCGATTTCAAGGTTGGTCATACCTTTCGAGCGCATAGGGTTAGGAGCCACCAGAGATCAATTTTTCTGGGTTGTATATCTTGCAAAGACAACAAAATTGTGTAGGTTTAGGCGTAACCGATCTTGGTGTTTACATATTTATGTAATAGGGACCTAACTAAATTGGTGATTTAATAATGACAATATGGATAGAGATAAATAAAAGAGTGTTCACCTCTTCAGCAATTACAAGCGAACACCTCTTCAGAGACATTGACCGGCTTGTCAAAAACTCTATATCTGCAAGAAGGAGTCGAAATGGGTTCCCAAAACTGATGATTTCTTGGCTTCACTGATTTGTTCCATTAAAGAATCTTGTTGATGTATCTTTGTTTTGTTTCTTTGTTTTTAGCTAATTTTGCCGAGGAAACAAAAAACTAGGATTACCAAATGTAAATCCCATCTTCATATTTATATGATTTTTGCAGTTGAGCAAAAAAAATAATGACGAGCTTGATAGATTTGGTTTCACTTGTATTGCTGAGATCTTTGTTTTGTTATTTATCGTTGCATCATAGTTATTGTTTCTTTGCTACTTGTTCATAGTTTCTGCTTTAATTTGCTTTAGAAATATCAGAGAAAAACTCTTTACACAAAATTGTAAATGGTAAGTCAACAACACCTATTACTAGTTTATGCGTTTATTTGTCATGTGTACCAGTTATTCAGTATAAATCTCTTGCTATTTGTCCACTTTGCAGAATGCCCTTTTTGCTAAAAGGCTCCGAGATGAGTTGGTAGCCGCTTGTAGGAAGATCGCTCAGTTGCAGATAGCCCTGAAAACTTGTGATCAGGCTTAGTAAATCGTCGTTGCGTTTGTTGTTTACCTTCTAGTTTAAGAAGTTGCTACAATATGTTTAAAAGTGTTTTTTTTTTAGACTGTTTTAGACTCTAAAGGAACCACTTTACTTTTCCCTTTTTATATTTCGTTTGATTTATGTTTACGCAAAGTGGGTTTGTGTACTCTCGTATCCATGAGTTAGGTTTTCATATCAATGATTTTCTACCAATTTTACAGAGTTTGGGAAAAAAAAATCCTAAATATTTTTGTGGTGCTGATAGGGAAAAGAATATAGAATAATTTTGTAGTGTCTGTGTCTTTGCTTATGCATAGCTGTGCTTTTCTAGAAATAGCATAAACCATTTTCTCTCGTCTCTAGGATTTTGGTATTATTTTTGTTACTTAGCATAAACCATTTTCTTCTCGACTCTCTGTCACTCTCTATTCTTCAGTACGTATGGATCAGAACTTAAAAGCCCAAAATTAATGACGTAAACAACAAATAGTCACTGACAATCACAAATCCTCAGATCCTCCGATGAACCTTTAGGAAACAACGACGACAGATGTCTTCTGGGGATATCTCTTCGTGATCCCTGGTTCCCTATCCTTCTTCGTATTCTTCTTTGCAGCCATCGTATTCGTGATCATTGTCATTAGAGCTCAATAAAAAAATCTTCCATATTATATTTTAGGGTTTATAGATAGAGATATGTAACTGAATATTATGAAAGTATATATCTCTTGTCGACAATGTGGTCGTCATCGCTCTAACAAAAATTTATTTTATTATCGATGGTCAGACGGAAAAGGTATAGAAGAAGTTGACGACGCGGAGAAGAAAGAAGATAAACCCTAAACCACACAGATCCATTTCCGATAATGGCTCTGGTTAACCCTAAAGTTTTCTTTGTGATGTCCGTGGATAACAAGCCGGCAGGTCGTATCGTGATGGAGCTCTACGCCACGACCCCATTGGCGGCGGAGAACTTTCGGGCTCTCTGTACCGGCGAGAAAGGCATCGGGCTGTGTGGTAAGCCCCTCCACTACAAGGGATCATTAATCGCCTATATTGCCCGCGATCTCATGTGGTATTGTGGAGATTTCAGTAACGGGGACCGAACGGGAAATGAATCGATCTACGGCTTAGGATTCCCGCACGAGAACTTCACCAGGAAGCACGATCGTCCAGGTGTCCTCACCATGACCGACTGTGGTAAAGACAACAACGGATCCGTTTTCCAAATCGTCATGAGGGAGATGCCGTCTTTTGACGGGAAGCAAGTGGTGGTCGGACAAGTTGTGGAGGGACTTGAGGTGATCAAAAAGATTGAGGAGATGGTCACATCTCCAGACAGCCATACCCCTTCCAAGCCCGTGCGAATCTTGAACTGCGGCCAGATGGGATGTCCATCTCAGACAGATGTGGTATGTTCTGATGCTCTCTCCATTAGTTCTAAGATTTCTTCTTCTTTGTGGTGCTCTCGTCTATACTCTACAATCACTTTCACCTTCCCTTTCCAAAAAGTACATCGTCTCTGTATCCTTAAACTTCCATGGAAAATTTACGTTGAAAGCTTTCCCATCTGGTTAAGTTTTATCTCACTGGTCAGACAACCATACATGTTACATGTACATGACTTATGAATTTAATTTAAATTCCACCGATTCCATGGTTGGTCATACCTTTCGAGCACATGGTCTTAGGAGCCACCAGAGAACAATTTTTCTTGGATGTTTATTTTGTTAAGACAACAAAATTGTATAGGTTTAGGCGTAACCGATCTTGGTGTGTTTCATGGGTGATATAATAAGGATGAGCTTAATTGATAGATTTGGTTTCACTTGTATTTATGAGATCTTTGTTTTTGTAATTTCTCGTTGCATCATAGTTATTGTTTCTTTGCTACTTGTTCATAGTTACTGCTTTAATTTGATATAGTTTTATCACCTGATTGCTTTAGAAATATATATATATATACTAGAGGGTGACCCGCGCTTCGCGCAGGTTGTGTTACTTTTATTGTTTTTCTGTAAATTTAATATTTTTCAAATATATTATACACATATTACTTAAATATAATTAAAGTTAAGACAAAAAATTGTACTATATAGTTCTATCTTATCCCATTTTGTTCATTTGAATCATATATGTTCTTTATGTCCTGTCCGTCATGTATGTCCTGTCATGTCCAGTCTCATCATATTCCATTTTGTTATGTCTCATTTCGTTTATTCTCGTCTCGTTCCATAAATATTATTAGGGTTAGGCATAGTTTTGTTCCTTTTCATCTTGTCTTGTTCTTTCCCGCTCCGTTTGTTCTGTCCGCTCCATCCAATCATATCCTATAATGTTATGTTCTTTTCCATTTTATCTTGTTTCTGTCTCGTCTCTAAATATAATTAAGGTTAGGCAAAATTCATGTCCCGTCCCTTTCCATCTCGCCATGTTCGATCTCGTCTCATTTCATTCCAGAATACTAGAAAAAAAATTGTTATTTCTATAATATCTTACTATTATTATTATTACTAAATAATACTCCCTCTGTTTCAAATTAGTTGTCGTTTTGGCAAAATGTATCTACAAATATTTGGACATATGTGGATATGTTTTGCATTGCAAATACATCGAAATAATTGCAGATGAATTTTTCCAAAACGACAACTAGTTTGAAACGAAGAAAGTAGTTTTTTTCTAAATGACTTTTCATATTCTTATTAAGTTACTACAATAATAAATGATAATTATTATAAAATAAAAATAATAATAATATGCTGAACTTAGAGACATCTTCTTCTGCTATGTGGCATCACCAGAATTGAATTGAATGAATTTTATATATATAAATATATATATTAAAAAAAAAAACTCTTTACAAAATTGTAAATGGTAAGTCAATAACACCCATTACTAGTTTTATGCGTTGATTTTGCATGTGTACAAGTTATTCAGTGTAAATATCTTGCTTTTTTGTCTACTCTGCATTATGTTTATATAATTTACTAATTTCTTTTTTATCAATCCAGGGAGTCCTTTTTGCTTCAAAATTCGGACCTAAGTTGCGAGTCGCTCGTAGGAAGATCGCTGAGTTGGAGAATGCCAAGGAAAATGGACGAGGATAAGATCTAATATATTTTTTCATAGAACTACAAACCGCCGCTACCCTTGACGACGACTCAGAAGAAAGGAGATCCACCATCTTGGACCTGCAGCGAGAGAAACTCGTCCTCAAAGCCTCCACGAAACGCAAGCCGACCAGATCTGATGGAGATCTCTTCATGAGAAACGCCGAGGGGATAGATCAGAGCGCAGGAGGAAGGAGCCGAAGCGCCACGCTCCACCCCCACACCAGATCCCCACACCGTGAAGAAGAGGACCTCCACACGAGCTCGAGACGACCCAAAAACCCCTCCGATGAAAACTGAGCAAACCGGAGAGATTGCCGGAAAGAAGAAACAAAAGCAGAGGAGATCCTCTCCCGGCGGTGACGAGGAGCGCCGGCCGCCGGAGAGGATGGAAGATAAAAGTTGAAACTCTTTGGCGGCGCTCTTTGGGAGAGAAGGGAAAAAAAATTAGGGCGACTTTTTTCAAAGGACTTTCTTCTATTTTGTTGTCACTGGTTTCCTGTTGTTTATTTCTTCTTTTTTCTTTTTCCATAAACCAAGTGTGTTTTAGAGCTGGAAGCGTATTAACGGTTAACAAACCTATAATTCCACCAAAAAACATATATAACAATTACTATGCGATAATCTTTTGTAATCCAATGTAGTCTCTTGCAATTGTATATAACTAGTAGAGGACCCACGCAAGTGTGACGTTACGGTTTTGTGAAGAAAATTTAAATTCTAAATCCGAGTCCAACTCAAATACCCTAATCAAAATTTTAATTAACCCACATTTTTAATAAGTCTAAACCCGAAAACCCAAAACCAAAAAAATCCCGAAAATCATGAACCGAATAAAAAAAACTCGAAACTTTTTCATCCGAACCAAACCTAAAAACCCTAATAAAAAAATTTTAAATATCCACTTTTTTAATATGTCTAAATCCGAAAACCCAAAATCCAAAAAATTCGGAAAACCCTAAACTAAACCAAAAAAAACTCAAACCCAAACCGAACAGAAATTTTAAAAAAAAAAATCCCAAACTTAAATCCGCTATTTGATTTAAATTAGACGTATTTCTATTTTACTATTGGAAATTTTGCAAATATCAGTTGATCATATTCTATTGATTTGGTATTATCGATAGATTATGTTAATTTTTCTTTTTTTTGCAGATTTTTTTAAGAGTTGGAAAACCGAAGTTTTCTAAACCATCGATTTGTTTTAAGTTATTATTCTTGTATCCAAACAAATTTTTTCCATTTATTCTTCTATCCAAATATATTTTTCTCTTGTTCTTGTATTCAAACATTAGAATGTACTTCTCAGTTAATAATATAATAATAAAGATTATAAAAAGCTGAAGCGCAAAACGTAGTTGCGACACGTAGGATTTCTATAAATTACATGATTGTGACATGTGTCACTTTTAATGTTATATCCGTTAAGATCGTGACACGTGTTTTCAAAAGAAAAGAAAATAAAAAATTAAAAAAATATTAGAAAAAAAAAATTAAAAAATATCTATTATAGTAAAAAGAAAAAAATCATATTTGTCATATCATAATAGAAAAAGGTTTCCCATTCATCAAATTTATATTATCCAAACACATATTAAAATTCAAAATAATGTAATAAATAAAATCATATTAGTACATTAGGAAAAATCAGAAAAAAAAAGAAACAAACAATTAAAAAGAAAAATATTACATCCATTAGAAAAGTAAAAAAAAACATAATCTATTACGAAAAAAAAAAACATATTTCTATTACGAAAAGGAAAAAATATATATATATAACAAGGTATATTTTTTTAAGTTTCTTTCTCATTAAGAAATAAAAAATCATATCTTTAAAAGTTCAATATATCAATGAATAATACTTAACTCTAGATCGCTACATGTATCTAATATTTGATCAGTGACATGTGTCAACACAAAAAAAAATTGAAAAAATTAGTAACATAAATAAATAAATAAACTAATAAAATAATTGTAAAACAACTAACAAATAATGAAAATGAAAATTTATAATGGTCAGAGGCAAAAAAAATTGAAAAAGAAGCAAGATAAATAGAAAATTAACTAACAAAATATTTATCAAGGAACTAAATAATATTAAAAAGAAAATTTTATAATGTACCGATCTTCTAATATTAAATAGTTTAGTTTTCCATTTTTTTGTTAGGTATAACAGTATTAAAAATAAAGATTTCATCAATATTTAAAATAAAGATTTCATCAATGAAATAATCAAAGTTTCATAAATTAATTAGTCGATTAGATTTAGACATATGTAAGTTTTTCTATTTCATATTATGAATTCAAAATAAAAATATATAAAGATTACATAACTTATTTTATTTAGGAATTTGTTATCAGGTTTTTAATATTATTTTACTTATTTTTAAAAGTGATCAAATTTTATTTAGTATTCTTCCGTAATTTTTTAAAAAAGAATTAAAATAAAGATATTCCAGCCGCTGTGAATGGGCTTTATATTAAAAGCCCAAATAAAATGAGTTTTATTTTAAATTATAATTCCGTCAATTAACTATAAGTTGTGAAATTGTAAGCAAAATTTTGCTATATATGATAAAAAAAAACATCAAAACAATTAACAAGACTTCATAATTAATGGGGCAAATAATAATGGAGCAAGTATCAAAATTTTAAATGTGACTTGATACCAGCCCCGACTCTAGGGGGTGGCGGGAGGTGCGGAGGTCATGGGCCAATTCTAATTTTTAGTATTTAGTTAGGAAAAAAGGTTCCAACATATTTATTTTTAAAAATCTCTTATGTTAATAGGTTTAAATATATTTAATTTTAAAAATATTTATGTTAAAAGGCCCAATTTTTTTTTTTTGCCTTAGAGCCAGGACTGCTTGATACTTGCTTTGTACTTGTGATTTTCCTTGATTCGAACAAATACTTGAGTTTTCAAGACTGATACATTGTAAGTGGCAGGTTTTGGGCAAGTAACCTGTACTTATGCTCAGACATAGGTTTGAATGAAATAATATATTTTGTGTTCACCCTTAAATGAGTTTTGTTTTTTAATGTGGCGTAATGGAAAATTGGGTCATGTGATGTGAGTGCATCAAAGCGACTGAGCTGTCGACGTTCTATCATTAATGTTGACTTCACGCCTCTCAATTTATATGATTCCTTGATAATCTCATCGCCATACCGTTATTACCGATCACTTGATGTTATTATATTAATTGTTACCATGCATGTGATTTCAGATTTCAGATTTCTGGATCTGTTGCTTATATTTTTTCAATAAACCTCTATCGACACACACATACACACAGATACATGATGGTAGTACTTAATTAGTTATTCGTCTAAAAAATGATAAAAGATTTATTGTAGCGACCACTGCTTTGGCTATACGGGGCAAACCCAAAAGAGAGAACTGAGAAGCATCAGTGACTCCTTATTTCTCATTGATTTCTTTAGATGTTTGATTCATGATACATCCAATATTTATTTTTATACAACCGAAGTCAAATAAAACTCACTGGTGAGTGCAAAAAAAAATTCAGAAAAGGAAGATCTAGAGAGATGGAAGAAAGAAGTCAAGAACTTCATCAAGGTTTGGATTTCAGCAATAATCTCTCGATAAATGCGATTACTCTCTCTTCTTCCTGTTTGTGTTTTGTTTCTTCTTCTTCCTCTGTTTTTCTCGTCCATAAATATCCATTGATTGAATCGTACAATGATTGTATATTGGACATGATTTTACGATGTGTTAGGTTGGGAAGTGTGAGCAAAGCACTCAAGAATAGTGCATCGTAATAAATCCCTCTAATCCCATTTAATTAACGTAACCAGCCTCAAAAGACAAAACGTAGAAGCAATTTTTGTTCAGTCTACCAGCACATGCCCAAATTTCTATGTTACTCAAACAAATTACCAAATTAAACCTACTTACACACACACACACAAGTCAGAGAGGGAGATGGAGGAAGAACTCAAGAGCTTGGTTAAAGTAGGGTTTTGTACAGTAATTTCTGTATCTTACTGTTACTACTTACCACCAAAAATCAAAGCTGGTGTTTTCCGATTACTCTCTCTTCTTCCTGTTTGTGCTTTGTTTCTTCTTCTTCCTATGCTCTTTTCCTTTTCGATCTTCTCTTCCAACACAACGTTTTTCTTGTCAGGACTTGCCAATTTAAGGCTCATCCTCTTTGCGTTTGATCAAGGCCCTCTTTTCCCATTGCCCTCAAATCTTTTCAGATTCACTTGCTTCACTTGCTTCCCCATCCGGCTTCAACAAACCCCCAAATCTCAACATCATATCCCCAAACGGGTTTTCGCCATTAAAGTTGCATCTATGGCATCTTGTTACATATTGTTATTTATAAACCAAATCTGCCTCCCACTCTGCTATTTGGTCTCCATATGCTGTTTGTAATCTTGTCAACTGAGATTCTCTTAACGAATCTCAGAGTTGTCTTCACCACCATTCTCAACTGCGACCTCGAGCCACAGTTCGACGAACCATACTTAGCAACCTCTCCTCAACAATTCTGGGGTCGCCGTTGGAACCTCGTAGTCTCGGCGACTCTCCGGGCAGGCGTCTACGCTCCTGTGCGGCGTGTCTGCGATCGCCTAATGAGCTCCGGCTGGGCTAGGTCCATTGGTATTTTGGCAGCGTTCCTAGTCTCCGGTCTATTCCACGAGCTGACATTCTTCTATGTAACTCGCGAGACGCCTACATGGGAGATCACATGGTTCTTTGTTTTACATGGGCTTTTCACGGCCGTAGAAGTTACGGTGAAGAGGAGGAAGATTCTGCAGCGGTGGTGGCCCGTTAGACATCCACATGCTGTGTCAAGGCTGCTGACGATGGCATTTTTCCTTGTGACCGGTGCTTGGCTCTTTCTCACTCAATTAATACGGTGCAACCCGATAAAGAGAGGCGTCGATGAGACCTTGTCGGTCATTGATTTCTTCAGACGCACGTTTTTTCATTTTTTTTCTTGGTTATAATGACCTAAATCATATGTAACCGCATTTCATAATGAATGGAGTCGTAAAATCTTTGTTGTTCGTTATTTCTGCAGATGCAAGTTTGATTTCTACTCCCTCTGTTCCATTATAAGCAGCTTGGGACAAAAGTGGAAAATTAAGAAAAGTGAATTTTTAAAAAAAAAATATCATTAGAAAATAAATTAAACATATTCTAACCAATTAGTGAATAAATTTGTATAATCTTATTGGGTACACAATATCTCATAAAGTAAAATGTGCATTGATTACACAAAACTACTTGTATTATAGGATAAATTTTTTTTTCCAAAATAACTTATAATATGGAACAGAAGGAGTATGATTTATTGAATAAATAATTTCTTCCATAAAGGGACATGTGAAAGTCATCGATCACATGGCAATAGTGTACGTACTGGGATTTCACGATAACGTATACGTTTATCCTCTTAAATGAATATGGGACATACAGATTTATATGATGTTATTAGGTGCATGCATGGGAGCAATATAACGATACCGCAAAAGATTTAAGGTCATATTGTTTGGTCTTAATTAGCTTTAGCCCAATGAAACACTGTTTCCGGACGAAGCATGTTCAAAGAATAAACCCACGCTACATATGCATTGGCTATAACATAAATAATTATGTTTTTCTTTAACAAAAAAAAAATGAATAATTATGTTTTTAACGCGTGGAATGAACATAGATAAAATTTGTCAACGGTGCTGTGCGGCAAATGAAACTATTAATTATACGCTTTTCTCTTGCCCTCACTCGTTAATGGTTTGGAGAATTTGTAATCTTCCTTGGCAACCATTGAATCATCATGATGATAATTGTGACGAACAAGTATCTAAGTTGCTAGAATTACAAAATATTAGGAGTTTAACTGAATTTCAGAAACTCTTTCCTTTTTGGCTTGCATGGCGAATATGGAAATCACGATGTCGCTTAATCTTTAAAAAGGAACTTACTCTACCACATATTATTGTTCAACAAGCTCAGGCAGATGTTTTGGAATGGCTCAAATCACGAGATGCACAACATTCAAGAGTTCAGAGTTCTGGGAACTATGGAAGTGTTTCATCAACAAGGGATCTAATTTGGCAGTGGCCTTCTTTGGGCTTTCACAAGTGTAATTTCGATGCAAGCTATGATCTTCACTCAAATCTTTCAATGGCCGGATGGATCATTCGAGATCATACAGGCGTAGCTTTCTCTTGGGGAACAACTAATTTAGGGATGTCATCTTCACCTTTAGAAGCGGAAGCAAAGGCTCTACTCATTGCAATGCAACAAGCTTGGAGTTTAGGTTTGGACCATGTTATCTTTGAAGGAGATTGTAAAACACTTATTGATGTATTAGGATGTAAACAGAGAGATTACAATATTGAAAATATCTCTTGGGATATTAACTCTTGGAAACAAAATTTCAAAGAATGTGTTTTCAAATTCACAAAGAGAGAAAATAATTCTGTTGCACATGCTTTAGCTTCAATTCTGCCAGAAAATGGTGTTTTTTACTCTTCCCGTTTTAATCCGCCTTTGTGGCTAAAGGATTTGTTGTATGATGACTTTGTAATTCCATTTTAATGAATAAAATGACACTTTGACGTAAAAAAAAAAATTATGTTTTTAATGAAAAACCATGTTTAAATGTATTTTTCTTTCTATAAAAAGACTGCACGCAATAAAAACTTATCTTATGGTACAAGTTAATCTCATTGACTTCCAACCACCATCTAATCAATTACTGTCTCAAATCTCATTAACTTTATATCAAATCTTTTGTCAAAAAAAAAAAAAAAAAAAAAAAAATCTTTTGTCTCTTATAAACTGAGCTCAAAATTTTACTAGTATACGTACTAATAACATTCACCTCTGTAAAAGATATTTCAAATTTCACGCAAAATTAAATTTAATTGGCTTAATGGGATCAATACTTAAAAGCCCATATACAATGGGCTTTATTTTAAAACCCAATTAACTGAGTTAACCAAATTATATACTCAGCCTTTTGTTAACCCAAAAAAAAACACGATCACTGGAAAAGAAAAACACGGATTCTTCAGTCTCTCAGATCCTCCGATGAAGCTTACGGGAACAACGACGACGACGACGACAGAGGTCTTCTGGGGATATTTCTTTGTAATCATTGGTTCCGTTTCCTTCTTCGTATTCTTCTTTGCAGCCATCGCTTCGAATTTTTTTCCTCCCTCTCAAAATCCTCTAATCCAAGCTATAGCGTATGATAGGTACTACTGCTTCTTGGTCCCTTTGACTCTTCCCGTTATAATGGTTGCCGTCTACTTTCACTGGCTTAGCATGAAGCTCTTCAAGCACGCCTGATTCATCCATCACCAGCTTTTTGACGATCTATTGTTAGAATCGCGAGCTCAATTTTCACTCTCTCTCTTGACGACATTCATTACTGAGTAACAGATTATCGACGGATTCGAATTTCGGATTCAATTGAGAAAAAAATTTGTCCGGCGAAGTTTAATTCTGAATCGATCTTCCCGTGAAGGAGAAGAAGTCGAGAATCTGTATCTACATTCTAGAGTTCGATCATGTACTCTGATCAATAATTAGATTTTGTTTAGTTTCGGTGATTACTGGAAAATTAGTGTATGCGTAAGTTAACAGATGAATTACAGTAAGCGGAATCCACGGGTTCTGAAGATAGTCGTCGTGTGTATGCTTCTTCTCGACTCTCTCTTTATCTGCATCTACTTTGCTTTTCACTCGTCTCCGGAGCCACATCCTCACATTGCATTGCGATTTCACGTGGCCGTGAACAAACAGTCGGCGGCGATTCAGAAACCGTAGCCGATCTTACCTTCCTACCTTCCATGGACGCCGCCGCAGAAGAATCTACCCAGTGGCTCCTGCGAAGGCTACTTCGGGAATGGGTTCACTCGGAGAGTCGATTTCCTCAGACCGAGAGGAGGAGAAGGAAGCTGGTTTCGGTGCTTCTACAGTGAGACGCTAAAGAGCTCGATATGCGAGGGAAGGAATGTGAGGATGGTTCCCGATCGGATCGTAATGTCGAAAGGAGGTGAGAAGCTCGAGGAAGTCATGGGGAGGAAAGAGGAGGATGAGCTTCCTGAGTTCCGAGAAGGCGCGTTTGAGGTGGCGGAGGAGATTTCACGGTTAAGTTTCAATAGAAACCGCCGTATCGGAGGAGGAGGCAGTGTGATTTCGCGGCGGCTGGTGAATGAATACATTGAAGAAGGTGGCATTAAAAGACATACAATGAGGGATTTGGTTGGTTCGATTCGTGCTGTTGGCACCGAGGATTTCGTTTGTGAAGAGGTTTGTGCATCTCTACTGTTGTTCTCTGATTGATAAACAAGATTGTGTTTTGGATCAAAACCATCTAACACATGTAGCAAATGAGTGATATTGGAATCATTTGAGCCTTTTATTTGTCAGATTACGTTGTGGATTCTGAGATTCTGAAACATATTGATATGGTTTGCTTTTTTTTGTGTGGCTCCAGTGGGTGGAGGAACCAACGTTGCTGGTGACTCGGTTCGAGTACGCAAATCTGTACCATACCGTGACAGATTGGTACAGCGCTTATGTGTCCTCTAGAGTCACCGGTTTGCCTAATCTACCACACGTTGTTTTCATTGATGGACACTGCACGGTAACACGCTCCTCTTCTTGTTCATTTGCCAAAACTATCTTTTAATCTGCATTTACTCATTGGTTACAGGATTTGGAATTTACTGTGTTTTACAGTTTTAGTTTTACTGCATTGATGGATAAAAGATGAATATAGTAGGAGTTTCATGTCAATGTTGTGAACTTTTTTTTTGCAGACGCAGCTAGAAGAAACATGGACAGCTTTGTTTTCCGGGATCAGATACGCAAAGAATTTCAGCAAACCGGTTTGTTTCCGCCACGCGGTTTTTTCACCGGTTGGATACGAAACCGTGCTCATCAAGGGCTTGACCGGAGATCTAGACTGCTACGGAGAATCAGCTCACAATCTGTGGCAAAACCCTGAAAACCATAAAACCGCAAGGCTCTCTGAGTTTGGCGAAATGATCAGATCAGCTTTCGGTTTTCCGGTCAACAACCTCTGTTCATAACGTTCTCTTTGTCCGCCGTGAAGATTACTTAGCCCATCCTCGTCATGGCGGTAGAGTCCAGTCTCGGCTAATCAACGAGGAAGAAGTGTTCGACTCCTTGCATCGTTGGGTCGCGTCTGGCTCCACCGGTCTGGCGAAATGCAGGATTAACCTTGTGAATGGACTGCTTGCACACATGACGATGAAAGATCAAGTTCGAGCCATACAAGACGCGTCAGTGATCATAGGAGCTCATGGAGCTGGACTGACTCACATTGTGTCAGCAACACCAAACACAACGATATTTGAGATTATCAGCGTCGAGTTTCAACGACCTCATTTCGAGCTAATAGCTAAGTGGAAAGGTTTGGAGTATCATGCCATGCATCTATGGAAGTCACGAGCGGATCCAACGGCTGTGATTGAGAAGCTCAAGGAGATATTGAAGAGCCGTGGATGCTGAAGAAAGAAAATGTAATCAGAATAGTGAGTGAATTCGATCGAGTCTCCGAATCAGAAAAGTTTTGATAATTTTGTCTTAAAAGGTTTGTGTAAATCTATTCAAATGTTTTGTTATAATTCTTTTGTTTATGTGATAGAAATCTCTTCCGTAACTAAAACCTAAGATGCGTAACGAATCTTCACCGTTTGTACTTTGTAACAAAAATACTAAGAAATACAACATAAGAAATTATAGTTTCCAAACAGTGGGTGGCTGAGCTTTATATGACTATCTTACTAACTGCATATACGTATTACAATAATGTAGCATTTCACAAATATAGTTTTTGACTGCAGTAACTATATAATTGCTGCCTATCTTGGACGTAAATTGTACAATCTTTTGGCCATTGAGGTAAAACCAAGATTGTCCTGGATCTGTGGTGGGATTTTGTAATCAGGATCTCCAAGATTGTCATCATCATCAGTCAAATCTGTATCAATCCAAGAATTCCAATCCAACTCGCTCTCTGTATCTTCATCCCACGAGATCTCTCTCTTGCTATGCATGTTGTTAACCTTGTCAACTAGTCCTAGCAGGATCTCATGGTTGAGCATTTCATAGTCCCTGCATTACAGTCAAAGAAAGATCAGTTTCTGAGTTTTTTGGCTTGTCAAAAACATATCTTTCTTCTATTTGAAATCTGGTCATACCTGAATGTGAAAGCAGCATGAAGAAGCTGAGCTGAAGCAAGAACAGCAAATAAAGTCCTCACAAGGCTTATAATCCATGCTCTGCGTTCTGAATCATTCACGAAACGCAGGCTCGCCACTTCTAATGCTAAGGTAACACACAAAGCTGCATCATGAAAATGGAAATGAGAAACCTACTGTTATATAATATATGGTTTTAGAAAGAGATTTGGAGTATATGAATATGATACTTACCTATATAAAGCCTTGGCCTTATGGTATAAGTCTGCTTTGTGCTTGTGAACATGTAGATGACAAAGATGGACAAGAAGTAGATGAAGAAGGCTTTGATCACTCTAGACTCAAGAAGCATCGCATTGTGCAAAGCAAACAGCTTATCCAGAGCTACAAACATGCTTGCTTGTTTCGCCTCAAACGCTTCCTGCAAAAACACATTTTCAAAAATGAGTTTTCTACATGATCTTGCTTCCTCTGCTTTGGAAATTTTTTAAAGGTTTAGATGACTAACCTGAGCTTCCAACATTGATTTTGAGTTCTCAAACAGATGATCATGAACCTGTTGAAGCTGTTCTTGCCGTTTCGCAAGAACTTCTTGCTGCTCCTGACTAAACTCAGCTAAACGTTTCAAAGTAGTCCTACTCTCTTGCAGTGCCTCGCTCTGAAACCTAGTAAGAAACTGGAGATTATCAAGAGCCACAGATTGTCCATCCAAAAGCTTCTGCTGCTTATCCAACGAACTATTAGTCATAGTTCCTATCACATTCGTTGAATTCTCCAAAGCTTTCATCTTCGATGTCATGACTTTCCCAAGCACGCTTATCTTCCCTTGGATCTGCTTCGTGTCGTTCTTCAGCTTATCCACTCCTTCCTTGACGTTATCAACCGAGTCACTGACCATCTCCATGCCAGCTTTCATCGTCTCTCCCATCTTCTCTTGACCTTCCCTTAACGCCAACTGTGACTCCGTGATGCTCTTCTGTTCTTGATAGATCTCTCTGGTTTGTAGAGACACTCCAGTCACTTGAGTCTCTATGGTGTTTGTCGTGTGCGCCACGTTTTGGACACGAACATCCAACGACCCTAAAGACTCATGAATCGCGTTTGAGCTCTGGAGTATAACATCAGCTTTACCCTGAAGAATATCCAGTTTATCTTCTGTGTATTGCGCTGAGGTCTTCAAATCATTCACTAGCCTCTCTATTTCATTCTTGAATGCATAACTCCTGCCACACAAAAAGCAATTGAGAATCCATCAAAGGTTAAAAAGAAACTAAAAATGTCGAGAATCTTACTGTAACTGTTGGCAGATGGTGTTGGTCTCAAGCATGAACTCGAGATAGATCTTGTGCTCGTGATCATCAAGCTTCTTGAGGCAACTCATCATTGTCGCTTGCTCGTTGCAGGTTGGAAAAGCTGGTCTTCCTGAGTCTTTGAGGAAGCAGTCGCTTAAGTACCAAGCGAATCTCTTCCTTTTTTCTTCTGTGGCGACTGTTTCTCTGCAGCCAGATAAGAGGTAACCATATGCATTTTGCCAGCAGCTGTTTGGACCGACAAGCTTGTTTTTGGCTTCTTCGAGGACTCGAACCGCCTTCTGGTCACTGAAGACTTCTATGGAGAACTCTGGGTTGGATTTGTGAGACCGAGAGAAATATGAAGAAGAAGAAGAAGAGTCTGTGTTTTCTGTTGAAGAAGAGAACCATCCCCAACTGTGACATGTTTTTGGAGAGTCTATAATTATAATCAGTAGAAACAGAAGACATGTTATGTTAAAACGATCCATTAAATCGGGTTTTAGTGCTTTTGTGTTCTCTTTTGATCTTCTTCTTCTTTGTTTCTCCTCCAAGAGATGTGTGATTGATCACCTGTGAGAAAAAATGAAAAAAAAGGAAGAACATTACGTTCTGAGAATCTTATATATATAGATATGAAACTTGGAGCGAAAGCAAGGGAAAAGTCTTGAACTTCCGATATAAAAAAATGGCAGTTTTGTTTCCGTGGCACCGTCATTAATAAAGAGATTTATTAACAAAACAATTTTCAGATTGAAAAAGAAGGAGATAAACCCATTAAACTCTTCGTTCAGGGTTTAGAGAAAAACATCTTTACAAAAAAAGGAAAAATCTGTATCTGTTTTCTTTTTTTTTCGTTTTCTGTACTTAATACATGCATCTTGAGTCGTGTCGGTAGAGTTTAAACAAAAAAACAAACGGAGACACGAGGAAAATATACAATCGATTTCTTTTCTCGATCGTACAGAGAACATGAAAATCACATGAAAAGATTAGATCCAGGACTGTTATTGGAGGAAAAAACAAAAGAGATAGAAAATCTAAATATAGTCTTTTTGAATCAAAGAATAATCTCCAAGTTTATCAAATTCATAACAGAATGGCAAAACTAATTTAAGTACGAAAATAAACACGAAGAACAATTTTACTTGAATCTAAACAAGCATTTTCACTTCAAGACTTAAAACATAAGTTTCCAAACAAAAACTTGAGAATAGACAGTAATACAACATTAAGCAAGATGTTGACAAGAGAAAACAAAATTAAGCAAAGCTTTACCCGAAACGAAGAAACTGCAGATGTTGAGTCGGCGATTTGGAGGAAGTGAAATGATTATTCAAGAGAAAAGAGGAATTTAAAAAGTAACTGAAAGTGTTTGACAAAAAAGGGAAGGAAACGTTTCGCGAACGTTTGGTTTAATTCCGGTTTGACTTGGTTTCGCGTAGTCATATTTTATTTGTTCTCGGTTCGGTTCGGTTTATTTATATCTGTTTTTAATTCAATAAACAGATTAGTTTAGTCAAAAAAGGAATCCAAAAGCAAATCTGCCAAACAACAGTGATGATGGAATGTTCTTCGACAAAAAATTAAAATAATAATATTATCGGCATCTCTGCAAAATTCCAATTCCTTCTTCCAAGTTTTTTTCACCTTGGAGAATTTTCCGGCGAAATAGCCGGTGAATATTTCTGCAGAATCTTCCACCGCCGTTTGAATTTTGCCAGAATCGAGTAAGAAAACATGGAAAAGTAAAAATAGAAAGCTCCAGTTCCATCTCGGGTAAAGAATATTCAAATTCTCTCTCTCTTATCTCTCTCTCAAACCGCAAATCAAGGGAGCGAGAGAGAGATGAGTAAGCGAAATCCACGGGTTCTGAAGATAGTCGTGTGTATGCTTCTTCTCAACTCTCTCTTTCTCTGCATCTACTTCGCTTTTCACTCCTCCTCCTCGTCTCCGGAGCCACATCCTCACATTCCGTTGCGATTTCACGCTTCCGTGAACAACCAGTCGGCGGCGATTCAGAAACCGTGGCCGATCTTACCTTCCTACCTTCCATGGACGCCGCCGCAGAAGAATCTACCCACTGGCTCCTGCGAAGGCTACTTCGGGAATGGATTCACTCGGAGAGTCGATTTCCTCAAACCGAAAGGAGGAGAAGGAAGCTTGTTTCGATGCTTCTACAGTGAGACGCTTAAGAGCTCGATATGCGAGGGAAGGAATGTGAGGATGGTTCCCGATCGGATCGTAATGTCGAGAGGAGGTGAGAAGCTCGAGGAAGTCATGGGGAGGAAAGAGGAGGATGAGCTTCCTGAGTTCCGAGAAGGCGCGTTTGAGGTGGCGGAGGAGATTTCACGGCTAGGGTTCAATAGAAACCGCCGTATCGGAGGAGGAGGCAGTGTGATTTCGCGGCGGCTGGTGAATGATGAGATGCTGAATGAATATATCGAAGAAGGTGGCATTGATAGGCATACAATGAGGGATCTGGTTGCTTCGATTCGTGCTGTTGGCACCGAAGATTTCGTTTGTGAAGAGGTTTGTGCATCTCTACTGTTGTTCTCTGATTGATAAACAAGATTGATTTTTGGTGAACTCTTCTTGCGGAATTAGATTGTGTTTTTGGTGAAAAGATGCATATGTGGAAATTTCTTCTTTGAATTTAAATCGTGAGCGAATTTGGAAGATCAAATCCATTCAACACATGCAGCAATGAATCACTGACATCGAAATCTTTCTATGCTTAGATCAAGAATTTGAGCCTTTTCACTATTGATTGATGCTGGGTTTGCTTTATGTGTGGCTCCAGTGGGTGGAGGAACCAACGTTGCTGGTGACTCGGTTCGAGTACGCAAATCTGTACCATACCGTGACAGATTGGTACAGCGCTTATGTGTCCTCTAGAGTCACCGGTTTGCCTAATCGACCACACGTTGTTTTCATTGATGGACACTGCACGGTAACGCTCCTCTTCTTGTTCATTTACCAAAACTATCTTTTAATCTGCATTTACTCATTGGTTATAGGATTTGGAATTTACTGTGTTTTACAGTTTTAGTTTTACTGCATTGATGGATAAAAGATGAATATAGTAGAAGTTTCATGTCAATGTTGTGAACTTTTTTTTTGCAGACGCAGCTAGAAGAAACATGGAATGCTTTGTTTTCCGGAATCAGATACGCAAAGAATTTCACTAAACCGGTTTGTTTCCGCCACGCGGTTCTTTCACCGTTGGGATACGAAACCGCGCTCTTCAAGGGCTTGACCGGAGACATAGACTGCTACGGAGAGTCAGCTCACAATCTGTGGCAAAACCCTGAAAACAATAAAACCGCGAGGCTCTCTGAGTTTGGCGAGATGATCAGATCAGCTTTCGGGTTTCCGGTCAACAGACACCGGACCTCAGAAAAACCACCATCATCATCATCATCAGCGACCTCTGTTCAAAACGTTCTCTTTGTCCGCCGTGAAGATTACTTAGCGCATCCTCGTCACGGCGGTAAAGTCCAGTCCCGGCTCATCAACGAGGAAGAAGTGTTCGACTCCTTGCACCATTGGGTTGCGTCTGGCTCCACCGGTCTTACGAAATGTGGGATTAACCTTGTGAATGGATTGCTTGCGCACATGTCGATGAAAGATCAAGTCCGAGCCATCCAAGACGCGTCGGTGATCATAGGAGCTCACGGAGCTGGACTGACTCACATTGTGTCAGCAACACCAAACACAACGATATTTGAGATTATCAGCGTCGAGTTTCAACGACCTCATTTCGAGCTAATAGCTAAGTGGAAAGGTTTGGAGTATCATGCAATGCATCTAGCGAATTCACGAGCGGATCCAACAGCTGTGATTGAGAAGCTTGAGGAGATAATGAAGAGCCGTGGATGCTGAAAAAAAAATGGAATCAGAATTTTGATCATTTTGTCTCAAAAGTTTGGTTTTTAGATGGATAAATGATTGGCCAAGCTGTGTGTAAATTGGTTATGTGCCTTTTGTACTAAACAAGATTGGTCTGTAAATTGGTTATTTGCCTTTTGTACTAGACATGATTTCTAATGTTAGATTTAATGTTACTTGAACGTATTGGAAATTCCAATTTGAAAAGTACCATGTTAAATTAGAGATGACTACATTAACTAGAACTCTGAAAATCATTTTTCCTTTAAAAGGAAATATTATTGTGTAGATAGATAACTCAATTTAGATATATATTCTTTTTAAGTTCATTTAACTATTTCTGTTCTAATTTTATTGTGATATATTTTCTAAAATAACAAAAAGACGATTAAAATCTTTTTAGACTTTCTTCATAATCCCTAATATATTAAAAGAGAAAACACTATAAAATAAACCTTTGTGTCATGTGGTATTAACAAAAATGCCATGCTGAGGTGTCATCATTAGGTTCATTCTCAAGGTAAGTTTTAATTAACCCAAAGATTACTAGACTAATTACATGTAGTGCCATTCATATTATTTTGGTTAGAGACATTATAAATTTAATTTGACTAACCATTTAATGAAATATTAATAAAATAAAATATTATTCTCTTTCCTTAATTGGTACATACAGAAAATTAATAAATAAGGTATGATATGATATTCAATTTAATTGTATCATAATAATAATTTCTTTAAAAATCATTACATATCTCCTATCATCTTTGTTTAACTGTATTTATAAAACAATTTGAATCACAATATTAAAAATATAACAAAGAAAATCGAATTTTTTTTATGTATATGCTATGATTTAAATTTTTAAAAACATAATCACTTAAACTGGTAGAAATTTCCATATTGGATATGTTGTTGTATAAATGTGTAGATATATATTATTAAAAAAAATGATGTGCAGTGTTATGAGTAGGAAACCTCATTTAGTAGGTATTTAAATGTAATTTTTATTTAATTTAATATAGTTTTTAGTTAAATCGTATAATTAAATCGAATAAAATAATTATTTTTATATATTTTTTATTTGATCAAAAATTTGAATATTACTCCATTTATTTTAACTTTCAATATAAAATTAATTATATTTTTGTTGATTTGATAATTTGGATTATGCATATTGTTTTCTTATTGGTTGGATTGTTTTGGAATTATAATAAAATATGTTTTAATTTTAAAAGAAGAAAAACATTAGTTATAATCTGTGTGCACATATCTAAACTTCTTATCATATAAAATACATGAGGTATAATTTTTTTTAAACAATAACATTTTATTTTCAGATTTTTTTTGGTTTTTAAATTTTATTATATTGTAAATTGAGTTTTATGTATCTCACTTAAATATATTAATTTAATATATGGCAATACGGTCAAAGCTTAATTTGTTTACCTTTTTCAAAAAAATGGTTTAAAATGTTTAATTTTCACATTATAAACAATATAAATAAACAATAAATATCGCATAAATTTTTAAGATAGTTAAATAGACATTTTTAATAAAAATACAACTTCAGAAATCATCACCGTGCAGGGCGCGGGTCAAACCCTAGTTAGTTATTCAATCATTAAACGGTTGAAGAACTTTCAATTTTTAATTCATATAGATTATGGAAACGGTATTCATAATTATAAAACATTCTTATTTGAATTTTGCCTCTCTAACAAGTATAAGTACAAACACAGTTAGAACCTCTACCAGTTTTGGTATCTTTAACACATTTTCCAGCTCCTTCATTGAATGAAACATAGCAGTTGTCAATACAATCAAAAGAATCACATGCATTTTCTTTTTCTGAAGGAATGATTTTAGTACACCACTTTCCCCGAACTTCTGAAACCACTGAAAATACAACAAAATAAAATTTGAACTAATATTTATCCACATGTTTAGACAATCTATGTAATATATATTTCAAATTAATTATTATTTGATGTTTGAAAGTGGAAAAAAATGAAATTACCAAAAAATACAAGCATGAGCAAAAAAATAAGAACATGATAACTTGGCCATGATGAATATCACAACAAAATAAAGTGACTACTCTTTTATGAATTAGAGATGGTAAAAGAAGGATAGCTATTTTATTTTCTTTATAGTTTTTTAAAAGTGATTAAGCTCTAATTTTATTTATATAGTGGTCCATATTTTTTTTCACATAAAAATAAGAAAATCCTAAAAAGAAAGTAAATAAATGATAAAAAAAACTAGTGTTGACTACATTCATTATTATGTGCATCTTCTCACTGTGAGAATTATAGTATAATCTTAATCTAAGAAATTTTATATCTATATTAGAAAGAGTCTTCAAACAATTAACTATAGACTATGGAAACTTTTTAAGTAATTAAGAGTCTTCAAACAATTAACTATAGACAAACATATAAATATTTCTTTTGTTAAACATTAAAATTAGCTAGGATTGAATTCAATATTTACAATCCAAGACCGAAATCCCTATAACATTTTAACTAACGCAATCCTAAAACCTAAAGTCCGAAAACATATCTTACATACGATTTGATTGGTAGAGTATTTTGAAGAACATTATGATATATGCCATCTGATCAATTTGTTTTAGAAAAGCATTTGGAAGTTGTCAGTGTTCTATAATATTCTTTCAATCTCTGCTTTAAAATTAAGCATTTCCACAACATAAAATTAAACTCTACAAATATTGAAAAAAAAAAAACAAAACTCAAAAAATATATACAGTTTAGTTAATTTGGTAAATAACTTCAGAAAATATATTATTATTATTAAAGTAGTTTTTTTTATGACTAGAAAAACAACAACAAAAACTATACGAGGTTTTTTGTTCTTTTTCTATCCACAGGCTATGTTCTTAAAATGGTCTAGAGATCCAAGGAGGCATAACAAAATTTATGTAATACACATCATGAAAGAGATCTCGTGCACTATGTCTGTCTTACCTTCGTATTCTTCGTCCTTGGTATCTGATGGATGAAATAGGAGATGAATCGTTTTCTACATCGGTCTACTTCGTCGAGAAGAATCGAGAATATTGGCAACACCAAACACAACAATATTTGAGATTATAAGCGCCGAGTTTCAGTGACCTCATTTGGAGCTTATAGCTAAGTGGAAAGGTTTGGAGTATCATGTGATGTGATGCATTTGGCGAATTCACGAGCAGATCCAATGGCCGTGGATGCTGAAGAAAGAAAATGGAATTGGAATAGTGAGTGAGTTTTAGTCTCCGAATTTGAATAGCTTTATAATTTTGTCTTAAAAGGTTTGTTTTTTAGATGAGTAAATTATTGACAAATGGTCTTGTATTACCAAGTGATTGAGCTCTAATGTTGATTTATTGTTATTATCATCGATTTATAATTATTGAAATGTACATTTAATGATACTTAAAAAAATAGTGTAGTGGAATGTATACTACATTTAATGATACTTACTCAAGCTAACAAATTACAGACTTTTACGGTTCTGAAAAGACCTCTCATTCAAAATAAATTAGTAATGTAGAATATAAATGCTATCCGATATCTATGTTTCTATCAGTATAAAACTGTTACAGTTATGTAAATGTATCAGTGCAACGGATAATGATATAAATTATAAGCTAATATGAAACGAAATGAGAAGAAGATGAAGTCTTCTCTATTTAATTGTGTTGAAAGTTTTGGAATGTCTATCTATAATAAAGATTAAATTTGACTACATTAACTAGAACTTTGGAAATCATTTGTTCTTAAAGTTAAGTACATAAAAAGAAATATTACTGTATATATATGTGTTGGGGATGGATTCCACCCCGTCGAGACCAACGGTTAGGGCGCGTCTATACAAAGAGTGTGCAAAAGAAATAACAAACGACGAACCAACTAGCTGTGACGACCCAAATCTTCGCAAACGCAGAAAAGTTCCACAACCAAAATATATGTGACGAGCCAAGTCAAACGCTCAAAACGACAACGCACCATAAATACAAAGCGGAGAGTTCATGGGCCGGACCGACGTCGCCTTGGGCCGAACCAACATCAACGATTCGAGGTGAGGCCCACGACACATTTGTGATTTGCCCTAGAACGCTAGGTTGGCGGCACCGCAAAAGATAACATCAAATCTAGGAGAATATCTCACAAGATTCTCATAGAAAGTCGGTGACAAACTTGTATAAATAGATATTAAGGTTCATTGTTTCGGGATGACTTTTTATTCATTGTTACACTACAGAGCTCATCACACTTTACATCAATAAAATCACCACATTTTGATCTCGATTTGTATTATACTTGAATTTCTAGGCCCTCTCTTAAAAACATCCTTTGAATCTATTGTGCAGATATATATATATTTTAAGTTCATTTAATTATTTTATTTTAAATCTTGTTGTGATATTTTCTAAAATAACAAAATGATGACTGTAATCTTCTGAGACTTTTTTCAAACTTTGTTATTCAATCATAAAATTCAAATTTTATTCATATAGATTAAGGAAAATAAATTTTTAATCATAAAATATTATTATTTGAATTTTGCTTCTCTAACAAGTATAAGTACAAACACAATTAGGACCACTACCCATTTTGGCGTCTATAACACATTTTCCATGTCCTTCATTGTAATGATCCCCACAGTCGTCAATACAATTAAAAGGATTACATGTATTTAATGGAGGAAGGATCTTAGTGCACTGCTTTCCCTGAACTTCGGAAACCACTGAAAATATTATAAAATAATATTTATGCACATGTTTAGATAATTTATGGAATCTATATTTTAAAAGTAAATATTATTTGATGTTTGAATGTGGAAAAATGAAATTACCAAAACACACAAACATGACCATGAAAAAATAAGAACATAACTTGGCCATGATCAATATCACAACAAAGAAAGTTACTACTCTTTTATAATTTAGAGATGATAAAGAGAAGGATAACTATTTTATTGCTTTATTGTTTTTTTAAATGATTGTATTCTAATGTTTGTGTTTATATAGTGGTTCATGATGTTTTTTCAATAGAAATAAGAAAATCCTAAAAAGAAAGTAAATGAATGATAAACAAAAAAAAAAGGGTTAACTACATTTATTATTATGTGTATCTTTTCACCATGTAAGAATTATAGTATCAATTTAGTCAAAGAGAATTTGTATCTATATTAGAAAGAGTTTTATTCTAATAGTTTTTTATATCTTATTAATGTAGGGAAACTCTTTAAGTAATCCCACTTTCATTATAAAAATAGTCTTCAAACAATTAACTATGGATTAACATATAAATATTTTTGTTTAAAAAACATTAAAATTAGCTAGGATTGAATGCAATATTTACAAGTCAAGATCGAAATCCCTATAACATTTTAACTAACACAATCCTTAAACCAGTCCAAAAATATATCTTACATATGACTTGATTGGTAAAGTAGTTTGAAGAACATAATATTGTGCTATCTGCCATCCAATCAATTTGTTTTTAGGATTTTTTCAAAAATAGTTATCATTTAATGAGTTAAAACTTCAAAATAATGTGAAAATAAAATTATACAAATTTTCTGTCGTAGTATTAAAAAAATGTGGAGATGTGTGGTATCGATCATAGTATTTGTCGTATCTTCCCGCATCTATATACAAGAGCATCTAAACCATGGGATCTCGAAGTCAAAGACCCATTTTATCTTGAAAATAGATCAGATAAACAGAAAATGACAAAATAAAGGATAATCAACAAAAACAGTGGAGATGCGGGGTATCGATCCCCGTACCTCTCGCATGCTAAGCGAGCGCTCTACCATCTGAGCTACATCCCCAATTGATTGTACTCTGACAATACTTCTAAGTATAACAAAACATTAATCGGAACTCCCAAGCAAGAATTGAAATTCCTCTTAGTTCATTAATGGATGCACATGTTTAAGGTATATGTATATGGTGGAGTGATGTATAATTTGTTTAAAATTTCACTGTTTGTGTTGATTAGACTGAAATGGACATTCCTCTATATTAAATTATTAATTAACTCTAAAGATTTACTTTTTACTCGTGTAACCAAGGATTCACCATTGCAACAAATATCTAATCATGAAGAAGGATGTTAAAAATTCATAGACTGCCAAATTTAATAACAAAAGCTGCCACTATCATCTTGTTAAACGTAAAAAAAAAACCATTTGCTTTGTGATCAGAATATTATCTACTTAAAATTTTAAAAATTTCATAGAGATGTCAATAAAAATTTATTACCCATTACACAAGAAAAAAAAGAAACAGAGAAAACAATAAGTTTGGTGAAGCATTACAAAAATCACTTTCCCAAACCAAACGAATACTTAAGCAGCTGCTTATAAAAAAACAACATAATCTCATACTCACTCCTCTTCACATTATCCGGCACTGTTGCTCGCCGGTAACGCCGTCTCGCGTCGGTAGCTGCGGCGGCGGAGAATACATCATCTCCGGTGCGTAATACGGATAATGGTAATACGGAGACGCCACAGGAGGTTGTTCCATATAGGGATTTTGACGGTAGTACATGTACTGCGTCATAGGAGCCACTGGCGCCGTCGGCTGATACATCGGCGATGGATAGGGAGACGTTAGCCGTGGATCTGGATAGTTGTAAGTAATAGGTACGATTTCAAATGGGTTTGCAGGATTGTGGGGAGGAGGATTAACGTGACCATAATCCAAGTGGATTAACTCAGCATGTTTCTTCGCTTTTCGAAACCTAAGAATGATCTCAGGGCTGATGTTGCCGGAGAGATAAGCCAAACCTCTCGTCGCATCGATTGTATATGTCACATCTGTTCATAATCACACCCCAAAAAATCAATTATGTAGCAGTAAAAAAAAAAGCGGTAAAAAATTCAAATCTATTACATTTAATATGACCTAACAAAGTCAACTAACAAAGTCAATTGACTTGACAATATGACTAGGGTGTTGAATTTGGGAGTCAACTAATTGTATTAGATTTCAGGTGAAACAAATCTGAAACGAATCTCGTAATTAAACACTTCTAATCATGTCCAGATATCTATCTATGTTTAAAAAATACAAGTCAACTTTTCAGACTATACTAAAAGTATCTCTAGTTGACCAAAACAAAACGCAAACTTAAATTAGTAAAGTTTAATATCATTATATTCATTTCTCTAAACCTGCTACATAAAAATTGATTAAAAAACGTTTATAACAAAAGTCAAACTGCGTCCAGATTGTGATGAAATTTATATCAAAATCATTAGCTACACAATACACATAAAAAACATTTTAAAATGGTCTGTGAATCGTTGGTTCAGTTAACTAATCCTATTACTATAACCTTGAGAATAATAACTACATAATACAAATAAGAAACAACAAAAAAGGATTGAGAAAAGAAGAACCTCGAATGCCTTTGAAAAGCTTATGCATAGATTTGTCCCATCCACTAGTTTGAGTATCCAACCTTAGAACGCAAGTCTGCAAGGAAAAAGAGGAAGAAGTCATGATGATGATCGAGTGATGAAGATAATAAAAATATAAAATATAGTAATTGAAGATGAGAGAAAAAGAAGCGAGACCATTTGCGAAGAAGAAAGATGATCCATGGCTCTGTGTGTGTGTTTACAATTTTGGGTAGTTACTTTGTTTTGGAACCAAATGACTGTTTATAAAGACCAGTACCAAGGGTTTGGGTTGTTTCGTTTGGTTTGCTTCAATGGATAAGAGTCGAGTATAAAAGATTTCTTTCTTTAATTTCTCCGAATTTAATTTGTCTTTCTTTATGGTAATAATAATTAGATTAATGGTATTAAATCCGTGTACTAATTGTTGCAGTCTGTACGTTGCATTATACAGTATCATGTAGTATAAAATGGAACAAGTTTTGCAGATTTGATTTGTTACTGTATCTGTCTTAACAAATATCTCCACAGTTTGTGGTCATTAACAAGCAGAGATGTGTTTAGTATTGGATTCAACCAAAACGATATTATCCAAATTTAACATGCCAAACCGGACATAGTCTAAATACAATGGTTCAGCTACTAATCTTTTTAAACCGAACCAAAATCTAAATTATACAAAGACCCTAACATAGAGCTATTGTTTAAAATACAAATGATGAAATTACAAATTTGAGCAATATTGTAATTGGTCGTCAAAAAAAAAGAAGAAGCAATATTGAGATTGCAAATCATGATGTTCTTCTTTGGAAAAGCTTGCTAAAGAAGTTTATACAGAACCATTAATGTTCCTCATAAGTCAGAAGTCAGAACCCATGAGTCTAGTGTTTTAGAGATACTTAAGGTTAAGGCTATGATTGATCAAACTCTAACTCAAATAATCTGGTTGAAAATCAGATAAATCTCAATCGCAAAGATGACTAGACAGAGAATCATCCACAACGAGAACATAAACAAATAACGGGAGGTAAACTTGGAGATAACGGCGCCGCCAGGCGCCAGCAGCAGCATCTCCGGCGAAACCGACATGACATCATAAGCGTCGACGTCGATACCGTTTGAAGAATTCTCGGCCGCCATAGCTGAAGGTGAAGAATACTTACGTTTTTTCTACCTAATCTAAAAAAATAACGAGAGAACATGTCAAAATGAATACAACTATAACGAGAAAACATATCAAAAATGGCAACGTTCGGGTATATCCGTTTATGCAACAAACTAAAACTACAAATAATTTTCTCTATATCTTTTCCTTTTTTTTCTTCTAAATACACTAGGTATTGAACCCGCGCGAAATCGCGCGGTAACTCATTTTATAGTAAATTATTTTCTAATTTTCTTTTGCAATACATATATCATATAACTTATCATAATGAAAACAATAGTATATTGTAGTTATAATCAGAAATAATAATAGAAATAGTCACTTCTACTCTAAATTTTTTCATACATGATAATGCCCTCCAATCGTATTTTGATGTTTTTAATAGTAAAAACTTAATTTATGAACGACAAATATTAAGTTTTACACCTGTGCCAGATCTTCCAGAAATTCATTTTGAATAATATGTTTTATTTCTAAAATTTATTTGCAATATATACAAAAAGTATTTACCATAACTAAAATAATTAATAGTACAATCAAAATCGTGAATGATTTTAAGTATAATTGTCTTGAGAAATAACAATTTATCTATTTTATTTGATGTTGAATGAAAAACTAAGATTTTCAAAAGAAAAACAAATTCGTATAAAAAAACTAACAATGATCAATATGGTAAGGATTATGAGGGAAAATTATGGAGATAGTTAAAAGGTTAAAGAAGAACTTCCTAAATCAGTAAAGGGAAACGTGGTTGTAGTCGTGTTAGGCTGATGATTATGGTGGAAAGATTGCGTTATTGTGGGAGAAAAAAGTGTCTGCTATTGGCTCTCAAGAGAAGCATAACGGACCAGAGAGTTTCGGGAAGATTGAGTGATGTAATTGTGTTTACAGTCTCTAAGTTTTGTCGTTGATTGGAATTTCTGGTTGTTACTGTTTGATGAATGAACATACCACGCCATTCATATTGTTCGGATTTTCTCTATACCGCTTAATGAAGTATGCATTTGACGTTTTTCTATATATGTGTTGACATGTCGTCTCCCTCTCTTTTATGCTTCATTTTGTTTTCTCTCCCAAACTCAGCCCTGATTCTTCTTCCCTTTGACCTTTTGCTCTTATATGATCTTTGATTGGGAAGATCACTAATCCTTTATTGATGTATTTCTTTTCAGAAATTACTATTATCATCTCTTTTGTAATGAATAGTTACATAATTTTTTATATATCTCTTAATTTTTTTAAAAGATAAATGTTCCAAAGAAGAAAAATGAAATAGAATAATATTTCATCAAAAAGGTATAGGGTGTTTTCAAAAGTAGACCCCAAATTGCAGTCAATTATTTTGGTATATCCTTCTAATACTTACACCTCTTTCTCTCTATATCATCCTTCCCCTCTCATCATATCTACCAAAATGCCATCAGTTTTTCTATTTTTTTCTTTTTTTCGAAATTAGTAATTTCCAAACTAAAACAGAATTATTGCTATAACCATACTAGTACAGAATTATTACATCTTGATCTTGTTTTAGTATGGTTATAGCAATAATACTGTACGGTCGTAGATTAACATCGTAGTAAACCACTTTCTTAAACCAATATTAACAGTCTACTTTAGAAGTCTACATTAGCACTCAACATTGGAAGTCATCATTTGTAGGCTGTTTAGACGACAAAATGCAACAAATATTATACAGCCCGTTCTGGGTTTTACGTTTCTAGATCCAACGGGATCCTTCATTACATATCCGTAACATCTTTTCAAACATCAAGAACACAGAAAACACCTTAACTTATCTAAACATAATCATGCATCCGCAGGCTATGATGATGCCGGCGAGGAGGACGACAAGCGCAATGACGATGTGAAGTACCGCTCCCCTGTGACGCTTGTTCTCCGTAAGAGCTAGGCGTTTCAGTTCACCTAGCTCTGCCTCAATCCGATCAGCAACTCTCAGGACACGAACGCAATCTCCTTGGTTGTCAGTAGCACGTCGCAGGAGAACGAATTCCTCCATCATAGCCTCGTCCCACCACTTCACTAGATGCAGGTCACAACCCTATAAAAACGACATATGGGTCTCACGATACATAGAGATGCGTAGACATGAAACAAATGACAATTGATGGAACTTACCACCTTTCGATTGACCTTATAATCTTTGCATCCAAAGAACATTCTACCCGGATACTCATCTGTGCTGTCCATTGTTTTCATCATCGTCGGCAACCCACAATAGCATAAATTAGGAATTCCATAGTGTCGACTGGTGGAGCTCACATCTGCTTCGTCAGGGCTAATCAACCTAACAGAGCTGCTTGAAGGTTGACTGTAGCTGTACCGCCCCATTCCTGTGTACGCCAAAACAGAACCCCATGCCCAAATTAGCTTACAACTATCAAAACAATAAATATTCCAACTATTGCATACTAAGGCTCACCCGTTACCGGTTTCCGTCGCAGATCTGGACACGAGAGTATGAGAGAGAAGCACGACCGACCCTTCCACGAACAAGAAATCAGATATTTAGTCTGTATAGAAGAAACGACATGATGACAATTCAAGAAAAAAATTCGTCGCCCGCTTACCACAAATACGACGACAACGACGACTGGGGAGGGGACCAGAGAGAGAAGCTGCGCCGTCTTAGAGAGAGAAGCTGCGCCGTCTTAGAGAGAGATTCGTTTCCGCAGATTTAACAAAATTAGGGTTACGCTCTCTATATATATGAAGGTCGGTAATCCCGGTTTAGTTTAAAATTCCGGTTATGTAGACTTCTTTGTGAAGTCTACATGTTCCGTCTACTTAAGAAGTCTTCCAACCCTAAACCCTAATCAAATATTTTACACAAAGAAACTTATGGAATAAAATAGTTTTCGTTGAATATACACAAATTACATTATAATCAACACATATATGAACATTAAATGACTATACAACGATTAAACTTGGTTTTCAAAAAATATTTGGCTAAACCCTAACAACTTATACTACCAAGCCCTATACTTCAAACCTAAACTCTATCCTTGATGGACCAAATACTCATGAAACTTATAAACTTATACATTTTCATGAGTTTGTATTTTCCTATATATGAACATTGTATTTACTTAGATTAATAACAAAAATTTGTTAGCAAAATATTTTTTATAAATTTTAAATTAAAATTTAAGATTTCGTAAAAGTAGACTTCATGAGTAGACTTCTCTCCAAATTTATAGGTTTGTGGCATGCTTTGCCTTTGTGTATTTAGACTAATACATTTTCAAGCAAAAATATTTTTAATAGATGCTAAATAACAAGGTCTTTTTTATGTATAATTTTTTGGTTTAAATATTTTTCTTTAATTTTATAATTTAAATTTAAGATCTTAAGGCGTTGTAGACTTCGTTTTGAAGTCTACTTTAGTTGACGTCTTCGTAGACTTCAACACCATGGGTAAATTGGTAATTGCGTCGCTCGTTTATTGTTTGTTCGTAGAAGATAAAAGGGTCATTAACCACCCCTTGGGGTATACCAATTGTCAAACATGTCATATGGGTATACTGTTACCTAAAAAAACAATGTTTGGGTATACCAATGGTAATTCCCCAAAAGTATTATTTACGAATTTTTTCAATACTTTTCACTTGACATCAAGCTTTTGTATTTCCTTCAGTATGCAGTGAATCGTCCGTACATACCTCAACGTGATGCTCCCTCGGTAATATTGACTTTTTATGGTTTACTTCAGAATTTTACAACTCACAAATGGTTACATAAGATTGTTAAATCCATAATAGTGACACTGTATATAGAGTAATTAGTTCACGTGCATGTCTTTGTTTCCATCATTTTTTATGCATACCGAAACAAATATATATATTTTTAACCTGTTCAATTGACACACATATTACTGACTTAAAATTATGTTTTGTTATTGCAAAACATTTGCTATTCATTAGTATATTTTAAACTTGCAGATCATGTGTTAGCTATGAAGATGGTGATCACATCTCGGTTAATCATACAAAAACTCGTAGCTCTTCAAATATCTCATCAATTAGTTCCCAAAACTCTCTTGGTAATGAAAACATTGATCTCCAAAGTATGACATATGAGGTAACTCAACATTTTCATCTAAATACTTATATATATGGTACTTGTGATCCCCAACTAACACTTATACATCAATAACACTTTCTCATGATTTGGATGTAAAGGAATTGAATGAGTTAGAACTTAGAAGACTCGATCGGAGATGTAAGTAGAGGATTATCGCAATGGAAACTCTCTCGGTTGACGACTCATAGTTATGGTACTAAAACCAAAACTCGGTGGTGGCAAATCAAGAAAAAGAACTATGTTGCCGATGATACTCAGTAAGTTCTCCACTTATTTTACTAAACCAAATTAATTCATGTAATTAATTATTAATGGTTATTACTATCACATACAAATTTTGATTTAAACCATGATTACTACTTTTATTTGGGTGTTATTATAGGTGTTCGATATGTCTAGTGGACTATGTGAAGGGTGTAAGATAACAACGTTGCCTTGTAATCATATCTACCACAAGGATTGTATTTCACACTGGTTGAAACAAAAAACGTACGTATGATATAGCATATAAAGGTGGTGATGTGATGGTTCATCACACCGCTTCATTATACATGAACCTTTTTTTCTGTCGACCATTATACATGAACCTAATGTATATACTGTATATTGTTTATAATATAATTAAGGTAAGGGAAGAGGGTTATAATTACATCCAATTTCTAATAATGCTTTTCATCGAAACCGATCTATCATGGTGTCAAATATTATCATTCTTAGTTTAATATGAACTAATAGACACGTAACATCTTACAATAGAAAAAGGTTGTAATGAAGATTAATCATATTATATGGGGAAAGTTATCAGAGACCAAAACTAGAATGGGAAAAAGTCGGTGTGGTGATTCTTTGAGCCTCCAATAATAAGGAAATTCAGGTTTCTTATCTCATACAAAGAAGTATTATACATCAAAATATTTTTTAAACATTAATTGTATTATTTTAGTTATTTGGTTTAAGTATTGCAAGGGTTTTGGATGAAGGAAGAATACGTCAATGCAAAGTCGTTTTGGGTTTGAGTCGTCCATGAAAACTTGCTCCAAGTTAAAAGGAAATAGGACTAAAATTCAGGTCACAAATATTTTACAATTTATATGTGGTGGTTAATAACTTTTCCCTCAAGAAAAAAAATTTAATAAAAAGTTTGAGTTGGAAAGATTTTTAAATTTGAAGAATCAAAAACTGTATATATATATAGAGTTGAAAATATATTTTTGTTAAACGATGCAGCTGTTGGTAAAGAACGTTTATAAGTGAAAAGATGTGAATCGAAAAACACAACCTTTTAAATAGATGATTATAAGCAAAGCGATTAAAAATGAAAAAGTATGACCTCAAAATAAATTATTCAGTTTGCAACATATTTAGATTTGCTTATAAAAACAAAAATTAGTATGGCATGCACAATATAATGTCAATACTTCAGTTTCTCTTAACCGGCTTTTCTTTCTTAGTCAGTTTTGAACTTTTAGCATGCAATATATATAATGCCTTGAAAATTATTATTTATATCATGTAACTATACATTTCAAACTGCCTTTTTTCTTAATTAACATCACAACCGAAACTGAGATTTCTTTTTAAAAAATTTAGAGCTTTCGATCAGGACACGTCAAGATATCTGATGTGGTAATGCATTAGTGATAACGAATCTTGATCAATTTTCTAAATTACAATAAATTAACACCTCAACCCCAACGAATATATGATATAAATTAATTCATATACACACATGAACAACACTCTAATATTTAGACAAGTCAAAGTTCTTATCTAAGTGGTAACCATATCTAAGTAATTTTGTAATTTATTGATTTTATAACGAGAACAATCTTTCTCTCTACGTCATTTGACCGCAAGAAGGTTAATAAATAACATATTTTGATCCCCGGGTTACAAAAATCACTTGAACCAAAAGTACAAATGTTTCTAATGAACAAACATTATTTGTAATCATCTTTTATTCGGTTTTCTCCATTAGTATGAAGACCCATCTTCTTAACCACGGTTATGTGGCCTGACGTACGAGGTTGCTCTAAATAAATAAAATGGTAAATTAAATCGGTTTACTAAAACGGCCAACGTAAGGATGAATATATTTGTTTTAAAAAAGAGATGAATAAATTTTCTATTTTGAATCCATATATCTTTGATGCGTGCGTTAATCGCAGCCATTAACTCATCAACCTGGATTCATTCACTTTCCTAACAACTGCCTATATAATTATATTAGTATTACGACAACATATGCATCATTGACCATCACATCTTATTAAGATGGTTCTTGGACAAATCCTCATAATGGATATTTGTGTATTTTTTCTTTGTGTATGTATATATATAGATATATATGCTTTTGCTTGGAAATTTTAAATTTCAAACCACCATTTCATTGTTAATCTTTAAAAGAGAATTTCCTCCAAATTGATTGAGATTTGAAAGAATTATCCCCAAATATGGAATTACCCCAAATAGAACAATTATGTTAATAACTACTATATATTTGATTGCATTATAATTAAGCATAATATATTTAGTTGTCAAGGACTGTTGCAATAAACAAACTACATACATTCACACAAAAAAAACAAAAAAAACAAACAAACAAACTAAATAGAAACGAAAGTACGAAACGGTTAAACTAACTTACCCAAAAAGTTTCTATCCAAATTTGAATCTCATCACTCATGTCAAAATTGGAGTAAACTGTTAAATGATTCTCTTTATCTTGAATGCGATCGTGGTCTCTTTACGTCAGCGCCGGTGTTTTACGACATCCACACGGTGGTTTCTTCATGCCACACCTATGGTGGTGTATCACAGTGATCGGTGATGTTATGCGGCATTGGTCTCCCATTTCGTTCAAGCGTTGTAAGTTCTAATGGGTAACCGTTTTTTCTTCTCTCATGTGAGTTTCTTTCCGGTATAATTGGTTTTGTTGTTGGATTGTTGTCAATCCCAGCAATCGTTATTCTCCAATATATTTTGTATGTGATCCAGGAATCTCTCTCATGATAGAGGAAACATTAGCCATTAAACGAAAACATAAAACGGCGACACAGCATCAACATAGATTAGATGAAACTAAGGTCGCTGCACACCCTTGTGTAAACGAGAAATTGGTTTCTTTTCATCTTTGGTTATCCGAACTTACTTATTTGGGACTGGAAGAAGGATATGATACGGAAGCTTTAGTATGATAATGTCAATATTTCAAGACTTTTATCGGAAGCATCGGGTTTTGTAATGCGGTGTGCAATTTGGAGGTTAAACCAAGAAACGCTACTCAAGCACACAATTCCTATAAGAGAATGGGATTAAAACTCAGTTGGTCACACAAAGTAATTAGGTGGTTAATTACTTTTCCCTCAAAAAAATAATTGGAGGGATGGTGATGAGAAATCGATGAGACCACATCGATGGTGATACAAAAAGGGAAAGACAATGTGAACAAAAAGAAAAAGATTAAATCAAAAGTTTGAGTTGAAAATATTCTATAATTTAAAGAATAAAAAACTGTATATAAATAGAGTTGAAAAGACATACTCCTATTTGTTAAAAGATGCAAATAACAAAGATGCAACTATTCGTAAAAAAAACAGTTAGAAGTGAAAAGATGTGAATCAAAAGACACAACCTTTTAAATGAGCAGTTATAAGCAAGGCGGTTAAAAACGAAAAGGTACGATCTCAAAAGGCATTTATTCAGTTTGCTATTATATATAGATATGTGTATGTTTTTCATCTCTTACAATTGATACCGTTATGAAATAAAGTTTCATGATATCTAAACTTTTTCCTTAAAAAAAAAATTTATTACTACACCAATAGGGTAATTTTATAAAGCGGAAGTATATTTGTAACACTTTAATTCACAAAAATATGGACATTTAGGTTTGTATTTAGAAAGGCAATTTTCTTTTTGTTGGTTTACTATTAACAACATAGAAAATAACAAATTAGTAATTTACACCTTGAGAAAAAAAAAAGTATTTTACTTTTACACCTGCTGTGTTGGTGAGAAAAAGGTAAATTTATTTAAATAGTAATCTCACACAGAAGGATCTGGAAGCCCTATGCGTACCCAACTATCCCGTATAAATGCGTAACTTCTCCTTCTTTTATGTCACCATCTCTGCTCTCTGAAGAAAAATCTTTTGAGCTCCCTTGAATCTAAATCTGCTTCATAAACCCTAGAATAGAATTCCGATCAACGAGATGGCGGACGCTGAGACTTTTGCTTTCCAAGCGGAGATCAACCAGTTGCTCTCCCTCATCATCAATACCTTCTACAGCAACAAGGAGATCTTCCT